GACAAAGAAAGCTCTTCTCCCTCCGCAACCTCAAGCCCCAAAACACAGCCCAGAACTGGGGAGGCAGGTTTCCATATACCTGGTTGTGACCCAAGAGACCAGAGGGGGAAAACTGAAGGCTGGGCTCTTTCTCACAGTCTGGGGGCAATCAGGTGTATAGGGCTTCCCTACCTCTTCCCTCCTCCCCGGAGGGTGGCCTCTCAGTCACACTGAAAACAATTAAGTTCTCTGGGTTCTGTGGGAGCTTTGAAGATGCTGGGTTTGAGTGGCAACGGAAAGGGAAGTTTCCCTAAACTCTAAAGCATTGCTGTCCAAGAGGATTTTCTGTGACGGTGGAAATGTTCTAAATCTGTGCCGTCCAATATAGTAGACACGTGGCCATTGAGCACTTGAAATGTAGATAATGAGACTGAGGAACAGAATTTTAAATTTTAAGTTTTTTTCTTTTTTTTTTTTTAAAGTAGGCTCCATCCATGCCCAACGTGGGGCTTGAACTCCCGACCCTGGGATCAAGAGTCACGTGTTCTACCGACGGAGCCAGCCAGGTGTTCCTAAATTTTATTAATTTTAAGTAATTTGCATTTTAACAGCCACATTTGGCTTGTGGCTACCGTATTGGACAATGCAGCTCTAGCCCTTGGGGATCGGGGGTTTTGCCATGCAGGGATGCAGGAGAAAATATAGTACCAATCCTCATCAGGCCCTGTGGGTGGCCAGCATCAGGAACAGGGCTGGGGTAGATATTCCCAAACAACCACAGAACACTTCTCTTGCCTCTTTATTCCTGATGCACCTTTGTCCCCTCTTTTTCCAAGGTCCTCATCACACACTGATATCCCCACTCCTTGTTGGTCTCCAGGGGGTTGCTGGATGCCTCTTGGCGACCGCGCCTGGGAGACAGAGCTTCACACTTGTCCCTGCCTACCCCAAACTGTCTCTGGCGGGCATCAAAGACCACATGTCCTACCGGGGTGCCCGACCCAGGGCAGTAGGGCTTCCAGTTGATTTTGGGAGGCATAGACATCTGGCGATAGCTCTGGTAGGCTGAAGGCGCTGTATCCACAGGACGGTACACCCAGTCCCGGCTGCCTGCTCGCCGGGAGGATGGCTGCAGCTCAATTAGCAAAGGGACCTCTGAGAAGGTTTGCGGGTCATTGTAGATCATCACCTGGGGCTTGGAGGAGCTGGAGTTCTGACTCAGTGGGACAGAAGTCCATGGTAGCTGCTGTTGTGCATCTTCCTTCCGAGGAGCCTCCTCAGATACATGAGACTTCGTCAGGCACGGTGATGACTTTGGGGTGTGAGGTAGGCCTGAGACTTGGACTGAGTCGGTACTTACAGCAAGGCCTGGGTTCTTGTGGTGGTTGGGATTTGAGATAAGGGATGAATCCTTGTGGAGCCTGGATTCCCCAATCAGGTTTTGAGTCTTGGGGAGGCCATGGTCTTGGGTAAGGGCTGGGCCCTTATTGGGGCCAGGATCTTGATTAATTCCTGGGTACTTGTGGAAGTTAGGGTCTTGGATATATTCCGGGCTCCTGTAAATTCCATCGTCTTGTGTACGGCCACATCTTTTGACTTCGGTGGCTTGTGTAAGGCTTGGATTCTTATGGAAATCAGAATCTTGAGTAAGGCCTAGGTCCCCGTTGACTCCAGAATCTTCAGTGAGGCCTGGATTCTTGTAGTCTCCGGAGTCTTGGGTAAGGCCTGAGCCCTTATGGAGACCAGAGGTTTGGATCAAGCCTGGGCTCTTGTTGACTCCAGAGTCTTGGTATAGGCTCTTCTGTGGGCAAGAATCTTGGGGAAGGCCTAGACTCCTAGAGACTCCCAGCTCATGAGCGTTACCTGCACTCTTGTAAATTCCAGAATCTTGAGAAGGGCCTGGGCTATTATGGAGGCCAGTAGTTTGGGAGAGATCTTGACTTTTACAGTGTATAGTCTCTTGGTTTTGTTCTAGATTCCTATAGACTCCAGAGTTTTGCATAAAGCCTGAGCTCCCCTGAATGTCAGAAGTTTGGGGAAATGGTATGTTCTTGTGGAGGCCACAAGGTTGGGCGAGACACGGGCTTCTAAAGATACCTGCATTTTGAGTAGGACCTAGGCTCTTTTGGGGGCCAGAATCTTGGGTAATGACCAGATTCTTGTGAAGTCCAGAATCTTGGGAAGGGCTTGGACTCTTGCAGAGATAAGGGCCTTGAATAAGGCCTGGGGGCTTGTTTAAGCCTGGATCTTGAACAAGGCCTGGGTTCTTGTAGAGGCCTGGATTTTGGGTAAGGCCTGGGTTCCTGGGAACTCTCAAGTCCTTTGCAGGGCTTGAAGTCCTTCGGAGGCCAGAATCTTGGTTGAGGCCTCGACTCCCCTGAAGTTCAGGGGGTTGGGGTTGGATTGGGGGTTGGAAAGTCTTAGAGAACTGTGGAGGGATGGGGAACTGGGAAGAGGGGATGGACTGAGAAGACTTGGAGGTTGGGGGGAAGGTGGGGGGTTGCATTGAGGTGGAGGGCTTCTGGTGGTTGGGGGGTTGATGAGGGACAAAGGATCTGGGAGATGTAAGAGGCAGAGAAAGAGTGCATGGGGGAGGGATGGTGCTCAGTGAGCTCTGGGCACCGGTTGGAGAATGAAAGCAAGGTTGAGAAGGTGTGGCATCCTTGGAGTAGACCAGGAGTTTGGGGTAGACCGGAGTCTGGGAGTCTGTGTTTCTCCTCTCAGAACTGCAGGGATGGAAGCTGAAATAAGGGAAGGTCTTGGGCTGTAAGAACTTGTCTTTGGCATCATTTGAGATCTTCCATTCTACATTCCCCAGCTCCAGGTAGCCCAGCACGGAGCCTGTGGGGGGCGGTTTGGCACAGTCCCCACTGTGTTGCTTCGACGTTGGCTCAGCTGTCCCAGAGCTGCCCAGACCCTGCCCCTCTTGGGGCCTGGGGAGGGTGCCCACGTCCCTTCTGGAATACCCAAATTTTAGCGGGGGACACACATGGCACACATTCTGTTTCACCCTGCGGGCATCGTAGACTACGTGGCCTGTGGAGAGGCCTTGGCCGAAGGCAGTCAGGGTAGAGGGAATAGGAGTTAGGATGGGGGTATGGGTGGTGACAGAGACAGGAGTGCTAGTCAGGGTCATGACCAGAGCTGGGTCGGGGGTTGGCCTAGAGATTGGGACAGGAGCTGGGGGAGGGGCTGGGGCAGAGGTGGGAGCAGGGACCAGGGGGTGAGGGACATGGGTATAGGTTAGATGAGCATGGGCCGGAGTGCAGGCTGGGGCATGGGCTATTACGGGCTCAGGGGTGTGACCCAGGGGACGGGCTGAGGTGTGCTCAGGGCCATGGACCGGGACAGGGGTGTGCTCGGCAGCATGGGCTGGGGAGCAGGTCTGGTCTTGGGGGGTGATGTGCTCAGGGGTGAGGGCTGCAGAGCAGGTACGGGCCTGGAGGGGTTTATACTCTGGGGCTTGGGCTAGGGAATGGATCTGGGCCTGAGGCAGGTTATGCTCAAGGGTGTGAGCTGGGGAGCAGGTCTGGGCCTGGGAGGTGGTATGCTCAGGGGCGTGGGCTAGGGAGGAGCTGTGGGCCTGACAGGTGGTGGGCTCAGGGGCGTGGGCTCGGCGGGAGGTCTGGGTCTGGGCCTGGGCCTGGGCCTTGGGGGTGCTGTGCTCATGGGTGTGGGCTGGGGACGAGGTCTGCATCTGGGTCTGGGCCCGGGCCAGGGGGGTGCTGTGCTCAGGGGTGTGGGCTGGGGAGTGGGTCTGGGTCTGGGCCGGGGCATGGGCTGGGTCATAGTCTGGGGTGTTGGTCTTGCTCTCGTGGGGCAAGAGGAGGGGAACCATGTCCACCTTGCTCATCCTGGGGAACTGGGAAGGTGCCTGGTGCCTGGAGTTGAAGCGGGCTCGGGCCTTTAAGGCTGTGACCTGAGGGGCCTCCCCAGCCCCCATCACCCCCTCCTTCCACGGTCCCCCGGGAGCGTCCATGGGAGCCCCGGCGTGCCCACACTGAGGCGGCATCCAGCAGCACCCAGAAGCCTTCTCGTCATTCGTGTCTGGTATCCAGGAGTTGAGGTGGTTGGGGTACCCGACCAGGAAGCCCGGGCGCCCGTGGAAGCGGGAGGAAACTCTCGAACACAGGTTCTTGGCGTCCATGGAGCAGTGCGTGCACATGGGATGGCCGCCTGTGTAGCTGGGCTGCTTGTCTGCAGGGAAACGTGGGATGGGACAGGGTCGGGGCTCCTGAGGGCCCGAGAAAGGGGACAGGTCCACATCCCCTTGAGGCCATGCTGGGGCCCACTCACCTTTGGGGTAAAAATGATGGAAAAGAATCCGCAAGGAGCTCTTCAGATGCCTCCAGAGCTGAGGGAAGCAGGGGAAGGGGGAGCCCGGACGTGTGGTGAGCCCTGCAGCCCAGCCCTTGCTTGGCCACATCCCAGCAGCCCTCCCGCCTCAGCCCCTTTCGAACCCCAGGGCTCCCCAACCCTGTTGCGCAGCCCCTGCCCTGACCAGAGTCACCACGTTGATCCCCACGTTGAGCAAGATGAAGCTGCCCAGAATCAGAAGGATTGAGTCTCCTAGGTCCTGGCACCTCCTGGGGTTGGTGCCAGAGCATACTTGGGCTCCGTGGTGGGCTCGCTCACCCATGGCCGGGGGTCCCAGGACCACCTGGGCCCCCCCTGGCCCCCACATACTCACTAGGAGCCAGACTCCTCTGGTGGGGGAGGGGAGAGGGACTGGGTCACAATGGGGCGGGTGTTGGGGTCACAATGAGGGAGGGGAGGAAACGGAGGGCCTAGGACGGTCTGCCCTAGTAACCAGGTTCTCGTAACCTGAGTCCCCAAAGTCAGACGGGGCTAGAAGCCAGCATGCCTGCCCTGTGGCCCCCATCCCTCCTTCGTTCCCTCACTGCCCCTGCCTCACTCCCTCAAACACTCACACAGTCCATCCCCTCGGCCACTCCTAAGGCTGGGAGGACCTTGGCCTCAGGGCCTTGGCCTTCTCCTTGCCCTCCCTGGGGCCGTGGCCCTGGATCCAGGCAGAGGTAGGACTGGAATCTGACCTCACCACGTCGTCGTCGTGTGGGGCTGAGCCTGGGAGCCCACTTTCAGATCGGGGAGGGCAGATGCCCAGAGCACGTGCTCAGAGACAGATGGTTTGGAGTCTGCCCCCGCAAGACCTCCTTAGGGACGGGGCGGGAAGCAGAGTCCTGCGGGGGGTGGGGGTGGGGGCCTGTGGCCACAGCCACTCGGAGCCTGGTGCTGAGAAGCCGGGACCCAGGCTGACAGAAGTGGCCCTGCCAAGGCCCAAAACACACCACCACCGTGTTTCCTGGACTCCGTTGCTCTTTATTCCTGTCTCCGTGCCCGGCCCGCCACCCACAGTCGCCGTGGGTCAGTGCAACTTCCCGGTCCGGCTCCTGAGCACCGCGGGCCGCGAGGCGGAGGTGGACGGCGGGGGCAGGGAGGTGGCCCGCGCTCGGCTCTCCTGCACCTGCCGCTTCAGCTCCAGGCTGTCATAGACCTGGTAGCCGGCAGTGCCCCCGGGGTTCCTGCTGAGCGGCAGAAAGGTGGGCTGGGGCTGGGGGACCTCGGGAGCCTGGACTTCGGGCAGGGGCTGGTTGGAATGGGGGAGCAGGGCCGAGCTGGGGGCCGGGGCCCGCTGGTAGGAGGTCTCACCCAGCATGGTGAGGGAGGTGGAGGCCGTCAGAGGGTGCCGGGCGGGCAGGGCCTCAGCCCATTCGGCGGCCCGGCGCCGGACCTCGTGGGGTTCCCGGGGGCTGTAGCTCAGGTGGCCCGTGGATGGGTGCGGGCTGCGGGTGGGCTGGCTGTAAGCGTGGCCGTGGCCGTGGCCGGGGAGGTTCCGTGGGTGCGCCTGGGGGGACCCCCGGGACACCAGCGTGGGCGGAGGCTCAGAGCCCTCCAGGCCCCGCCACCGCTGATCCCAGGAGTCATAGAGCAGCTGGCCGCTCGACGGGTAAGGGTCGTACCCCGCGGGGACCCAGGAGGGATTCGGGGGCAGCCGGCGGAGAGCGGGCAGAGACGAGGCCCACTGCTCCGCCTCCATAGTGCCCCAGATTCGGGACTGGGAGCAGTGGGGCCCGTAGGACTGCAGCCTCAGCTCCGACTTGGCCTCCACACGCTTGGGCATGCGGCGCAGCTCGGGTGACAGGTAGAGAGAGGGTGGCGGCAGCCTGGCCAGGATCCCACCCTGGCGGCCCCACAGCCCCAGGCTGGAGGGCAGGCCCATCTGCGGGTAAAGCCTGCCCCAGCCGCCCCGTGGGTACTTGGGGAGTGGGAAGGCCAGGTCCTCCTCCTGCTCCACGTCGGAGTCCAGGTCCTCCTGGTCAAAGGGGGACACCCCCGGCAGCTGCGACATCTTGCGGCTGCGACGGGGGCTACGGAAGGCTGAGGGGTTGTGGGGGAAGTGCCTCTGGTTCTTCAGCCCCCACTGGTGGCTGCAGGGACGGCGGTGGCTGAGGCGCTGGTGGGGGCCGCGGCGGCGGGGGCGGCGGCGGCGGGGGCAGGGGTTGCCCAGCCGGTGGCAGGAGGAAGAGGGGTAGCAGGTGGGCCGGGCCAGCTTCACTTCCACGGGCTCCAGGGTGCAGTGGATGTGGACGTCTCGGGCCTTGGCGGGGGGATCTTTGGTGGAACCTTCACGAGCCTGCAAGGTTTCACCTGGGGGCGACAAGCATCCGTGAGGCCGGGGCGACTGTCAGAAGAGCTCAGGGCTGGGAACAGGGTGGCCTGGGTTTCTAGGGTTGTGCTGGTGGTGTTGGGCGGGGGGTGGGGGGGTCCCCAACCTCTCTTGCTGCCATACTTACTTTTCTGATTAATCCAACAGAGCATCTTGTCTAAGGCATTCTGGAGACCATGCCACATCTGGGGATAGTGTGGGGTGGGAGTGAAGACCAGGAGGCTCTCTACCCTCCCCCCCCACACCCCTCCCCAGCTCCCAGCCAAGACCACACTCCTGCAGGTAGAGGCTCCCACCCTCAGCCCTCTTAGCCGCGGGGGCTGTCCCCCACCATCACTGACCACAGTTACCACGTTGATCCCGATGTTGACGAGAACTACGAGGCCCAGCAGCAGAAGCAGTATGTCTTCCGGATCCTGGAGGTGTTCCTGGTGTTGATTGCAGCACCCCACGTTGTCGTACCAAAGCTGGTTTTCCATGGTGGGGGGGCCCTACGGCCACCTGGGCCACCGCCCCCCCCCCACCAGCCCCGACCACACTGTGCTCATGCCGGGACCTGGGGACACCTACCAGCGGGGGAGGGGGTTGGGTCATAATGAGGCACATTGGGGGGAGTCACAATGCAGAGGTGGCCACACTTTTGTCCACTCGGCTTGCCCTTAAATGGCCGTCTCCGCCCTTGGCTGCCACTTAATGCGGCCCTGTCCCCGGATATCCCAGAGCTCATTCTTTCCCTGTCTCCACAGGGGCCTGCTTAAGTCACCACCTGATTCCTGATTTGAAGACATGGTCGCTATAGTTGTAAGACGGTCTTCACAGGGACTGAGTCGTCCATAAAGGATTTCCTCCGTGTCATTGTTCTCTTGAGACATCAAGGCGCCTTGTGCAGTTGGTCCCCTCCACCCATGCCTACTTGGGGCCAGCAGCTAGGGTGACAGCAAGGGTCCCCTCCGGGGTCGCCGCACTGTGCCAGTCCCTCCCCGTCCTTCCCGTTCCCTGCCATAATTCCTCTAGCACCTACCCTGCCCACCCCTTCCTGGCCAAGGATTGCAGCCCTATGCCGTGCAGTCACCGAGCCCACTGGCCCCTTGCTTCGGAGCAAGACTGACTTCCTGCTCGCCCCGGGTTGCTTGCCTCTGCCGGGGACCACCCCGACCGTGCTCTCTCCCCTTCCTAACCAACTGCCCTCCCACGGACCTAGCCCTCCAAGCTGGAAACCGGTTAGCTCCCCCCTTAAGAAAACCCCATGAAACGCACAAAGCACAAAATAGATGTAATTGTGAATAGGACAAAAGGAGCCTTCGTTCTGAAGCAGGTTCATCACTGGGGTCCGTGGAAGTGGTGCCCTGGGGGCCTCGAGTCATTTGTCGGGATGGCGGGTGAACAACTCGACAGAAATAAAGCAACAGCCAGTAGGTGTTGCCCTCCGAGCCTCCAAACACATAGTAGGTGCTCGATACGTACTCGCTGAACGGAATCAACTTAAAAAGATCAACAGTGGGGGCGGAATGAAGGCGAAGGAAGCAGCAGGCTGATTCACAGAAGGCCTGCCTGCCTGGCCACGTTCCAGGAACGCATCTGCTACAGAGGGTGGGGTCCAGTTCCTTCGGCCTGGGCGCCCCCCCGGGGCTTCTGGCTCCCGAGCCCTCGAGCGGCCGCGTGCGTGTGTCCATGCGCCCACGTGGGCGGGTGTGCGGGCGCGAGGCCCGCTGCCTAGGAGGAGGTAGGGCCTGATTTTCCCGCTGTGTGTGGATGGCACGCTCGGATGACTTCACATGGCAGACTGAGGCAGGGGGAGTCTGAGGGGCCAGGCTGACTCCGGAATGCAGTCTCCCTGCGGGAGCAGAGCCCGGAGCTTCTGAAGCTGCGCGGGGACTTGATCCCTGGTGTCTGTGTGACCGTGAATTAGTCACTTCCCCTCCCTGAGCCTCGGTCTCCTCGCTGGTGACAGGCAGGTGCTAATCAGAGCAGTGAGGTCCCAGAGGGGGCAGCCCTCGAGCATGTCCCCAGTGTTTGGTCCTCCGCTCCGAGCCTGCTCGTGGGCACAGGAGCTTTGGGTCCTGACTGGGGAATCGTGAGGGCCTGGACACCCTCCCTCTCAGCCAGCCCTGCTCAAAGAAACCAGGGCTTTGGGGGGGAGGCCGGGGAAGCGCGCCAGCCCTGGGCTCCGGCAGAAACCAGGCCGCCGAGGGGCTAGGGCCACGGGGGTGGGGTCTCCCCTCTAGCGTAGGCCTGCCTGAGGATCTGGGCCGGGATCTGGGGACGCTGCTCTGGGCACGAAAGGAAACAGGGGAGCGGCAGGTGGGAATGTTGGGACCCAGAGGGGCTGGGAGAGAACTGAGGGCAGGGCCCCAGGGAAGCCAAGGGGTTGAAGAGGGTCCTTGGGGCTCTCGAGGTCCCTGTTGCCAGGGAGACCCTTCGCTGAGGGCCCTGACTCCCCCCTACACCACCGCAGACCACCTCCTCTCTTCCTTTTATTTTTGTCCCAGTCACCTCTCTGCCACAGAACGGTACACCCAGTCCTTGCCCGTGCCCTCGGCCACGTTGCTAGATAGGGAGCCCAGGGGGTAACAGTGGGACAGGGCCTCCACCTCGCGGGTCAGCTCCCGGAGCCGCCGCCGCACGTCTCGGGCGTCGTAGACCACGCGGCCCGAGGAGCGGCGCCGGGGGATGTCAGGGACAATGGCCGGGCCCTGGACGGGCGGCGGGGCCGGCGGGGCGGGGACGCACGCCTCCAGCTCGGCCTGGGCCCCCGCCCCACTGTTCTTATGGCTCAGGGCCTGTGGGCTCGGGGGCGGGGGGTTCACCGGGTACACGTAGGCCTCGAGGCCCAGCTCTGACCGCATCTCTCCTTTGAGGGGCCTTCCTTCTATGGTCTGCTGGAAGCGAATGGTCTGGGGAGGGGGCTCCACGGCATCCTGGGGCCAGGGAGCCCAGAACCCCTGGCTGGACTGGAAGCCCTGCCAGTCTGCCGGCTGATCCCAGTGGTGGGAGCACACGGCCGGGTGCTGGTGCAGGGGCTTCTCGTCGTCGTCCGTGTCAGGGGCCCAGGCTACCGGGCGGTGGGCACGGCGGCCGGAAGAGCCCCGGTGGCGGTGGTGGCGAGTGGGTGGGGGGGTCACAGTCATTTTCACAGGGTCCATGGTGCATCGGAGGTGGACTGCAGGGGCGCTCTGCTTCGGAGGCTGGGGCTGCTTCCCCGGTGAGGATGACTTAGAAGCTTCTGTGGATCAAGGAGAGCCGGGAGGCTGGTGGGGAGGCTGGCTCCTGAGGGGACGGGGACAGGGACGGGGACGGGGTGGGGGGGTAGGGTGCAGGGGCAGAGGCTGCCCCGCTGTAGTGTCTGAACGGGGAGGGCGGGCGGGGAAGGGGCCAGCTCCGGGTCAGGGCTAGAAGGCCGGGTCCCTGCCTCTTCTGTGCCCCCGGCCTCCCCCGCTTACCTTTCTCATAAACAATATGGAACACTTGGTGTAAGAAGCCACGGAGCCGGCGCCAGAGCTAGGTGAGGGAGGACACAGTGAGCCCGGGCTGGCCCTGGCCACCAGGTCTCCCGCCTGGCCCCATCCTGCCAGCGCCCTCCCGCCTGGCCCCACCCTGACCAGCGTCACCATATTGATGCTAATATTAATGCAGATGATGAGGCCCAGGAGCAACAGGATGGAGTTGCCCAGGTCCTGACAACTGTTGGTGTTGGAGCTGTGATACGAGGCCCACCCGGGCCGTGGCCGCTCAGCCATGGCCATGGGGGTCCCTAGGGCCACCGGGGCCCCTAGGCCCCCAGCCCACTGTGCCCACAGCATCCACCAGCCGCCTGCCTGCCTGCCCCAGGGGCTCCTGGGGGTAAGCGGGTCACAATGATGCCGGGCTCTCCCTCACAATGTGCCAAGAAGCAGAGTCTCGGGGCCGTGGTTGACCTTCCAGCCTGGGCCCAGGCCTTGGCAGAGGCCGAACCCTGCACCTGGCACTCCTGTCCCCGTAACCAGCCACCTGGACCGGCCCCCACGCCCCCTGGCCTGTCTGGTATCTGCCCCCATGAGCCCCCGGCCATTCCTTCTCTACACCAGCCTCAGGCTTCTGCACACACCTGGGCCCTGATCGGAACTCCCCACACAACCCTGCTACCGTGGCAACCTTACCCCAGCACCCACTCCCCCCTTTCTCCCGGCGCTCCGAGCCGCTCCCCGAAATGGGCTGTGGGCTCGGACCACCTCCCTCTCCCTCACTGGCGGAGTGGCGGCCCTGAGGCTTAGTTCCTCGGAGCCCCCCCACCGACACCGCCCCTGATCACAGCAGGCACCACCAACAGTTAAATTTTTATATTTACAATATTCTCTTCATCTTTTGCCAGGTTTAAAAATGTGTACAGAGCCGCGAAGGGTTGGGGCAGGGACGTGGGATCGTCCGGGGATTGTTCTGGGGAGAGGGGCTGGGCATTGGAGTCCGTGGCTGAATCATGGGGTCCCCCAGCCCCCCTCCCATGCCCCAGTCTGGGGGGGCATCTGTCTACAGGGTTCAGGGCCCAGGTCCCTAGCATTTCGAGGGCATGGCTGTTTGGAGAGGAGCTAGATCAGGCAAGGGAAGGGGTCAGAAAAGAACTAAGTTTCCCTGGGGGGAGGTAGGAGAAGGGACAGGAGGCAGAGCTCTGGGGAGCCAAGACCAGGGATCCCGGATCTGGGTGTCAGTGGAAGACAGCCCCCCCCACCCCCTACTCGAGTTTGGCACTAACGAACCCGTAAAAGGCCAGCCTCCACTGGTGTCCCTTAAAGCCCTTCCTGATACCGTCCTTCTCCCCAGAGGCCAAACCCTCTCTCCTCGGGCCGTTCCTCTCCGGGGCAGTCACCCCGCACGCGTGTCCTTTCAAATTCTCCCTGCTGTTGTCCGCTGAGCCCCGTCCCCCACTGCCCCCTCCATCTGTCCCTCAGCACCGCTGACCTCATTCTCTCCCCAGCCTGTCCCGTGAAGCCTTTCCCGCCTGCGCCCTCCTTCCACGGTTCCTTTCCTTCAGCCCTGGCGGCTGATGGAAGGGGGGGCCTCGTCAAAGAAGGGGATGGGTGGCTGAGGGGAGAAGGTGCTCTCACGCTGACACGGGATGGCTTCGAGGAGGAAGACAGAGATGGGAGGAGAGACACTGAGGCAGAGAGGGAGGAATGAGACACGGGGGAGGGAGGAGAGACACAGGCGGGACCCCTTTCGCTGCCGCTTCCGTCCCCCGTACCCCACCTGTCCCCACATTTACCTGTCCTGGACCAGGACTGGGGAATCCTTGGCACATTTGGGGGGTCTTCCCCGCCCCTCAAACCCACCTAACCCAGTTTGGCACGGATGAGCGATGGTCTGAGGATTGAGGGAAAGGCTGTCCTCAGACCCCAGTGAGGGCTTTGGTCAAACATGCATGGCCTCTGTGGGTGGCACGCCATGCCCCCCAACTTGGCATCTCTTGGGGGGGGAGACGGGCAGAGCTCTGCCCCCAGGGTTTGTACACCCCCCCCCACACACACACTCAGCTTAGGTCAGTCTGAAGTCTGTCCCCACCTGCTGGGCAGGGAGGAGCTAAGTGCTAGGCCTCAGGCCCCAGACCCCGGGGATTGCTGGCAGGAAAGGGGCCGTCTGCATGGGAAACACACATCCACATGCAAGAACATGTTTCCACTCGGAGAGATGTGTCCTGGACCCGTGGGAAAACAAGTTCCCGGGCAGCACAGGGACGCACGGATCTCCTCCCTTCCCCCCGGCGGGGAATCCTACCCAGAGCACCGGCTTCATCTGACGTATGCCACGGGGGAAAAACATGCTTCGCTGGGGCAGAGGGGGGGTGGGGCACGGAGTGGGAGTGGGGGGGGGACGACTGATTTCCTCGGTACCTTCCCAAGGGTCACTGTCCATGAACACACCACTTCCAGGGTCTCCATGGGGTGGGGAGGTGGGGGGAGGGGGGAGAAGGCATGAGGGCACGGGATTCTGGGGTACAAATCCCCACAGGAATTCTTTTGAGGGGGCCAACATGTGTCCAGGGCGGCAAAAAAAAAACCACCTCACCCTGCACATGGGAAAACACACCCCCTCGCGAGAAAGCAGGCCTCCACGTGGGAAAACACGTCCGAGTTTCCACACACCGAAGACCGGTGTCCCAAAGGAGGGCACGAAACAGCCCCCGTTGTTCCGAGGCCCCGGTCCGGAGAAGAGGACGGGCCTCTGGGCATGGGAAAGACACGCACCCCGGTGCGGAGCCCCATGTCCACCTAGCGCTCCCCGCCGTGGGAAGGGGGAGCCTGGGGCCGGTCCTCCTCCCCCCCGCCTGCCGAGCCGCGCTGCCCCCCCCCCGGCGGCGGGCGGGGGGGGCCGGGAGGAGGGCCCCCCCCGGCCGCCCCCTATACCCGAGTGGTGGAGTGGGGGTGCGGTAGCGTGTTGTCGTGGCTGGCAGCGCCGGCGGGCGGCGGGGGGAAGGGCCCGAAGGGGTGGAGCGAGGGCGGCGGCGGCGGCGGCGGGGGCCCCAGGCCGCTGGGCAGCAGGGTCAGGGCCCCGGGGGCCAGCAGAGGCACGTCGTCCGGCGCCCGGCGCAGCGCCAGCGTGTAGTCGGGCGGGCAGGCGGGCCGCAGGGCCTCGGCGGGGTCCGCCCCGACGCCGCCGGCCCGCTTCAGCTGCAGGGACACCAGCTCCTCGTCGGGCGGCAGCTCGCGGCCGGCGGCGGGGAGCAGGGCGCCGCCGCCGGGCGCCGCGGGGCCCGAGCCGCCGGGGGGGCTGAGCCGCCGGCCCCGCAGCTCCTGCCGCCGGTCCCGCTTGTAGTAGAGCGCGGCGAAGGCCAGGATGTTGAGGAAGAGCAGCGAGGCGCCCACGGCCACCGTGACGCTGAGCTCGGTGGAGTAGTCCCGGGAGTCGCCGGGGAAGCGGTCGTAGGCGCGGGGGCCCGGCTCGGGCTCGGGCTCGGGCGGCAGCGGGGCGGGCGGCGGCGGGCGGCGGGTGCCCGGGGCGCCGGGGGGCGGGCGCGGCGGCCAGCGCGTGGCGTGCGGGGGCAGGCGCGTGGTCGTGGGGAAGAGCTCCGTGTGCAGGTTGTGCAGGTGCGGCACGAGCTCCAGCCAGAAGGCCACCTTGTTGGCGCGGTAGTTGTCGCGCACGCGCGGCTTCAGGCCGATGTGCAGGTACTGCTTCTCCTTGCTGTTGAACTTGCTCCACACCACCTCCTCGAAGCGGTTGGGCTTGGTGTGGATGAACTTGGTGTCCTGCGGCACGGGCTGGTTGGGGTCGCTGCGGGCACGGGAGGGGGGAAAGGAGAAGTGAGGGGGGCCCCGTGGGCGGGCGGGGGCGGGGGCGGGTGTGTGCGGGAGGGGTGCGCAGGGAGACCCACAGCGACGCAGAGACGCAGAGATGCGGAGGGCCGGGACCCGGAAGGAAAGCCTGAGAACAAGAGGGAGGCGGCAGAGACAGAGAAACTGCCCGAGACAGGCAGAGGGGAGGTCGGAGGGGCAGAGACGGGCGGAGGTGAGGACCGAGGGGCAGAGACGGGCGGAGGTGAGGACCGAGGGGCAGAGGCGGGGGGGGGGAGGGGAGGACGGAGGGGCAGAGACTGGCGGAGGTGAGGTCGGAGGGGCAGAGACGGGCGGAGGTGAGGACCGAGGGGCAGAGACAGGGGGGAGGTGAGGACCGAGGGGCAGAGGCGGGGGGGAGGTGAGGTCGGAGGGGCAGAGACGGGGGGGGGGAGGTGAGGACGGAGGGGCAGAAACGGGGGGGAGGTGAGGACGGAGGGGCAGAGACGGGGGGGGGGGCGGAGGTGAGGATGGAGGGGCAGAGACAGGGGGGAGGTGAGGATGGGGGGGCAGAGACGGGCGGAGGTGAGGACCGAGGGGCAGAGACTGGCGGAGGTGAGGTCGGAGGGGCAGAGACGGGCGGAGGTGAGGACCGAGGGGCAGAGACAGGGGGGAGGTGAGGACCGAGGGGCAGAGGCGGGGGGGAGGTGAGGTCGGAGGGGCAGAGACGGGGGGGGGGAGGTGAGGACGGAGGGGCAGAAACGGGGGGGAGGTGAGGACGGAGGGGCAGAGACGGGGGGGGGGGGGGCGGAGGTGAGGATGGAGGGGCAGAGACAGGGGGGAGGTGAGGATGGGGGGGCAGAGACGGGCGGAGGTGAGGACCGAGGGGCAGAGACGGGCGGAGGTGAGGACGGAGGGGCAGAGACGGGCGGAGGTGAGGACCGAGGGGCAGAGACAGGGGAGAGGTGAGGACCGAGGGGCAGAGACGGGCGGAGGTGAGGACCGAGGGGCAGAGGCAGGCGGAGGTGAGGTCGGAGGGGCAGAGACGCGCGGAGGTGATGACCGAGGGGCAGAGACGCGCAGAAGTCAGGACGGAGGGGCAGAGACGGGAGGAAGTGAGGACGCAGGGGCAGGGGCGGGCAGAGACAGCCGGTGAGAGAGGCAGAATCTGAGCCTGAGTGAGACAGACACATTTAGGAACAGAGGCACAAAGACAGGAGCCAGCCAGCCGGGGTGAGACCAGCGAGCAAAAATCCAACCGATGGAAGAGAGTAGAGGAAAAGGCAGAGGTATCAGTGGATTCGAAGAGAGAGAGACGTAGAGGCAGAGACAGAGAGACACAAATCCTTACCCAGATACACAGCCCAGGGCATCAGACGGAGAGCAGAGTGCCAGGAGAGACAGACCCGGAGCCAAAGCCACCAAGGGAGCCCACCCCCCGGAAGAACAGGACCCTCTCTGACACGGCTGAATCTCCAACGGGCAGCCCGGTGCCTGGCACAGAGAAAGCGTCCAGCAGGTGTCTGGGTCGGGCAGGCAATGATGGAGGAATGACCGTGTGAGGAGTGAGGGACAGGGCGCCGAGGATGCCGGGGGTGAGTGCCTTGGCCTGCAGGGGGGGACCCCACCCAGCCCCGTTGACCCTCACCCAGTCTTGGCGAAGTTGGTCCAGTAGGTCATGACCACAGCGCTGAGCATGACGTCATTCTTGGAGAAGTTGCAGGGGAAGAGGTCGGTGGCGCCCACCATGGGCACGCCAAAGACGTAGGGCAGCTCGTCCCCGTGCGCCGCGTCTGCCCACTCGGGCCGGCCCTCAGCCTGGCAGTGGTGGTAGAAGGTATAAAAGTAGACGGGGGACTGGTAGTCAGCGTGCAGCTTGGCGGTGGCCACGGCCGGCGCCACCCACTGGTGGTCTGTAAAGAGCGCCAGCAGAGTCTTTCTCCGCATTTCGCCATTGTCCCGGTCGGCCCAGTCGGTGTACATAAACTTGATGGTCTCCCGAAGCACGTCCTTGCCCTCCGGGTAGCCGTACAGGTTGTCCACAAAGTTGGAGACGGTGAAGTCAAAGGCGCTGGCGGACACGCCATCCTCGCTCTCTGCGGAGTCCTCCACGAACTTGAGGCCTTCTCCTTGGTTGACGCCAATGAGCATGTCATAGTTGAGGAATTCGCCCTGCTGCATGAGGATCTCAGGGTCATCGGGGACGACGTCACCGTCCACCACGGGCCCGAAGGCGATGTGGTAGCTGGGGAGAAGGGGTCAGGGTCTCATCACCTGCTCCCTGGCCTCCTCTCAGCTCCTAGCCTGCCGGGCCCTCTGCTCAGAAGACCCTTCCTTCTCCCCTGGGTCAAATCTCCTGAGTCCTGCAGGGCACTTGGCCTCTCGGGAAGTCTTCCCCGATGCGCTTCGTGGCCCCTTGTGCACCCTCGCTCTGTTTGGGCGCCTCCACGTAGGGCAGGCTCCCGAGGGAAGGAGGCAGGGCCAGCAGAGGGGCCTGCAGCCGGACAGAGTGCCCGCGGGCACCTCTCACCCTAAACCGCCTTGGAAGCAGTAAGGAGAGCAGCCGCCAGGCCCCGGCCCTCCCCCACCCCCATACCGGGCGGGCTGCACGTCCTGGTCCACCAGCTCCCGGGAGGGCTTCCGGCGCAGGCACTCCACGGCCTCGGCGCTGTCCTCCCGGTCGCAGCCCACTTTGGCGGCCAGCAGCCGCGTGTATTTGAGCGGCTGGTAGTTGACAGACCAGCTGGAGATGGCCGTGCCGCTCTGGGCGATGGCCTTCTGGAACAACCCTGGCAGGACAGGCGCGGGCTTCAGGCTGGGCTGTCTGCGCCCAGGGTGGGAAGGCGGGGGATGGGGGGGAACCCGGTGGGGGTCAGCATGTGGGAACGGGGCCGGGAGGGGCAGGCCGAGGGCTGGCCGGTACCTTCCGAATGGTGAGAGAGGATCAGAAGGTTGACGCAGGAGGCCCCGGCCCCCGATCCAAAGATGGTGATGCGCTCGGGGTCACCCCCAAAGTGGGCAATGTTCTCACTGAGCCAGCGCAGGGCCTGGATCTGGTCCAGGAGTCCATAGTTGCCTTTTGCAGCCTGGTCCCCGGTGCTGAGAAAGCCTGGAAGCACAGGAGGAAAGGGGCTTCCTGGGGGTGTCCGAGCACCCTCGCCCCCTTTCTGGGCAGCTCAGTCCAGCGCAGAGGCCATTCTGTTTCTGCCAGGTCTAGAGGAACACCGCCCACCGGGCTCCCCCCTCCGCCCCCCCGCCCAGGCCCCAGCCCCTCGAGTTGGCTGCCCGCCCTCACCGAGCACCCCCAGCCGGTAGTTGAGCGTGGCCACGATGACGTTGCCATAGGCGGCCAGCACGGAGCCATCGAACATATTCCCGGTGCCCTCCATGTAGGAGCCGCCGTGCAGAAACAGCATCACCGGCTTCTTCCCAGAGTCCCGGATATCTGCGTGGGGAGGGGGTGGGCGGTGGGCCAGGGTTGGGGGACAAGAACACAATCAGACCAGCAGCAGCACCGCCCAGCTCCCAGGCCTGCGGAGGACCAGCCCGGAGCTCAGGGGACATGTCTCTCCCATCCCTGGGGGGGCAAGACCGGATTCCCCTCCCTCCCTCCCCAGGGAGCCCTGCCGAAGGTCCTACCCCACCTCCTGCCGGCCTGCCCCGCGGCACTTCTCCAAATGCCAGAGGCCTTCCAAGAAGCCTAAGAGGAGGGGGGCGGACCCTCCCCAGGGCATCTGCTGGATCCAGGGGACCCCCTCCCCACACACACACACGGCAAATCTCCTTCCTGCTCTGAGGCAGAGCAAACTCCCAAGGCGGGCTCTAGCGCTAGAGATGCTGGGAGGGTCCGGGCGGTTGCTCAGACTCGGGCCTTGGGTCTCAGGTCCACGTGGTAGCCTGGTCTGTGGGTGAGGGGGTGCCAGCCTAGGGTCCCCGGGGGCCTGGTCTCCTCCCCGCCCTAATTCCTTTCTAGGTCACCTCCCCAGTTACCATGGCAACCCCCAGCCTAATTACCGTGGCAGGAGGAGGCAGGGTGGGAGAGAGCCTGTTTGATAAAGCCAGGGTACAGCTCTTTAGTCTCAGACGCCCCCCCACCCCGCCACTGGCCTGACCCTGGGTTCTGCACTGGACGCCCCTCTTGCCCTGTCCCCAAAGAATCCCATTAATCACTGCCACGTGACCAGGCTGAGGCGTGACAGACTCCAGAAGAGGGTGGGAGTCTGAGAGGGCTTGCCACGGTCCCCAAGGCTATCTGGCCAGTACCCTTCCTTGCAGCTCTCCATGATTCAGCCACAGTGCCCGGCTGGGGTCCCCCATGGCCCACAGGCCCTCCTCTCTCTTGACACTTGCAATCTCTGACTAGCCTGGGCATTCAACAAACCAGAGCCAGACCTGGGCCTCCACAGCCAGTCCCCAGCGGCTCTGCTCGCCTCCGTCCTCCTGCTAGAAACTTTTCTCCTGCCGGGAGGTGAGCCCACAGGACACTGAGACATTCCCCTCCACCCCTCCGGACAGCTTGCGGCCTCCAGTCTCTTAAGACCTTCTCTGCCACCTCCCTCCACCTCGTAGGCTCTGCCCTCTCCATGTCCTCTCCAAATCCTGCTCTTCTCCTCCTTCCGGAACCTCCGGTGGCCTTCCAGCCAGACTCAGGCCAGAGTCTCCTCCCTGCAAGGCCCTCTCTTCAAGTCCTCAGTTCTCCCCCTCCTCCCCACCCGGCACCTCCACTCCCAGTGTTGGGGGAGGAGGGGGTCCGAAAGGGAAGGAGCAGGAAGGGGGGCTGGGGCAACAAGAAATTCAAAACCAACAACAAAAAAACAGGATCAAGAAAGAAGAAAGAAAGAAAAAACAACAACCAAAAAGCAAGAAGCTCTCGGGGGGGGGCAGATTCAACAAGAAAAGAAAAAAAACAACAACAACAACAACAAAAATCCAAAAACAAAAAACCAAAAAGATCCGTTTTTTTGGAAAAAAAAGAAAAAAAGAAAAAAAGTTCTTTGCATTTTTTTTTTCAAAATTTTGTGGTGAAACTTCAAGATATTGGGCCCTGCTTTCAAAAATTTCCAAATTCTTTAATTCGCTTCAAATGTCTGCATTTTCTGCATCTGACAGGCTTTTGAAAATTGGAGGTTTGCTTCTGACGTTTCAATTGTGCCATCGATTTGCCAACTTAAAATTTTTTTTTTCAAATTGTAGTTTTGCTCCAAATTAAAGTTGGTTTTGTTTTGTTTTGTTTTCAAATGTTACATTTCGCAAGTTTCCAAACAGTCCAAATTGCTGTCGAACTCTAAACATTTTATCCAATTCTTTGGTGGTTTGGTTTTGTTTTGTTTTGTTTTCTCTGACATTCCAATTTCTTTTTTCACTTATATTTTTGGCCGTGTTTAGCTTTGCTTGCAGGTTTGCTAGTGGGTCCAACATTGTTCAAATTTCGTTTGAAGTTTTCATAATTCTTTTTTCCAATTATTACAAATTTTTCTTTTCTTTTTTTTTTTTTTTGGTTTTTAGTTGGGAGAAACGACTGAGGGGCCTTGAGGGCTGGGGGGGGGGCATTTAGTTAGGGGCAGGGCCTTGAGCGTCCTCTAATCAGCAACCACATGCAGCAGCGGGATTTTTAAATCTACCTGTGTCTGGCGGATTGAGCGTCGCCTCGTCACGTTTTTTTGTGAGCGGACCTAAGACCGGGAACACAAAACAGAGAAAAAAGGACAATTTTGTGGGGAAAGATGGGGGTCGGGGGGAGGTGGTGGATGGGGAGGGGAGGACAGAAAGCAGAAAAGGGGAGGGTGGAGGGCAGAAAAAATAAGCCAAAAAAAGCAAAATTGGTTTGCAAGAAAAAGAAACCAAGAAAAGAGAAAAACGTTTTCTACAACCCAAATTTGTTTCCCCTCCCCGGAAAAAGTCATGCCCCAAAGAAAAGGTTGGGTTTGGGGGGGTGGGGTGCCTGAGTGGGCTGAGGCCTGTTTTAAGACATATTGACTTGGCTTGTCGCAGTGTTTGCTAATGGCTGGAAACGAAACGGTGTTAGAGGTGGGGGCCGGGGTGGGGAGGGGAGGCCCATCCCCAAGCCCCAGAGGCCAAAGCCAGCTGCCACTCACACAAGGCCCTCTGCGGGGCCAGCCCGGCACCTGCCTGTTCCCCCAGGCTGCGAGGGAGGGCCTGCAGCAGAAAGGACCCATCTGGAGGATCTGGAGGGCAGAGCATAGGATGGGGTTGGGGGCCGCCCGCCCCTGCAGCTCACAGGCCCTTCAAGCCCTCGGCTCCCCACTGCAGGGCTGGGGCCAGGTCAGCTAGGGCCGCCCGCCCACCTGCCCAGCCTCTCACCCGGCCAGCACTCCTCTTCCATCCGCACTCAGGGGCCTGGCTTCTCACCCCACCTCCCCGATGTGGGGCGAAGCAGGGAAAGGGGTCATCAGGTCTTGCCCTCCATTTCACCTCTTCCCTCTGCACCCCCCAACCTCCTCCCTCACCCAGGCCTACTCTCCCCCCACCAAGAACGGTCAACTGCCCACCGGGGACATGAGCACCTCCCCCCCTCCCCCGCCCTGCCCGACGCTGCTCTGATGCCAGAAAGCCCCCCTCCCCAATTCGGGGTTCAGGCCACAAATAGGGAACAGGAAACACAATGCCCTGAGCCAGCCTGACACATAAGGGGCCAGGAGGTGCTGGGAGGCACGAAGTGTTCCCCTGGTCAAGGAAAGGCCCCAGACTGGGCTCAGAGTTTGGTTCCAGGCTCCTTTCAGAAGGGGGAATCGGTCGGGGGGGGGAGCTGGAAGCCAGAAATCAGAGGGGATTCCCCCGCTGATTGGTTTCTCCTCATTGGCATGGGGACGGATGGGTGGGCAAGGTCCAGGCCAGCCTCTGAAGGCTTCTCCCAACTGGTGATGATTGCCCCATAGGGACCCATTAGGATTGGGGTCTGTTCTCTAAAAAAGGATGGGAATGGGGATGAAGTCAGCAGGGCATGCGTGAGCGTGAGAATAGTGTGTGTGTGTGTGTTCACGCGCGCCTGCCTGAGTCAACATCTTCCTTGCAGAGCTGGTGTGAAGACTCAGTGAGATCACCTGAATGTGTCAGGCCCCAAGCAGGTCTGTGATAAGCGATGGTTAAAAATACAGAAGGTGTGGGCCTAGGTGGTGTGGGGGGCAGGGTGGACATTGTGTGTGGAGGCGTTGGGGTGGACAGCCCATTGGTGGTAAGTCTTGGGTGGATATTCCACATGAGGGGTGAGGAGATAGCCCACCGAGGGGGACACTGGCGTGGAGGCTGTGAGTGGAGAGCATGGAGATGGACAGGCCGTGTGGGGGTCCCGGGGAGAATGATTCAGAGGCCACTGTGAAGGGCAGGCTGCTGGGGTAGGTGGCCCACGAGAGAGCAGGGGATGCGGAGTGGGTGGCTCTCCCGTGGAGTATGTGGCAGCACATAGAGTGTATTGGGGTAGAGTCTATTAGGGTGCTTGGGATCTGGATGGGACTGGAGTGGATGATACTTGCGTGCATTGTGGGCATGGGTTGCTAGGAGGCAAGGTTTCCACGGGAGGGGTATTACTGTGTTGGGGTGCGCGGCTGGGAGGAAGAACAGAGGGTGGATGGTTGGCCCAAGGTGCTGGAAGTGAGGGGTTTGAGTGCTTGATCTGCGGGTAGGGCGCAGACTTGCTGCGTGTGCTGTCCCAGCCCGAGCTAAGATACAGCTGGTCTGTAGGTAGAGTTGGGGTAAGCAAAGCTTGGGAAGTGTGGAGGGTGTTGGGGACTGTGGTGTGAGTGGCCACGTGCAGGGTTATTGGGGCCAAGGTCTCTGTATGGGTGTTACTAAGACACATGAGCTATAACTGGGGATACTGGGGAGCATGGGTCTATGTGGGCGATAGGGTACACGGTTTCCGAGAGGCGTTGGGGTGTGTGCTGTGTGAGGGCCCTGAGAATTTGGATACGTGGCATGTTGGAGCACGTGGTCAGTGTGCAGGTTGGCGGGGTACCTGAGCCCGTGTGCTGAGGAGTTGCGAGTCCCGGGGTGTCGTGGCGCGTGGGCACCCGACCTGCGGGTAGCTGGTGCCTACGGTGTCCATACAGGGGTTCCTGGGTACCAGGCCCGTGGGTACAGTTGGAGGAAAACGGCCTGCTGGGGGGTGCTGAGGGAGTAGGGGGCCTCTGTGGAGTGGCAGAAGGCTAACACGGGGCGGTTCATGAGGCTGGGCTTGGGGGCCGGCTGAAGTTCTGCTGAGTACCTCTGTTGGAGACAGGTGGAAGGTACTCTGAAAGATACTCTGTGCGCTGAAGGTTGGCTCGCGGAGAACTTTCCAGGGCAGTGTGCTGGGAGGGGCTGGGAGCACTGCCGCGGGGAACTGGACAGCTCCTTCGCCAGGAGAACCGGCCCAGGGGTCAGGGAGCCCCGAGGGAAAGATGTTCTCAAGGGGATGGGCGCGCTGTGCTGTGAAGGAGGGGCCCTCCCTGATCCTTCAGGGGTGTGTTAGGGGTCAGGGGACAGAGGTTTCGGAAGAAGACGCACGAGGCTGGCGGGAGGCGCTGGGGATGCGATGTGATGGACGCAAGTGTGCCCATGCACCCGGGGAGGAAAAACGAGGTGTCTCTGTTGTGTCTGAGGTGTAGAAGGAACCAAAGCGGGTACTTCTCAGGGAGAAGCCGGGGCCTGGGGGTGGGAGGCGGGACGGCGCTGGGGTGGGTGGCTGGGGGCGGGGGAGATGCTTCCAGTGCCCGCTGGCCCCCCTTGGCCACTGAGTGTGTGCCTTGCAGGGCTGGGGTCTATCAGCCCAGCGTGGTACCTGCTGCTCGCTCTGCGGGCACAAGGACCTTCTGGGGCGGCTGCCCGCGGGATCGTTCCCGCGGCTGCCTGGCAGGCCCCCGTCTCACCCTCGGGGGGCACGCAGCGCCCGCAGGGCCACGCGGCCTCTGGCGGCCCCCACAAAGGCCCAGCTCCCGGCGGCGGGGAAGGGGGGAGCCCGGGGGTCTGCATGCGCGAGTGGGCTGCGTCCGCGGGGCGCCCAGCCTGGTGCCCGCGCCCTTACCGTCCTCGGTGGGCACGTAGAGGTTGAGATACAGGCAGTCCTCGCTCTGGTTCTGCACGTAGGCGGCGGCCGCCTCCAAGTTGTCGGTGAACCACACGGGCAGCATGATGGCGGGCAGCGCCCCGTGCAGGTTCTGCGGGCAGGCGGGCGGCAGGGTGGTGGCGTTGCGCACGCCGGGCCACGAGGCGGGGGCCTCGGGCGGCTGGAAGCGGCGGGCGCCCAGGGGTGGCGTGGCGTAGGGCACGCCCAAAAACTGCACGACGGGGCCCAGGATCTCGTTGTTGAGCTCGCGCCGCACGCCGCGCACTCGCCCATAGGCCGTGTTCACCACTGGGAAGCGCTCCTCCCCGAGGCTGCTGAGGCCCAGGCCCGGGCCGCCCGGGGAGCCGCCGCCGCCGGGACCCCCTCCCCCCCGTTGAGCCCCTGCCAGCCCCACCAGACACAGCGCCAGGAGCCACATGCTGATCGGGGGACCCCCCCTCCCTCCCCGGGACCCCCCCCCCTCGGAGAGAGAGAGAAGGGGGGGGAGAGGGAGGGAGGCCCCCCCTCGCCCCAGTAGGGAGGAGGGGGCGGGGGAAAGGAGGGAGGAGGGGGGTGGGGAGGGACCTGGGTTAGACTGGACAGAGAAAGGGTCTGTTCCTCTCCATGGAGGGGGCAAGGGGTGGGGAAGGGGAAGGAAGCGGGAGAAGGTGAAGGCAGGCCCGACCTGCAGGGAGGAGGCACGGGGTATGCAAGAGACCGACAGACAGACAGACAGACAGAAAAATACAGAGAAGTGGAAGAAGGGAAGGGAAATTGAACAGGGCAGACAGAAGGGAACAGGGAAACAAGAGACAAGTGGTTAGTGACTTGGAATTCAGACCAAGTTGCCCCCCCTTTCTTCCGCCCTCAGGCCCCCTGGCACCTCCCCCCACCCCCAACCCCAGCAACCCCATCCCCGAAGCAGGGACCCAGATAGAAAAGTCTAAGGCTAGGGATAGGGTCAGGACGTAGTATACGCCCAGGACAGAGCCAGAGGAGAAGGAGGGCCAGCTCCCTAGACCCAGCATGCCCCCCACCCTTCCAGCTGCTTTATCCCTCCCAGGCAGGCTCTCCTCAGGGACTCAGGAGTCCCAGTTCCCATCTCCCTGGGAGGGATGAGATAGACAAGGAAGAGAAAATAAAAATACCAAGTCATTAATTAGCAGGAAGTGGCGGGTTTGTTTATACGTGTTAATTACTCCTGAGCTGTAATTTCATGGCACTGAACCCCCACCCCAGGCCAGACTGGGGCCTTTCTTGGGACCACACAATCCCAGCACCTTTTCCTCCCTTCAGCAGCCCATTCCCTACGGATCTGTGCAGCAGGGGAGGGGGGACCCCTTTCCCCTAGGTCTTCCTCATTTCTTCCATCAGAAGTTAAGGTGCCTTGAGGCAGGGGCTGGAGTAGGGAGGGGATGCTGCTGGAGGGGCAAATCCGGGACAGATGCGTGATCCTGCAGCCGGTTGCTGGGCGACGGGATGCTGCCCCGCAATGTTACCTCGGCAACTGGCTGCAGCTTTAACCCTGGAGGGGGGTCTGGAGGAAGAGAGGAAGGGGCTGGCTTGGTTATGGGGTACATTCAGGGCAGGAGGGCAGAGGCGTGAGTCAGAATGCTAGAGTTTCCCCCAACCTTAGCATAGAGAAAGAAGTGTATATGTTGAGGGGAGCGGGAGATTGGGGCATAGAGAACCCTACAAGATCCGCCTCTTGCCCCTTGTTGGCCAATCAGAGCCTAGCCCTAGTGACCAGGCCTCTGGCTGAGGAGAAGGGATGCTGAGGTGGGTTTGGAGGGCATCAGATGCGGCCACAGACCGCCCCCCTCCCACAGTCTCCAACAGCCTTGGACCCCAGATGCCTCTTCCATGCATGGCATTCTGACCCATGTCCTGGGGGCAAACCTCGGCTTTCTTCTCGTCCCATCCCAGCTATTTACCTCCCCTTTCCCTTGCCAGCCCCCCCCACCCCACCCCACAGTTGCTGCTCTGAAGCCTGGATGCTCAGGACAGCAGGGGCAGGACAAGAGACAAGATCAGACCGAAGGGGCAGACACCCAGGTCATTTTGGCAAGCCCCCCCGTCCCCCCCTCCCCAGCCGCCAGAGCTGTTTGCTGACGCGGGGTTTTCAGAGCCAGGCACCAGCCCGCGGGTGGCTCTCTGCAGGTGTCAATTTATTCCAGAGATGAGGACACAGGAATCCTTACCACACACACCCAGTCATGCCTTCCCCCTCTTCAGGTCCTCTTAAGCTCCTGTCCCCCCATCAGCAGGCTTGGGGCTGGCTCCCTCAGGATCTCCTCTGTCTGAGCAGGGCTGGGTTCTGCTTCCATAGTCCCACCACCCCCTCCCCCTCCTACTAACACGGTCTGACTCTGCCCACCCCCCCCACTTAAGGTACTTTGGGTCCCTGGCCTCCTGGCTGCCAGCTTCTTTCCCTTCTTCCCTCCCACTGGAGCCCTCCCCCCATCTCTCTCCCCTCCATAGCGCTCCCTCAGAGCATCTTTCCCGGCCTCTTCCAGCTTGCTCCGGCTTCTGCCTTCAGTCCTTTTCCATCTCTCTCCTCTACATCTCCCTCCTTGCCCGTTTCTCATCTCTCTCTCTCCTTCAAACCTCTTCCCCACGTTTCTCCCTTAAGCCCCTTCTCTCGCTCTCTCTCCCTCTCCCCTCTTTCCTACCTCTGTCTCCCCCATTTTCTCTCCCCATCTCTGCCACATCTTGCTCCCCCTCCTTCTCCCTATCCCTCTGCCTTGCTCTCTCCATTCCTGCCCGGGCCTGACTCCCCCAGCCGGGGAGAATTGAGGGAGGGGGGCTCAGGCCGCAGGTCCCCCCCCTTCCTGCAGTGGGGAAAATGGCTTGGCCGGGAAGGGGAGAAGGAGGGGGAGGGGGAGATGGGAACACACGGGGTCTGTGGGCCCATTCAAAGGATCATTCATGGGCTGGAGAGAGGCAGAGACAAAGAGACCGAGACGCAGAGACACGGCGAGAGCATCCCTAGGCGGAGACACGCAGACAGAGCAGCCTGGGGGGAAACCGGGCGCAGGGAGAAAGATGGGGAAAAGGAGACCCCAGTGGACCGCCACGCACCCCCCTCCACCCGGCCCGGCTTAGCTCCTACCTGGCTCAGCCCTGGGGCCGTGGTGCCTCCATCCAGGGCTCCGAGTAGGGGGCGGACGGGCTTCGGGAGGGGGGCGGCGGCCTCTGAGCCCCCGCGGCCCCGCAGGCCCAGCCCCCGCCCGCAGCGCCTCACCGGGCGGGGGAGGGGGATCGCCCCAGCCCCGGGGGGCGGGGCCGGGACCCAGTCGATCCCCGGGGAAAGGAGAGGTAGGGGATGGGGTCAGGAGGAACCCGAGAACAGGGAACCCCGCAGTGGGGCCGGCGGAGCGAAGAGGGGGCAACGAGAAAGGACTGGATTGGGAATCCACTGGCTCCGTGGGCTGGCTTCGAGGGACCAGAAGGTGGTACCGGCGTAAGATCCTAAGGGATCGGGTGCGGGAGGAGGTGTCCACGGCAATCCCCAGGGGCCCGGAGCCCGGGAGCGCAGGATCCGCGGTGCAGGGGCAGGGATCCAGCCGGAATCCTCGGGGAGGGGGAGGGATCTAGTCGATCCCGAGGGCGGGAGGGAGGGGGAGGTCCAGGGAGTCAGAGGAGGGCGGGAGCCGAGTCTGGAGCCCCGGGGTGGGGGTCGGCAGGGCTCCTAGGAGGGGAAGCGGGGGTAGGGGGGAGGCTTCGGGGGACGCTCAGAAGCCAGGAGGCCCGGACTCCTGGCTCCGCGCGCCAGGGCCCACCCGCCCCGCGTCCATCCCAGCCCGAGAGTGATGATCCGCCGGCGGAGCAGCCGCAGCAGCCCCGCGCGTCACCGCGCGGCCGCCTCCCCCGCCCCCTGCGGAGAGAGCGGCGCACACCCCTCGCTCGCACCCGCCTGCCCGCCCGCCCTCCAGAGTGTGGGGGGATTGGAGACGGTGGAAGGGGGCGGGAGCGGACAGACCGACGGATGGACGAAGCGGACCGGGGCAGGGCGGAGACATCCGCCCTCCCTAGGTCTCCCACCCTCGGGGCTCTGGGGGTTGGTGGCTTGGGTGCGGGTAGGAGGCCGGGGGCGGGGGGGGCGCGTGCTGAACTACAGGGGGCGGGGCATCATATGAAGAAGGCGGGGCCTTGCATCTATGCATCTATGGGCGGGGCCATCTCGATAGTGGGCGGGGTTTGGCTGCGATGGGTGTGGCTTGGCTATCCGAGCGGCCGCCTCTTTTTGGGAGTGGGTCTGGTTTAAAGCTGGAAAGGAGGAGCCAGTGGGGAATGGGGCGGAACTTTGCGTGGGGACCGGGATCTTTGGAAATTGGCTGGAGGTGGGGGGGGGGGATAGGTGTTAGGAGAAGCGATCAACTTTGAAAGTGGGCCAATCCGTGACGCAAATCCTCTAGTCCCGCCTCCCAGCCCCGCCCCTCCCAGCCCCGCTCCTCCGCCCCTAATTGGTTCTCGTTTCTCCGCCCGCCAGACAGCTTCGCCACTCACCAGAGGTTTTACAAAGGCGCAAGTACCCGGGTGAGGACCTGGACGCTGAAATGAACACGGCCCCGATTGGGCACCCGTGGACATCATTTGCATGGGAGTCCGGGATTGGCTGGCCTCTCGGGTGGCCTGGGCGGTGTTCGTCCGGCGCGTGACCATCCGCTGCCATGGCCGGGCCGGGGGCTGCGTTCCGCCGCTTGGGCGCCTTGTCCGGAGCCGGGGCCTTAGGCTTGGCCTCCTACGGGGCGCACGGTCAGGGGGCTGGGGACGGAGCTCACACTGCGAGGGCGACGACCGTTGGTGGGGGGGGGGTGTCTAGTGCAGGGGCGGGATCTGTGGGAAGTGCCAGACAGCCCTCGGAGCCTGACCCTTTTAAAGCCCCCCCGCCCCGGCCCGGTCCAGTTTGGTTCCCAGAAGTGCCCATGCGTGTTTCCACCAATCGGAAGCCTCCTGGGGACATTCCTTATCGCCCGTGTCCACCTGGGTCCCGCCGGGAGTTGGGGCGGTCGAGGCCGGTGCTCGGACTGGTAACCTTTGCCTCTCCTTCCACAGGCGCCCAGTTTCCGGATGCCTACGGGAAGGAGGTGAAGTAACCGCGCTGGGGCTCCCCAGCTTCCGGGTCGACGAGCGCCCAAAGTCTGGGGTCGCCGCGAGAAGCAGGGGAGGGGCGGAGCGCGGGGCTCGGGAGCGCCGAGGGCGGCCAGCCTGAGCCGTGGGTGCCTGGGGGAGAGGCCAGCCGGGACTTCAGTTGGGGGCCGACCGGGGTCCAGGCTCCAGCGTTGCTTAGGAAATGCACCCACCCCCACCCACCTTTCTCTTTTTCTTACAGCTCTTTGAGAAGGCCAACAAACACCACTTCATACACAGCCTGGCCCTGATAGGGGTGCCCCATTGCAGAAAGCCCCTCTGGGTAATCTGACCCCCTTGCCTAACCTTGACCAAGCCCCACCCGCTCCCTTTCTGTCAGCACTTTTCTTACTGGCCTGCATTCTTCCTTGTGTCTCCTTCAGGCCGGGTTACTGCTAGCCTCTGGAACCACCTTATTCTGCACCAGCTTTTACTACCAGGCTCTGAGTGGAGACCCCAGCATCCAGACTTTGGCCCCTGTGGGAGGGAGCCTGCTCATCTTGGGCTGGCTTGCCTTGGCTCTTTGAGCTTCCTGGTGTTTGATTTCTGGGCACTTCTTTGAGAGTTGGAGCAGGGAGGGGATTAAAAGAGAAAGGCAAATAAAGAGCTTGAGTCTTTGTTCATCTTGGAGGAAGAAGGGTAGGGATTGTCAACCTCTGGACGCCCTCCTTTTCCTGAGACCGAATCTTGGGTCTGGGGATTCTGTTCCCTTCCAAGTTATGAGGTTCTTAGACCAGGGGACATCAGGGTCATAAAGAGTGCTTGAAATAATGCGGAGTCTTACCGAAATGCTCTTTGGGGCCTGGGATTCTGTATTCTAATAAGCTCAGCAGTGGTTCTGATGCTCACTAGAATTTGAAGATGACTGTAGGGTAGTGCTTTTCAGCCCTGTCAGCCCACAAATTTCTTGAGCCCACTAGCAGTCAAGGCAACACAGGAAGAGGGCCATGAGTTATAAAATATTTTGCGGTTCAACACAGGGACAGATCATCATGTATGGGGGGCGGTCAGAAAATGCTTCACAGGGCTTGAGATGATCCTTAAAAGAGCTTTGTTGTGTGGAGGAGACCATGAACAGAGACAGAGGTGGGAAAGGGAGGGGTAAGGGGCTCCCCAATCTTCAGTGTGGGGTGGGCGGAATTTTTGAGTTAGGCAGGATAGAGGGAGAAAAGGTGGCAAGGCAGGCTGGAGTGGCTCTCGCAGCAGGTAAGGACCCCGAAGAGATGTAGGGGGCAGCCAGGGCTCATCAAGTGGTCATCATGTGTCAGACACACGTTACAAGGAAATTCAACCATGAACAAGACAGACACCATCCTTTCCCCATGGGGTTTCCCATCTAGGAGGAGAAACGGACTTGAACAACTCAACGTACAAATGTATCGGTGTGTGTTGTGCTTTGTGCTTGAAGGAGCAGAACGGGGCGGGGGCAGGGGGAGAATGGGGTAGTGGAGGGAGTGCTCCCTTAGATGGGAAGGCCTCTCGAGGAGGTCCCGTTGAAGCGGGAGCTAGTCAAGCGCAAGGTTGGAAGGGGAAGTGTATTCCGGGCAGAAAGAATAGCTTTCAAAACAGACTACAAAGGAGCAGTTCAAAATCCTCGAGGCAGGAGAAAATCGGGCCTGTTGGAGAAGGAGCAAAACCAGTGTGGCTGATGGGTGGGGAGGCGGGGCCCCGGATGCTCCTGCGGGCCTTGCAGGGAGTGGTAAGGCACTTGGAATTCATTTGTAACACAGCAGTAAATGGCTGAAAGTTTTTAAAGTAAGAGAATGCTAGGATTTGATGTATACATTGAGAAGACGTGGGGAACCCATGGAGAAGAGGAAGGCAGGATGGCCGCAGGGAGACCAGTCAGGAGGCTCAGGTATGAGATGATGGTGGTGGCTTGGCTTAGGGTGGAAGAGGTGGTCAAAAGGGCCCAGCTCAGAATGTATTTTGAAGGTAGTACTGATAGGACCTGCTGATGGACCGGATAGAAGGGGTGAATGAGTCGGAGACTTCTGGCTTATACACCTAGCTAGAGGTGCTGTTACTCGGATGAGAACAGAGAGGGGGCAGATCGGGGGAGGCCGGTCAGCAGGTCAGTTTTGGATGGGTTGCTTCTGAAATGCCTGGGATGCATCCAAGCAGGTAGTAGTTGGGGCGCTCAGGGAAGGTCTGGACTCAGGTTTACTCAGCCCTCCTGCCCCTAGCCAGTCTTGTCTTCCATCCCACCTCTGCCCCATAAACGCCCTTGGAAGGATCCCGTGGATTGCTAGGACGTCCTGGTTGCCCGATCCAATGGATGACTTTCAATCTCGTCTTCTTCGGCCTCTGCGGCATTGGACGCAGTTGGCCACACTGTCCCCGAAACACATCCTGGCTTCTCTCACGCCACTCCTGGTTTCCCTCTTTGCCGTGGCCGCTCTGCCCCTTTTCCTTCGCTGTCTAGTTTAAATTCATGTTTTTCAAATTCTAATGAAAGAAACTTGGAACTCCTGTGTATACATGTTTTAACATCAGCCTTGTCACTTTCCATTTTTGTGTATGTTTCATCAAGTGCATATCTGTGTGGTATGTTGGAGGTGCGTGCCTAATTTTTTGGAAGGTGTGCATTCAAAAGAGTATGGACCGTTTCTCTAAATGAGAGGATCTTCAGGTAATCTTGAGCCCTGTATCTTCAATTACAATCTGAATTATTATTTTTTAAAGATTTATTTATTTGACAGAGAGAGACACAGCGAGAGCAGGAACACAAGCACGGGGAGGGTTAGAGGGAGAAGCAGACTTCCCGCTGAGCAGGGAGCCCAATGCGGGGCTCGATCCCAGGACGCTGGGATCATGACCTGAGCTGAAGGAAGACGCTTAACGACTGAGCCACCCAGGTGGCCCACAATCTGAATTCTTTTATTTTATTTTATTTTTTATTTATTTTATTTTATTTATTTATTTATTTATTTTTTTAAAGATTTTATTTATTTATTTGACAGAGAAAGACACAGCGAGAGAGGGAACACAAGCAGGGGAAGTGGGAGAGGGAGAAGCAGACTCCCTGCCGAGCAGGAAGCCCGATGCGGGACTCGATCCCGGGACTCCAGGATCATGACCTGAGCCGAAGGCAGTCGCTTAACCAACTGAGCCACCCAGGCGCCCCTTATTTTATTTTTTAAAGATTTTATTTATTTATTTGAGACAGAGAGAATGAGAGAGACAGAGAGCACATGAGAGGGGGGAGGGTCAGAGGGAGAAGCAGACCCCCCGCCGAGCAGGGAGCCTGATGCGGGACTCGATCCCAGGACTCCAGGATCATGACCTGAGCCGAAGGCAGTCGCTCAACCAACTGAGCCACCCAGGCGCCCCGCTGAATTCTTTTAAACTTAGGATCTCTGTCTCCCGCTCTAGTCCCTGCTGAGCTCCAGACTCCTGTAGCAGCTGCAGTGTGCCAGAATGTTCTGTGGGGACCTGAAGGATGCGGTGATGCAGAGGGGGCGGGGGTGTGTTCCAGACTAAGGTAGGGGCTTCCAAGGCAGCCCTGAAGCAGACAAGAGCCCAGTGCATTTGAGACCTGAAAGAATTCCTCGTGGGGTGCCTGGGTGGCTCAGTTGGTTAAGCGACTGCCTTCAGCTCGGGTCGTGATCCCGGGGTCCTGGGATCGAGCCCCACGTCTGGCTCCCGGCTCGGCAGGGAGCCTGCTTCTCCCTCTGACCGTATCCCCTCTCATGCTGTTTCTCTCATAAAGAAAGAAAGAAAGAGAAAGAAAAGAAAGGAAGGAAGGAAGGAAAGAAAGAAGGAAAGAAAGAAAGAAAAGAAAGAAAGAAGGAAAGAAAGAAAGAAAAGAAAAAGAAGGAAAGAAAGAAAGAAAAGAAAGAAAGAAAGGAAAGAAAAAGAAAGAAAGAAAGAAGGAAGGAAAGAAAGAAAGAAAAGAAAAGAAAAGAAAGAAAGAATTCCTCATGGCCTGGGGCTCCTGGGAGGCTCAGATGGTCAGGTCATGATCCCAGGGTCCTGGGTTCCAGCCCCGCATCAGGCTCCCTGCTCAGCAGGGAGTCTGCCTCTCCCTCTCCCTCTGCCTGCAGCTCCCCCTGCTTGTGCTCTCTCTCTTTCAAATAAATAAATAAAATCTTCAAAAAAAAAAAAAGAATTTTTGGTGGCTGACTTGAAGACAGGAGAGGGTCTTAGTGAAAAAATGTGGATCCCGGGGGCCAGATCGGGGAGGGCCTTGGGCTGACATGTTGGGCTCTCTCCTGAGGGCAGTGCGGAGCCATGGAAGCATTTATACCCAGGGAGGAGGCATGATTTGAGGTGTATTAGTAGAAGATCACTGTATTTCTTCATTTTAGTGAGGACTAAAATGCAGCCTCAGAGGGGCCGCCAGAGTGGCCCAGAGTGCCAGTGGCCAAGCCAGCATGGGATCCCCAGGCTCCAAGCTCCCCCAGTTCAGGGCCCCTGCTGCATTTCCATCCTTCACCCCAGGCAGTGCGTGGGGCACAGCGAACCTCTAGGTGGAGGAGACCCCCAACACCCAGAATGGCCACCCTCCCTGTAATGTGATCCTTAATACCTTAGCTTTGACCCTGCCAGTGGGAGGGGCCCTTGAGGAACCAAGATGAATAAGGCCTGCTTGGTAATTGGTCCCTATTATTATTGCACGTTGTGTCCAGTTCTCAACAGTCCTACAAGGAAGCAGGAAGTGAAACTAGGAGAGGTGAAGCTACTTGTTCTGTATCATAGCCAGGTGTAAGCTGCGATTCAAACCCTCTTCTGTCCAACTCCCAGAGTTCTTCCCTTCTTGTACACGCCAAGACAGACTTCAGCAGTGTAGACAGACCCTAGCAAAAAATAATTTGATACAATGTGATCAGTGTTACATGTAGATACTAAGGTGGGCTCCTTTTGCTTTGGGGGACTGGTAAGGCTTCTGTCCACCTGCTGGGGTTCAGCATGAATAGTTCACCAGAAGGAAAGGGACAAACCACAGTGTGAACAAGTCAAGAGGGAGAACAGGAGGGCCTGTAGCTCAGGATGGAGTGGGCAGGCAGGAAATGAACGAACAGGAAGAGCAGAGCCCAACCAGGCAGGGCCTCCTGGGCCCAACCTGAGTCAACTTTGCTTGCCCTTTTTCTCACATTCTGTATCCAAGCAAGCCATCAAGGCCTGTTGGCTAAATGCGTAACCAGAACCTGACCACTTCTCACCACCGGCACCTCACCTACCACTCCGGCCCCTGGTCCAAGCCACCATCACATCCCACCTAGCTTTCTGCAAGAATGTCCTTCTGCCCTTGCCTACCTACAGCCTACTCTGGACAAAACAGCCTGAGAGAGACACCCTGTAACACGGTGGTCCTCAGCCTTAGCTGCACATTAAAGTCTTCAGGGAATTCTCAGAAAGTTCTACTGTCTGCACCTTAACCCAGATATTCTAATTGAGTCGATAGGACCAGGGACCCACGCAGAGGTATTTTGTAAAGCACCCAGATGATTCTATCTTGTGGCCAGAGTTGAGGACTCCCGATTGTGTCAGTCTCATGTCTCTGTCCAAACCCTGCAACCCTTCCCATTTCACTCAGAGTCCAATCCGATGGTCTGCAAGGCCATACGTGATTCAGGTTCCTGTGACGTCTCTTACTTCTCCCTGGTTCACTCCAGTCAGGCCACGTTGGCCTCCTTTCTGTTCATTGAACAAGTAAGGCACACTTCTCCCTCAAGGTTTTTGCCTTTGGCATTCCCTCTGCCTGAAACATCTTTCACCAGATGTCTGCCTGCCTCGATCCTTAACCTTCTTTAGGTCTTTGCTCAACTACCACCTTCTTGGTGGTACCTTCCTCGTCCACCCTCTTCAGAATCACAACTCCTGCCCATCACCCTGTATCCTCCTCATCTTGCTCTGTTTTTCTTCAAAGCACTTGTTACCATCTGACTTCCAGTATATTTTACATTATCTATCTCTTCTCTACTAGAATGCAAGCCCCAGGACATCAGCAATTTTTGTTAATTTCTTTTTTAACTGGTGTATTTTCCTGGGTGCCTGGGTGGCTCGGTCGGTTAGGCGCCTGCCTTCGGCTCAGGTCATGATCCCGAGGTCCTGGGATCGAGTCCCGCATCGGGCTCCCTGCTCAACGGGGGGTCTGCTTCTCCCTCTGATCCTCTCCCCTCTCTCTCTCAAATAATAAATAAATAAATAAAATCTTTAAAAAAACAAAAAACAAACAAACAAAAACCTGCTGTGCATTCCTATCAAATGCTGTCTGACATGGAGTAGGTGCTCACTAAATCTTTGTTGAACAACCGAATTTCTGTATGTTTATATGTTTTGGTGGATGCTGGTCCATGGTTCAGCCCATGTAGCATCTGAGGTACTAAGGGATACCAGGGGAGAGGTCAAGCACTTGGGTCCGAAGCACATGATGACTGAAGCTGTGGGAGCAGCTGACCAGCCCAGAGGAACACGGACATAGGGGCAAAGGCGCCCCACCCGCACCCTGCTGCTCCGCGTCCATCATGAGGGGTGACGCCTCCACCTGCCTGGTCAGCAGACCAGGGCCCCGGGGTCATCCTGAACTCCTTACCTCCACATCTCACCCCTCAAACAAGTTCTGTATTACTGTCTAAGTACCCCCCAAGTCTGCCACCTCTATCTGTCTGCACTGACACAGCATCCTCCCCTCCCGGCTATGTCAACGACCCAGCCCGGGTGCCTTCAGGAAGGCCCGCCTTGCAGGTTTAAGTGGTTTTGCTCACACACGACCTGGACCCTCTCTTTGGGTCTGCAAATCTTTCGGTGGGCTCCCTGCCGTCCCCGGGGCCAAGTCCCGGCTCCCACCAGGCCTTCTGTACACGTGGGCTGGCCTCCCCCTCGAAACTCCTCTCTTGCCTCCCGGCCTATAGGGCCCAAGGCTCAGGGCTTCCTCACACCCGCGGGCCTCGGCCCGGGACGCAGAAGACGCGACTCCGGTCGGGAGGAGGCTTTCCCGCCGGCCGCGCTGCCGCCTCCGGGCCCCCGAACCTCCCCGCGCGCACGCTCGTCGCTGACGCCGTTCGGCGGCCTGTCACCCACGTGGCAGGCGTTCCTGCAGGCGGGACTGCAGTTGCAAAGGTGTCTGTGTGGGTGACGGCGGCGTCACAGAGAGGAGCCCGCGAGGCAGCCCCCGGGACGCAGAAAGGGAGCCGGGGGCCAGTCCTGGAAGCCAATGAGCGAGTGTGAAGGGTGTTCCGCTGCGTCAGCGGGGCCCGAGCCGCCCTTGGGAGGAGGAGCCTGGGGTCCAGCGCCGCGCAAGCGGCCCTCGCTTCCCACCCAGGGACCCCGAGCCCTCTGCGCCCGCAGACCTGGCGGGGTCGCAGGGCTAGGTCTCCGCCGGCCGCCCTCCGCCCTCCGCCCTCCGCCGGCGAGCTTCCTCTGGCCTGCGGCGGCAGAGCGCAGGAGGCGGGGACGCCGACCGCCCGGGGCGGCCGGCGGTCCAGCGTCCGCGCCCCGCCGAGAGCCGGCCTGCTTTCTACGCAGGCGCGCCGCCCAGGCCGGGAGGGGCGGGGCCCGGACGGGTCGAGGGGCGGGGCCAGATCCCGGGCCCGCCTCCACGGGCTCCTGTGAGCCGCCGAGCGCTGGGCACCGCAGCTATTCTAGGGGCTTCAGGTGAGCGGGGCGCACCGAAGGGCCGGGAGGCCTCCCTGGAGGTCGGGCCGTTGGCCGGGTGCATCTGTCCTGCCGTCTGCCAACAGCCGCCTCCGCGGGGCATGGGAGAACAAAGGGAGGGGGCGGTTCTGGGGCCCCCGAGGGAAGCCAGGGTCCCAGGTACCCCGCCCTGCCCTCTGACACTTTCGGTTTCTCCCTGAGTCAGAGGCGCCGTCCGCGAGACCCTGGGCCGGCGCCGGGCGCAGCGGCCTGTCCGCGTTGGCCTGTCCGTCTTTGTGTCTGTCTGTGTCGGTCTGGCTGTGCCCGAACTTGCCTCCACCTCTAAAACGAAGCCTCCCGGACAGCCCGGCATCCCGCGAACTCTCGCCCCTCTCCCATGGCAGGTAAGTGGGCGCCAGGCTGAGGGTCTCTGTTATCCCCCCCACGGACTGGGGAGCTGGGCGTCGAACACATCCTCCGGGAATGTGCTCCGACTGGCTGCGTGGGGCCCCTCCCTTCGTCCCGGGGAGCCGCCGCCCTGCTCCCCCGCCCCATCTTTCTCAGCTTCTTCCCATCACATTTTCCCCGCAGCCTCGCGGCCCGTGGGCCTAAGGGGAAGAGGGATGAGGCCGCGGGTCCCTTTCTAATCCACCCCCTTCCTCCCCGACAGGCTACTTGCCCCCCAAAGGGCACGCCCCTTCACCCCCACCTCCCTACCCTGTTACCGCTGGGTACCCGGGGCCGGCGCCAGTGCCCTCCCACGTACCTGCCCCTGCGCCCGCCTTCTCTCTCTTCCCCTCGCCCGGCCCCGGAGTCCCCGGGCCTGCTGCCCCATTCTTGCCACTGCCGGGGGTGCCTTCCGGCCTCGCATTCCTGGTGCAGGTGAGTGGCAGGGAGGAGGGGAGGAGTGGCGAGGAGGGGACCCTGGCATCCAGGCCAGCCAGCTGACATCGACGCCCACCCTACTCTCTTTGCAGATTGATCAGATCTTGATTCACCAGAAGGCTGAGCGAATGGAAAGTGAGTGGAAGGAGGAGTAGGGTGGGCCTCGTGGCGGGGGCAGCGAGAGTGGGCTCCTGGGGGCGGGGGTGCCCGTGGTGCCTGAGCCTCAGCGTGTCTCCGCCTGGCAGCGTTCCTCGGCTGGGAGAACTGTAACCGGTATGAACTGCGCTCGGGGGCCGGACAGCCCCTGGGCCGGGCGGCCGAGGACAGCAACTGCTGCGCGCGTCTGTGCTGTGGCGCGCGCCGGCCCCTGCGTGTCCGCGTGGTGGACCCCGGTGACCGCGAGGTGCTCCGCCTGCTCCGCCCCCTGCACTGTGGCTGCGCGTGCTGCCCGTGCGACCTCCAGGAGGTGGGCGGGGAGGGCTGGGGGGGGCAGGCCGTCGTGGGGAGGGCCCCTGACCGAATGAGGCGCGCGCGCGGGGTGACGTGCGGCCCCGGTGGGCGCGGGCGGGTGGGATGCGAGGTCAGCGAGCGGGGTGACAAGGGGTCATGCGAAGGGGATGGGGGGTCTCGTGAGGGCAGACGGGTGACAGGGCCTGGCCGGCGAGAGCGCGGGCCGGCCAGCCGTCTCGGCAGTGACCCCGTCCGCCTCCCACTCCAGATGGAAGTCCAGGCTCCCCCCGGCACCACCATTGGCCACGTACTACAGACCTGGCACCCCTTCCTCCCCAAGTTCTCCATCCAGGATGCGGACCGCCGCACGGTCCTGCGCGTGGTGGGGCCCTGCTGGACCTGTGGCTGCGGCGCGGACACCAACTTTGAGGTACCAGGAATAAGGGGAGATTCCTGGGACCGTCGCACGCCAAGATGGCAGCTTCTGGGAGGCAGGATAGCCCACATGAAGGTCAAGACCCTGAGCTCCTCAATCCGAATCCGCTGTGACTCCTACCACACTTGCGGTGATCCTCCCTTCAGAAAGGGATGCCCCTGTGGTCTTAAGAAAGGAAGCTTGGCAGAGAGGGTCTCATCTTGAGGACCAATGCTGATGGTTGCCTGCAGCCCTGTGTGCAAGGGCAAGAGTCTGAGGCCGGGCCTGATTTAGGGCACGTCCGCTGTGGGCTGGACCCATGTGGCTGCCATGCGTGAGTTTGGGAGCCCAGACCCAGAAGCAAGCGCCTGCATTGGTGGTTCAGTGGTAGAATTCTCGCCTGCCAGAAGCAAGCGCCAGTTTAACTTGCTAAGATCCTGCGGCTTGCCTCGCCAACCTAGAAGTCCAAACAGCGCCCCCACAACCTGGAATCCAGGTGCTCTGTATCCTTGTCATCATGCATGGCTATCATCAGCCTGGACAACCCAAGTGGTGACACTTTCAGGGGGAGGCCGGGGAAGCACCTCCATTTCTAGAAGACAGAGGCATGTCACAGACACTTGAGTTCTTTAAGGGATAATCACCAGTGCCGATAAGGGAGAAATAACAGGTAGAACCCCACAGACCCCAAGGCTTTTGATGAGGTGTCTGGACTAAGCCTGCTTTTAAAAATCGAGTTCTGTGGTAGGTGGGTGGAGGTTCCATGATGGGAAGATCACCAGGTGAGCTCTGGATGGGAACGTGGAGACTGTGGGGCCCTCATAGGGCCAGTCTCCCTGGGGAGCTGCCCTTGGGAGAGGCCCTGCCCAGCTTGAGACTGGTCTGCAGGAAGTGCCCCAGCGCTGTGGGACAGTGGGGGACAGGGATGGGAAGGGCATCGTTCTAGCCACTGAAGACTAAGCCAAGGAAAAGGAACAGGGAATCACTGTGAATTACCACCCACAGCGGCAGGGCCTGTTGCTGCTGGGCCGAGAGGTCCGTGGAAATCATGGGCCTCACAGGCCACTTACTGCCGCCCCCGCCCCCCCCCCCCCCCCCCGTAGACGGGCGTGGATCCCCTCTGGATGAAGCTTGCATGCGATGCTGGACAGAGCCCTTCCTACTTTGCAGAATCGTGGAAAGGCACCCCTCGGGCAACCACAGCCTTCCAGGAGCCTGGCTGGCTGATAGAGCGCAGCCTCCCTCCCTGGCCCCTCTTGACCAAGTTCCTGCGTTCAGGGCACCCACTGCACCAACCGTAGGTGGTGGGTACTTTGGTAACCAAAGCAAACCCGGCAGACAGCCCTACGCTGAGATGAGTAGTACATCCCGCTTCCATGTCCCCCACCGCTGATGTTCCGTTCTCATGTACGGCCTTTCAAGAGCAACACATCAGAGTCCGAATTCTGATTTTTGCTGTACCTAGGGTGACTCGGTTTCCCCCAATGTCACATGGAAACCCAAGGCTGTTGGAAGCGTGACCTAGGGTGACTCGGTTTCCCCCAATGTCACATGGAAACCCAAGGCTGTTGGAAGGATTCCCTGAGTGGAGAGCCTGCACGGTCCATGCGAGGGGTGGTGGTGGGAGAGCAGTCGCATCCTCCCCAGTTGGGTTCTGCCCCCCACCCCAGGTGAAGACCCCGGATGAGTCCCGCAGCGTGGGCCGCATCAGCAAGCAGTGGGGGGGGCTGTTCCAGGAGGCGCTCACGGATGCAGAGGACTTTGGCCTGCAGTTCCCGCTGGATCTGGACGTGAGGGTGAAGGCGGTGCTGCTGGGAGCCACATTCCTCATCGTGAGTTGGCTGCCCCGCCTCCCCTCCTGATCTCTGCTCTCACTCTCCAGGCTTTGTGCACTGCCTGGCTTCCTGCTCAGACAGGGTTAGGGACGCGGGCTTTATAGGGGCTTGCGGCGCTTGACCTGGGGTGTGAGAGCTGAGCTAGGCCGGCCCAGCCAGCTCTGTTGACAGTGCCCTCCCCTCAGGACTACATGTTCTTCGAGAAGCGAGGCGGCGCTGGGCCCTCGGCCATCACCAGTTAGAGGCCACCTCGGGGTGAGGAGACCATCACCTCAACGGGGATCCAAGATGGCGGCCTGTCCCGGCCCCTCCTCAGAGGCAGCCCCTTCCCTCAATGTGCACTGCAGGGGACGGACAGGGATGCCCAAGAGTCTAGGGGCCACGGCGCCCTACCCCTACCCCTACCCTGATTCCCTGGCCTCCTTCACCTCGGCCCCCAGACAAGGGTATGTAGGAGAGCCCTTCCCCTGCGACCTCCCACCCGTCTCTGGTGAGCCCCCAGCACACAGGCAAATCTGCTTTCAGACTCTCCCTCCCCTCCCCGTGCTCTCACCCCCTACCGGGTCCCTGCTCATGTGGCCTGTGGTGTCCAGAGCCCTGGGGTTTTCTGATGGAGCTGGGGTGGGGCGGGGGACGCAGCACCAAAGATGGCGGGTATGACAGCTGTCTCCCCGCACTGGCTTGGCCAGCGAGTCCCGCCCTAGACGGTGGCACTCTGAGGGGGTCCCCCCTCCCTGTCAACAGCTGTAGGGCCTACCCTCCGGTGCCAACTTCCTTCCCCCGGGCCCTGCCCACGGTTGCAGCTTTTGTGCCTTATGCAAGCACCCCATCCTTTCCTCGCCCTGGGAAGGAGGCTGCCATCTTTGTATGACATATTCATATAAACTTTGTAACTTTTCGGATACTGGAAGATGTATGTAATGGGAGAGAGAAGAAGAGCTGGTGCGGGAAGAAACCAAGGGAAACAGGACAGCTGGGCTGGGGTGGGGGCCGGCCCGTTTCATCATCCAGGCTGCCAAGATCCAGGGTCCTGGAGTTCAAGAGGGCAACGACATCCTCCATCACGGCCCTGGACAGGGCCAAGGCAGTTTGGGCCACGTACCCCAAATCAGTATGGTTGCTTCTACCATCCAAGATGGCTGCCCCCCCAGAGGCCAGTGTGGTAGCTGACCGCCGTTCGGGATGGCTGCTCCTGAGGTCCTCTGTAGCAAGTGGAAGCTTCCTGTGCGTGTGATGTGGGGCCGCTCCGTCCCTCCAAGTTCTCTTGGTTGGGAATATGGTAGGCAGACTGGACTAGATCCTTCTATGAACCAGCCAAGGGAGCTGGAGCCCTCAGAGGCCAAGGGGCACCGGAGGAGATGCTGGTCAGTGCCTGACGCCGGGCTCCTCCTGTACCTGCCCACCACACGATCTCCCTGGGTGGGAAATTCTGCCCTGGTAGGTCCAGGTTCTGGTTCTGCTTGGTCCCGCAGGGCCGGGCCCTCGATCCAGGCTGGTATCCCCGCCCAAGGGGGCAGTGCTCAGGGCCGGGCCAGGACATAGCGACTGGCGGCAGAGAGATCCCACTGGTAGTGCTCCAGGATGCGTCGGCAGTCCGCTCTGGACTGGCTGCTCAGATGGAAGAGCTGGTCCACCTGCGGGGGCGGGAGGGAGGGCAGTGGGGGCCGGGGGCCGGGGCGGGAGCGGTGCGAACCCGAGAGCAGGGTCTGGCTTTACCTTGAGGTTCTGGATGGCAGAAACCACGTCTCCCCCAGTGGCCCTCAGTGCTGCCTGGCACTCCTGGTGGGTGACTCCATGCACGCTCAGCTCCACCTGCGGGGCACACAGCCTTGCTCAGGCCACTACCCCTGCCCGGAGGCCCCTCTGGACACCAGCCACTTCAGGGACAGCTCACCTCCACGATCCTCCTCTGCAACTTGGGGTCGGGCAAGAGGCCTCCAGCGGGGACGGTGACTTTGCTAGCTCCAGGCGCCCCCGAGGGACGGCTGTGGGGGGGTTCCCTTTTGGGCCAGGGAGGCCGCTCCCTGGGGGGCTGGCTGGGCTGAGAAGGGCTGGAGGCAAAGGGAGGGCGGGATGGCAGGCCTGGGGGTCCCTGGGGCACGGCTCTGGCATGACGAAGTTCGGGGGGGCTTGAACCACCCCCTGTGGGGCGGGGGCCCGGGGACAGAACGGACTCCAGACTCTTGGAAATGACTGTGCAGTTGAGAAAAAAGGAGCTTGAGAGGAAGCCCAGACGCGGGGTCCTGCCTTCTCCCCGCTCTGTGCGCTGCTCTCGGGGTGACCCTCGGTTAGGGGCGCGGCAAGGTGTGCCGAGGTAGCGGAAGGCCCCGAAGAGCCGAGATGGCAGGAACTGCAAGGGGGAGCGGGCAGATCCTAAAGTTCAGCGAGCCTGTCGACTCACATACTCAAAGGTCGGGACTCGGGGTAGGGGCAGCATCGGAGGGTCGTTCTTGATTTCCTCGGAGACCCTGGAAGACGGGTCCCCACCAGCCACACCCACCTTTCATCCTCTGCAGGGGCACATTCCTTCTCTGGCCCCGTGCTGGAGGTAAATCCCGAAGCTTTGCCTTCCCTCTGTCCCTGTTGGAGAGAGTGATCCCGGTCACTCTCCACACCCCCACCCTACCACTGGCCTGGCAGTGTCCCCCCCCCACACACACACACTCTTTCAGGTGCTCACCCATCTACGCTTCCCTGATGTCGCTCCCCCTGGGCAGGGGAGACCCTGTGGACTGGATGGGTGGCTGGTGAGCCCCCCGCATCTGCCAGCGTCACTGCCGAGGCTGGGAAGCTGCCCACCTTGAATGTGCGGCCGTTCTGGCCCTTCCAGGCTGCAGAGTCAGGGCTGTGGGAAGGGGTGAAGGGGACAGAGTGGGGGCTGGGCTCGCGCCCACATTCAGCTTGCAAGCTGTGTGCCATGGAGCTGCATCTGCCTGGAGGAAGGGAAGCTTTTTTCTCCGGAACACAAAAGGGCTCTATGGGCTTGGTGGCTCCAGCCAGAGGCCACAACGGTAGTGCAGCTCTGGGGGGGGGGGTGCGCCCGTGGGGGAAGGGGGGAGGCAGAGGAGCAGGGTTCAAGGAGCTGGGGAGCAGCACATGGAGACCAGGGTCAGGAGGGTTGGCTGGGAGTCCTCCTCCTGGGAACGTGTGGGAGGCATGAAGCTCTCACCTGCCCTCGATGATGGTGATGGGGTCACCAGTCTGCATCCTTAGGGCGCCTGGCTCCGTGACATCCCGCACACAATGTCCCTCCGGAGGCCAGGCCTGCAGAGGCAGGAGGAAAGGGGGGCAGGGCTTGTGGCCTGAGTCCGAAGGGTAATTTCGTGGGAGCAGGGAAGAAAGGAGACTCCTCTCTGTTAATGTACCCACCGACGAAACCCATCCAGCTATGTCCTTGGTCCTGGGCCCAGGGTGGGACTGTCCCTGTCCCCCGGTTGTGATCCAGCAGGGGAGGCAGACCTGGAGTCCATGCCAAGCTGGACATAGCCCAGGGGTCAGCAAGCAACAAAGGGGGGCCCTGTCTCTACCGAGGAGAACCAAGGGGAGAGTGGTCCCATGCACTGCTTTTACCCCCCACACAGCTCCGCCTAACAGGGCTCTGGAAATTTTCCGTTTCTTTTCTGGAAATTTCTGCCTTGACCCTGAACCAGACATCATTTCGTTCCTGCTTTGCAGCCACTGTCACCTACCTGCTCTTCCCATGTTCAGTGTCCTCCCTCCCATCCCTTCTTGCACCAAGCCAGAGTGATAGAGCATGTAAAGCTGGCTTGTGACTCCCCCCGCCCAAAACCCTTCCATGGCTCCCAGGTGCCCTCAGAGTAAAGACTAAACTTCAACAACAGAGTTCAGTGATTTAGATCATTTGACTGGTTCAACTGACCTAAGAGGGTTCCTCCGCTTACCCTATGAATTTAGGCAAACCACTTCAATGCCTTAACTGCCCCATCGGTAAAGGCCACGAAATAGCAGCCTTCCTGGGTTGTGAGGATGAAGTGGGTGATCGTGCAGGAAGATAACGTGTGGTACGGGGCCTTCCATAGATCAAGCGCCCTGTGTTAGATCTGGTTATCTATCACTCCTTCCATATCCCTCCGGGGCACGCCCCTGAGGTCCCTGCGCGGTCTCCACTCCCCCCCCCCCCCCACTCCCCCCACCCCCCACCCCCTGCCTGCTGAACTTCTTTTCCTCTGCCTGTAGACCCTCACAGCAGCCTGGTGCTCTGTGCTCCCCCTTTTCTGGCCCAGCTCCAGCCTCCAGCCCTGGAGCTGCCTCCCCAGGGCTCCGAGCACCCTGCAGGCAGAGCCCGAATCTGTCGGTCTTTCCCAGACCCCAGCCCGGGACTATCTGTTGGTCTTGCGCGTGCCACTCGGGGAGAAAACGGGGAAGTGAGGGGGTGGATGTGGGGAGGCAGGGGCTCCCACCTCTTGAAGTAGCTCCTCCAGGTAGGAAAAGCTAGGCCGGTCGGCGGGGTGGGGGGCCCAGCAGCGCAAGGCCAGGGCGTAGAGCGCCCTGGAGCAGAGGGGAGGCCGAGGCAGCCGGGCCTGGTCCTGCTCCAGCCACTGCAGGATGAGGTACGGCGGGACCCCGGCCCACGGCTCCTCGCCCCCGGAGAACATCTCCCACAGCGTCACCCCAAACATCCACACGTCCGACGCAGAAGAGAAGGCCCCCTGGCGCAGGCTCTCTGGCGCACACCTGCGGAAACGCAGCTGAACGGGGCGCCCGGGGGCCCCTCTCCCCCAGCGCGCGACTTCCGCGGCGCCGCCACCGTCCTTGGGGACCTCCTTCCCCAGCCCTTCCAGAACCCTCGTCCCGGCCTCGCTGGGGGGCCCGGCGCGCCCGCCCCGCCCGGAGCCAGCCCGATGCCCCCGCGATCGGCCCCCCGCGGCCCCTCACCAGGCGTAGGGGATGGGGCGGGGCCCGCCCATGACGTAGCGGCCCCGGGCGCCGCCCAGCGGCCGCACCAGCCCGAAGTCGGCCACCTTGATGGCGCGCGGCGAGGCCAGCAGCAGGTTGCGCGTGGCGAGGTCTCGGTGCACCAGCCCACGGGCCCCCAGGTACGCCATGGCCCCCGCCAGCTGCCGCAAGAAGAGGCAGAGCAGGGCCACGGGCAGCGGGGGGGTCGGGGCCCGGGCGGTCAGGCGCGCGTGCAGGGAGCCCAGGGGCGCCAGCTCCATCACCTGCGGGGGCGCGGTGCCGCGTGAGCAGGGCTCCGCTCCCCCCACCCCCCCCACCCCCGGCACGGGACTCTGCCCGCCCCCTCCTGTCGCGTCCCTGGCCCGGGAACCGCTGTCCTGGTCTGCTCACCATCTGCAGGGGTTGGCCCAGTACGAGGCCGTGCAGACGCAGCACGTGTGGGTGCTCCAAGCTCATCATGATGGACACCTCCCGAAGGAAGTCCCCCAGCTCCGTGCCCACGGGGCCTTCAGGACCCACCCGGAGGGATTTGACAGCCACTGGGACCTGGGCAGTGGGGGGACAGGACACTATCCGGCACCCAGAGCAGAGAGGGCGGGCAGGACCGAGGGCCAGTGAAAAGAAAAGAAAAGAAGAAAGGAAAGAAAGAAAGAAACCAGACGGGCAGCTGGCCCCAGCACCCAGAATGAAGCAGGCTCCCCGGACTCACACTCTGGCCGCCAGGCAGTGTCCACAGCCCTCGGTGAACCACTCCAAAGCAGCCAGAGCCCAGCAGCTCCCCTCTGCACACAGCACCATCCGGGATCAGACACTTGAGTCCCCCCTCCGGCTCAGGGAGGGACAGGGGGCTGTTTGGAGCTGGGGTGGTCTCCTTCGGCTCAGGTGCAAAACCCCCAAGGATCTGAAGCAGGGGTGGGAAAGCAAGTGTGTAGAACCCTGTACCACTCCTCCCTGACAGTCAGCCCACCCCATTCCCGGGCCTAAGCTGGCCCTTTAAGCCTACCGCCCCCACCCCAAAATGCACACCTTGTAGACCCAGTTCTTTGACTTGAGCCCCGAACGGTGCTTCTTCAGAGCTTCGGCCAGTCTGCGCTGGGCTGGGGAAGGTCAGAATCAGGGGACATGGGTGGTACACGATGGGCAGTGGGGGCGGGGGGCGGTGCAGAAGACTTTACAGGCCAGAAGAGGGCTGGTGGGGGGAAAGGGGGGGGTTAGAAAGTACCAGGCTGGGGAAGAAGAGACCAGGGGGTCCCTTACCAGGCCGGCCCATGCCAATGCCGTCCAGGTCCTCGGGCCTGACAAAGTCGAAGTGCTCCGGCCGGGTAACATTAAGTTCCTCGAGGATGGGTCGGTAAAACTGGGCCAGCTGGATGTCCCGAAGCAGCCGAAGCAGCCACAGCGAACCCACCTCGGGGAGCATGTCTGCACAAGGGATCCCTGAGGATAACGCACCCACCTCAACACATAGCCCAGGGTAAGCCGCTGAGACAGCAGAAACGGGGTCTCCAGCTCCACTCCCCCCACCCATCAGACACACTCAGGTGCAGAAGGAGGGATGGATCAGCCAGCCAGGAATCCGGCCACTCACACAAACCCCAGGAAAAATGCTCCCCATACCTGAGACCTACATACAGTCCCCACCTCACACCTGAGATTTCAGTGCTTGGCAGACCTCAGGTATGTTCCTCTGCCAACTCTTTTTTTTTTTTTAAGATTATTTTTTTATTTTTTTATTTTATTTTTTTATTCATGAGAGACAGAGGGAGAGAGAAAGGCAGAGGGAGAAGCAGGCTCCCAAGGAGCAGGGAGCCCGATGCGGGGCTCGATCCCAGGACCCTGAGATCATGACCTGAGCCGAAGGCAGTCGCTTAACCATCTGAGCCACCCAGGCGCACTCCTCTGCCAACTCTTGAGATAGGATGGCACCCTGCCCCTGCACCCCCAGGGACCACATACCTGCCGGCGATGCCCAGATATGCTAACCACAACACGCAGATGCACCCACACCCCACGCAGGTGCACTGCTTCCCACACTCGAAACACTGCTGCCCACACGCACTGAGACCTACAGACATGCTGCCAAAGAAGCCTGAGACACCCAGGCACCTGGCCTTTCAAGTCCGAGACATTCCAGAACGCTGCCATGGAACACCCCGGCTTACTGCCGCATAACCTCTCACATACGCCCAGGGGTGACATTGTGGGTCACTGCCTCCGAGACATACCGCCCCACGTGTCTGAGCCATCAAGGTCCACAGAAACACACAACACTCGAGACACCCAGGTGCCGTGTGCACACACACCTGAACCATGCAGGCATACCGCCCCTCAGCTCCGAGATGTCCAGGGTCACCGCCTTTTCGGCACCCGAGGCAGCAAGGCTTGAAACGACACTGGGCATTTGTGATTGGTGGTTAGGTGCAGGCTGAGCTAAGCTCGGGTACCGCCTACGGAGCCAGGTGCTGCCAGGTGCACAGTCCCTTCCACACCCACCTGCGCGCAGCTCCAGGTACAGGGGCCCTGCCCGCACACCTGAGTCACTCAATCTAACTTGGTTTCCAGGCAACTCCACCAATCTTGGTTAACTCAGGCCGGGTGCCCTGGGCGCTGGCTGCCTGCACCACACTCTCCCTTACACGCACCTCGATCCCTCCCTCCCCCCACTTTAGTTAAACCAGGAAGAAGGGCTGGACTAGGGACTGGGCGCGGGGAGGGAGGGAGGCCAGGATCCAGGGAGACCTGGGACCGCCTGCAAGGGGAGGTGGGGAAAGCACGCGAAGGGGGACGGGAGGAGAGGCGGCCGCAGACGGGGAGGACCGGGGGAGGGGAGGGAGGGGAGGCGAACAGGGCACCCGCGGACGTACCCCAAGCGGCGGCTGCTCCGCCAGCCCCAGCCCCCGGCGTCCCCCCTCCGCAGGAGGCTCACCTGGCGAAGGCGGAAGCAGCGGCTGCGGAGCCGCCCTGGCCGCCAGCACTAAATCCCGGGGGGGCGGGGCCGCAGGCCGTGGGGGCGGGGCCGGGCGCCCGGCGGGGGCGCCCGGCCCCGCCCCTCGCCCTCCTCCCTTCGGCCGGGACGGCCTGCGGGGGCGCCCCCACCGCGGCCGGCGGGCCCTCCTCTGCCCGGCAGACCCCGAGAAACCCTTCCCCAGTCTTTTTCCCTCTCTCCTCCTCCACGCCCTCTTTCCCGCCTCTTTCAAAGACCTTTTCACCCCTCCCAGACTTCCTCCTGGGGGTCCTGTCCCCCATAAAATCTTTCACCTCTCCCGGCCAGAGCCCCACCCCTTACACGAATAAGCGCCAGATGGAGAAATGTTGCGCATGTCCTGGGAATATGAGGCTAAACAGGACCTCGTCCCTGCCCCCTAGCAGGGGAGAGAGCGTCCCTAGCCCCCATATGGAGGAAGGCAGGGTGGCATGGGGCAGACAGGAACCATTGCTGGTGCAGGAAGTCAGCCCCCAGCCTCCACAGAGTCTAAGATCGGAGCCATTGTCGCTGTCCCAGTTCTGAACGTCGGTCCAATGTCCTGCCCGCGAAAGGGACCTTTTGGGAGCTCCCCAGGGTAGAACATGTTGGAGGTCTTGTGTGTGGGTGGGCTCCTGACCTCCATCTCAGCTTGGTACCTGGTCTCCGTGGTCAAGGGCAGCACCCCATGCTTCAGGGCACCCCTCCCCATCACTGGCATTTAACTGGCCTCATTCTGGCTCAACCCTCCTTCCCCCATGTAGTCTCTGTACACCGGCTACCTGAATGGTGCCACAGGACGAAGTCTAGAACCTCGGAGAAGGCTCTGAGGAGGAGCATCCCTCATCTCCCTTTCCCTCAGGGGTTCCAGGGAGGAAGTCACAAGTCTCAGGACATCTGGCCTGTCTCCTTCTGTTCTGAGGAAGGATGTGTGAGCTATCCCCAGAGTCCCTTCAGGGAAACATCTACCCCATCTTGGTAAGCACACGGGATATTCCAGCACTGGTGGGAAATTATTCATAGTTCACAGTTCAACCTGTTTGCTTTCCTTGCCTTTTCTTGCCCTCCAGTGAGGCCAGCTCATCACACTATAATTGCTCCCTCCACATCTGATGTCCCTGATATACTGTGGGATCCACACAGTAGGGGCTGGATCTGTCCTGTTCATCCTTGTGTTCTTTTCTCTCTCTCTCTCTCTCTCTTTTTTTTAGATTTTATTTATTTACTGGAGAGAGAGAGAGCACAAGCAGGCGGAGCAGGAGAGGGAGAAGCAGGCTCCCCATCAGCAGGGAGCCGGACGCGGGGCTCAATCCCAGGACCACAGGATCATGACCTGAGCCAAAGGCAGACGCCCAACCCCTGAGCCACCCAGGCACCCCTCATCCTTGTGTTCTTAGTACCTGGAACAGTGTAGGCATGTAACAGGTACAGTGCATATTGTTTGTGAAGAAGTCTGCTCAGTCTAATTGTCATTCCTCTGTTGGTGATCTGTCCTTTCTCCCTGTTTTTAAGACATCATTGGCATTTTGTAGTTCTATCACAAAATATCTAGGTATGGATTCTTTTTTACTCATTCTGATTAGTGTGTTGTATTTCCTGTATCTATGAATTCATATCTTTCATCGGTTTTGGAAAATTCTCAGCTAGTATCTCCTCAAATATTGTCTTGCCTCCATTCTTTGGTTCTCCCCTTTGGGGACTCTGATTAGAAGTATGCTAGACCTTTTCACTCTGTTCTTCATGTCGTTTAAACTCTCTTCTATATCTTTCAATCTTTGTGTTACTGTGATGCAATCCAGGTAATCTCCTTAGGTCCGTGTTCCAGTTCATGGATTCTCTCTTTGGTTATGTCTGATGTGCTGTTTAATCCATACTCAGGGTTTTTTGTCATTGTTATATTCATATGAACATCGGTATACTATGTATGCTGACAGGACTTTATTGAGGTATAACTTACATTCAGTAAAGTGCCCAGACTTAACTGTATAGCTCAATGCATTTCTTTTCTTTTCTTTTTTAAGATTTTTGTTTATTTAGGGGCACCTGGGTGGCTCAGTTGTTAAGCATCTGCTTTCAGCTCAGGTCATGATCCCAGTGTCCTGGGATCGAGCCCCGCATTGGGCTCCCTGCTCAGCGGGAAGCCCACTTCTCCCTCTCCCACTCCCCCTGCTTGTGCTCCCTCTCTTGCTGTGTCTCTCTCTCTGTCAAATAAATAAATAAAATATTTTTTTAAAAAAAGATTTTTGTTTATTTAAGAGAGAGAGAGAGAGCATGAGGGACAAGCAGACTACCCACTGAGCATGAAGCCCTGATGCAGGGCCCAATCCCAAGACCCCAAGCCCATGACCGGAGCTGAAGTCAGATGTCTAACTGACTGAGCCACCCAGGCACCCCAGCTCAATACATTTCAATCAATAAACACGTGTATTAATGCAGATAAAGACCAAGAACATTTCAATGATCCCAGAAACTTGCCTTGTGTCCACTTTCAGTCAATTCCATTGTCCAGAGGCAATGACTCTTCTGATTTCTAAAACCCAAAGATCACTTTTGCTTGCTCCCAACCTTCTTACCTCCATGAGCTTCTTCGGGGAAGAGCACGTGACACCTGATTTTCCTCTGAATGTCCAGCATCTTCACAGATCTGGGTGCACCAGAGGTCCTCTGGGAGTTGAACACATATGTGTAGAGGACGTGGGGCTCTATGAAGGCAGCTGCCACCAGAGAGGATGGCAAAAGCCAGGCCAGGCATCAATTCATCCTTCAGCAAGCTTTCACTGTGCCAGGTTCTGGGGACCCGGGCGAACAAGCAGACATGATCCCTGGCCTGGTTGGATTCACTCTATAGGGCCTTGGAGAACATGGTCAGGAGCTTACCTGAGGGCTCTGGTAACCACTGAAAGGTTTCAGCAGAGGAGTGGCAGAACCAGCCTGCTGTGTAAGCAGCTGGGGAAAGGGAAGAGAGGAAGAGCAGGGAGCTCCGGGAAGAGGCTCTTCCCATCCGTTCAGGAGAGAGAGGCTGGCCCTGCTTAGGCCTTGGCAATGGGATGGAGAGGAGGTGAAGAGAGGGGGCATTATCGGCTGGACTCTGGGCCTAGGTCCTCTATGATCCGGCAGGAAACCAGACAGATTTTCCAGCAGGAAACCGGACACAGAGGCTCAGCCCCACCTTTGTCTTTAGCTTGGAAAAAACCCAGGGAATCAGAGGCTTCTTTATTCCTCCCCCTTCTCCCTATTCATGTGTTACTTCTGGAATTAAGCTTCTCTCAACCCCACCTGTGTGGGGAAGCACGGCCGGACCACCCTCGGGGTGCACCCCTTCTAAGCTGAGATGGGGCGTCCTGCTAAACCTGGAGGCCCAGATCGGGCACCAGTCCCACTCTGGGTGCCTTTCCCCAACCCCGGCCCTGCCCCGCAGGCTCTGCATCCGAGAAGGATGAGCACATTCACACCACCAGCCAAGTCTTTCCCCAAAGGGCAGGGAACAAGAAGGGTAAGCGGAGAGGTCCCCTGTTATCTTCCCCACCTACTGCCTTGGGTTTGGGTGGGGGGTAGGGCCCATCCCTCTGCAGAAAACTCTCCTCTCCTATTGGGAGCCATATTAATGCCCCTTTAGCTCCTCCCTTCCATCTCTGATCCCTGAGATCACAGGGCTCTCGCTGCCATCTTATCTACGCCAACCTCTCAACAGGGGAAAGTACCTCTCTCTCTTTGGGGCCTTTGTGTGGCTGTTCCCTTGCTTGGAAGTCCTCCCGCCCTTATCCCAATCTGGCTAAGTGCAGGAAGCCTATCCCTCCCTGGTCAGGTCCCTTGCCCTGAACACCAAGATCCCTGTGCCTTCCTGTTATTGCTCTCATTGCTTTTCTGACCTTGCCAGTATCTTGTCTGTCTCCCTTGCTGGATTCCAAGCTCCAGGCAGAAAGAGACTTGATCTTGCCTGGGTATTGCTGTGTCCCTCCTGTCCAGTCTAGTGCCTGGCTCATAGGATAAGTGCTCAGTAACCTTTGTTGAGCAAATGGGTGAGGCAGCGTCATCTGGGTCGGGTGATGCCAAGGAGACTTTTTTGACATCAGGAGCTCCTTTGCTGGGAGTGATGTGTATGGGAGTGCCCAAACCCCCCCATAAGCATTCTCTGGCGAACCTGTCCCTGCCCCTCTCCGTGTTTGGCCCCAAGTGGCTGGCTCTTCCTAGACCCTGGGGTGAAACCCTCCCGTTCCATCACCTCATCTCCATCCCCCAGCTCCTGGGGTCCCATCCTTTCCCCATTTGGATTTGCCTTGCTGGTTTTTAGAGTCACCAGCCAGCCCACCACCCTGTACATATCTGCTGGTTTGCTTTCCGAAGTGGAAAGTGCTCCTAAATCCACCCTGTTCTTTCAGGCTCACCAAGGAGCCGAGGGCCTTTCCAGCAGAGTAGCTTAGAGCGCACCTCCGGGGTCTCACTGCCTGAGTTGGAATCCCTCCCCGCCCATCGCTTGCCATTCTGTGACTCTGAGCAAGTGACTTCCCATTTCTGTGCCTGTGTCCTCCTCTTCAAGATGCATCTACTAGGAGTATTTACCTTTGGAGAAGTGTGTCCACGTGTGTGTGTTGGTAGCCAGAGTGGAGGCTGGTGAAGCCCCCGCTCAGCACTAACACTGGTGTACACGGTGCCTTCCCCGGTGAACAGGGCTGATCTGGGTCCTCAGAGGGATATTGCAGAAAGGATGGTGTGTGGGGGCGCCTGGGTGGCTCAGTCGGTTAAGCGTCTGCCTTCGGCTCAGGTCATGATCCCAGGGGCCTGGGATCGAGCCCCGCCTCGGGCTCCCTGCTCAGTGGAGAGTCTGCTTCTCCCTCTCCCTCTGCCTGCCTCTCTGCCTACTTGTGCTCTCTATCTCTGTCAAATAAATAAATAAAAATCTTTAAAAAAAGAAAAAAAAGAAAGGATGGTGTGTGACCTCCGAGCGAGCTCGTCCAAGACAGCGTGGCTTCTGCCTTCCTCTCTTGAACCCCTCACTCCAGGGAAACCCAGCCACTGGGTCATGAGGACATGCAAGTGGGCCTGTGGAGAGGCTCCCCATGCCAAGGGCCTGAGGCCTCTTGCCAACGGCCAACACCAACCTGCCAGGCATGCGAGTGAGCCATCCTGAAAGATGATCCTCCGGCCCCGGTCAAACCTTGGATTTCCACGACCTTGACTGACATCTGGATGGCACCCTCGTGGGAAATCATGAGCCAGAACCACCCAGTTACGCTGCTCCCGAATTTATGATCCACAGAAACTCTGAGATCATGTTTATTGTTTTAGACAATCAAGCTTTGGAATAATTTGGTACAGGGCTGTAGGTTAACTAATAAGGTGCACAAAATGCTTGGGATCATGTCTGACACATTGTTGCCATACAGGGTAGCCAGCATTAACATCCGTTTTACGGGGAAGGAGACTGAGTCTGAGGCTGGTGAGTGACACGTAGCTGGGAATGGCACGGCGAGTTATGTCGTGAATGCAGGGCCCTTCGGTGCCAAGTCCTCGGCTCCTTTATCGGCCCCACTGTTCCCGTGGCCTGCTGCCAAGTAGTAAGACCTAGTGGCAAAGACCAACCGTTTTATCACGCTCCTGGAGTTTGAGAATCTGGAGTGCCACCAGGACAGAGTGGGGATAGATTTTCTCTGCTCGTCCCGAGGTGAGCTGACAGCTGGGGGCTGTGTTATCTCTCACATGGGGACAGTAGATGCTGCCTTTTGACCGAACCCCTCAATGTGGACTCTCCATGTCACCTGGGCCTCCTCACAGCATGGCGACTGGGTTTCAGAGTGGATGTCCCAGGAAGCCGAGGGCAGAGTCACCAGTTTCTTTAGGACTTGGCCCAGGAAGTGGCCCGGTGTCCCTCCCAACGCGTTCAGTTGGCCAGCCAGCGATAGAGGGAGGCACGCATAGACCCTACCTCTTTTTTTTTTTTTTTAAAGATTTTATTTATTTATTTGACAGAGAGAGACACAGCGAGAGAGGGAACACAAGCAGGGGGAGTGGGAGAGGGAGAAGCAGGCTTCCCGCGGAGCAGGGAGCCAATGTGGGGCTCGATCCCAGGACCCTGGGACCATGACCTGAGCTGAAGGCAGTCGCTCAACCAACTGAGCCACCCAGGCGCCCGACCCTACCTCTTGACGGGAGACATGTCAAAGAATTTAGGGGCCATTGTTTAAAACTGCCAGACCCCGAGTAGCCTCTCCTGTTGGGTGAGGGGCTCAGGAAAACCACACTCTGGTGGGTCGGTCTTATGTGCACAGGACAGAGACAAACGCCACCAGCTTCCTACGCCAAGTCCTCATGAGGAGCTCATGTGGGGAACGCGTCACAGAGCTCCAGGGACGGGGCGCGATTGTCAGGGATGATTCCTGGTGTCACCTGTGCCAGGCTCTGGGGGAGCGAGGACAAGACCTTAGGGAGTGGCTTTAGAGGGGAGCGCGTGGTCTAGAGGGAAGATTTTTTTTTTAAAGATTATTTATTTATTTATTTGACACAGAGAGAGAGTGAGCCCGAGCGGGAAGGGCAGAGGGAGAGGGAGAAGCAGGCTCCCTGCTGAGCAGCGAGGCCGATGTGCGACTTGACCCCAGGACCCTGAGATCATGACCTGAGCTAAAGGCGGATGCCTAACCGACTGAGCCACCCAGGCGCCCACGGAGGGAAGATTTTTAAGGAAACACCACCAACCTGGTGTAACAGGTACCACATGAGAGACGTCTCGGGAAGGGACACTCCACGCTGCCTCAGGAGCTCAGAGCAGGCTTCTCGGAAGAGGTGACGTCTGTGCCATGGGAGAAGGGCATCGGGGTACGCGAACAAGCCTAGGCAAAGGCAAGGAACCAGGAGCAAACAAAGGGTTTGGGCAACTACAAGTGATTCAGTTGGGTGCGCAGAGCTGAGACACAAAGCTCTGGGGACATGGGGGGGCCGGGTTCCAGCAAGGATCACAAGGGTAGATCACTTATGGCTGAGAAGTACGCGTGCGCCATGAGAGCAAGGGAATGTCCGTAGACCCTTGGCACTGACGTTAACCCTGAGGGAGACGCCAAGGAGGAGGTGGGTCCGGGAGGGCGGTGGGTTTGGACGTGGAGACTCTGAGAGGCTCGTGGGGCATTCAGGTGGAGATTGCACTTAGAGCTGTGTTTGGTCAGCTCTGGATGAGGATCCTATAAGACGTGGAGAGCTGCTGATGGACAGCCTTGAACGTCAGGGTCAACGGCCAGGTCTACATGCCATAGGCAGGGAAGAGCTAGGGAAGGGCTTTAAGTAAGAGGTCGCAATGGCTAACGCTTAATGAGGGCCCATGCAGGTTCGGCACCGTCACAAGCATCATCCGTGAACTATTTGGACCTCACCGTAATCCTGTGAAGTGCTGCGACGCTTCACCGAAGTTAAGAGATCACCAATGGTAATATAGAAGAGTACGCGCCCCGACGCGTCTTCGATTTCAGAGCTGTTAAAATGTAAACAGGAGAAAAAAAAAAAGCCATCGAATCAATGAACTACATGATTTGCATTTCAAATGCGAGGAAAAGGGAATGGAGAAGTTACAGGAACTTGCCCGAAGTCCAGTGAGACACAGAGCCAGGATTGGAAACCCTGGCAGCCCGACTACAAAGCCCAAGTTCTGAAGAACCATCATTTGACGCCGGACGGGACATCGTCCACAGCGTGGAGTTTCGCGAAGACCACGGAGGGTAGGGCAGAGGAGAGGGGAGTGGGCAGTCGGGTGGCACCCTTGGGAGACTGGAGTCCACAGTCAGAGGGGTCTAGAGTGGGCTGGGGGCCACAGGACAGGAGGAGGGCACAGATAGGCTAGAGTCCTTCAAGAAGGGGCAGAATCTGGGGCGCCTGTGTGGCTCAGTTGGTTAAGCGACTGCCTTCGGCTCAGGTCATGATCCTGGAGTCCCGGGATCGAGTCCTGCATCGGGCTCCCCGCTCGGCAGGGAGTCTGCTTCTCCCTCTGACCCTCCCCCCTCTCCTGCTCTCTCTCTCTCAAATAAATAAATAAAATCTTTAAAAAAAAAAAAAAAAGAAGGGGCAGAATCGGTTGACCCACTGGGCGTTGGGTGTGGAAACAAGGACAACTCCAACATGTTGAGCCTGGAAAGAGGGTACAGAGGAGGGGGGTACGAGGCAGCTGCTGTGGACCGGAGGGGAGCCGTGGGGCCTGGCTGGTCAGTGGCTGTGGCTTCTCATCCCAGCTTGGGCGGTCACGCCCCCTGGTGCCTGCTGGGCGCTCACTAGGCCTCTGTCAAAGGAAGGGATGAATGAGTTGTCGTATGATCTTGAGCAAGTTGTAGGAACTTGATATATGATCTCTGGGTCTCTCGCTCTCTTTTTTTGGGGGGGTGTAAAATGAACAGATTGGACTCGAATGTGTAAAATAAAATGGAAGGTACTTTCCTACAAGAGGTAGGCGTTCCTCTCTCCATCCCCAGGACCTTTATGGGCACCCCAAAACAGTGGTTCTAGCCTTGGCTGGCTGTAAATTAGATGAACTGAGGCCTCATCTGACACCACTAAATTCAGAATCTCTGGATATAAGGCCCAGGGATGGATAATTGGTGTTTTTTTTTATTTTTTAATTTTTATTTGTTTATTTATTTTGGAAGATTTTATTTCTTTATTTGACAGAGAGAGAGGGAACACAAGCAGGGGGAGTGGGAGAGGGAGAAGCAGGCTTCCCGCTGAGCAGGGAGCCTGATGTGGGGCTCGATCCCAGGACCCTGAGATCATGACCTCAGCCGGACTCAGATGCTCAGCCGACTGAGCCACCCGGGCGCCCCAGGATGGATAGTTTTTTAAGTTGTCCAGGTGACTACAATGTGCAACTGGATGAGAACTTTTGCCCTGGAGCCTCTAGGTACCCAGTTTGAAAACCACTGGGCTAGGTGCAGGCCAGGATCCCTTCCAGGCCCAGGCCCTTGGACTGAGACCTGTGGCTGATGACAAGTTAACTCTTTTTTTTGTTGTTTTGTTTTCCTTTTAATTTTTTTTTTTTTTAAGATTTTATTTATTTGCGAGAGAGAGAATGAGAGACAGAGAGCATGAGAGGGAGGAGGGTCAGAGGGAGAAGCAGACTCCCTGCTGAGCAGGGAGCCTGATGTGGGACTCGATCATGACCTGAGCCGAAGACAGTCGCTTAACCAACTGAGCCACCCAGGTGCCCAGGTTAACTCTTTTTATGTTTCTTCCACCTACCCAACCCAAACCTCCTGACAGCTGGGGGACCACACGCCAAGGTTTCTCAACCACACACAACTGAGGTCTTGGCACAGGAGAATTGTTGGGGAGGACTCCCCTGTGCATCGTGAAGGCCAGGGAGGCCATGGAGGCCAGCACCCCCGGCTTCCACCCACCAAATGCCAGGAGCACATCCCCCAATCGAAGCAATCAAAAACATCCCCAGATGTCACCAAATGTCTCTTGGGGTGGAAAATCCCCCCGTCCCCCCAGCTGAGAACCACTGTGCCACCCCGAGTCTCCCGTCCCCACTCTGCCCTCCCCAGTTGCAGACAGAGGCCAGGCAGGGGTGGAGGCCATTTGACAACAGGTTTACTTGGCCTTGGCAGGAGGGACATCTCTGTGGGAGGCCAAGGCTTCACAATGTTAAATGGAGGGATAGGCTGCCAGCAGGCTGACTGATGTGGTCTCAACTCTAAAGGGAGGGAGTTTTCCAAAACACTCATTCCCGGATTCCCAATCAGTCACAAGAGGGCCCAGAGGAGCTTGTGGGGCAGGCGGCCCCCGCTTTCCGAGAACAGGCGGGAGGGGGTGGGGGGATTCTTTCCTTCTGTAGATATTTTCCTGGAACCAGTGACTACTCCTGTCTAATTAGTTGAAGGCTGGGGGAGGGAGGGGCGGGGAGAGGAGCTTCCCAGCTGCCGGTGCGTGGGTCCCTGGCGGCCCTCTGACACTGGGACCGTGGGGACGTCTGGGCTTCGGGGTCTGGAAGGCTGAACCTTGGGGATTGGAACTAAGGGGCTGGCTGATCCTCTCCGAGGGAAGTGGATTCATCGTGGTCTTTAGAACTGGAGGAGGCTGGGAGGCTGTCCGGGTCTTCACTTGTCCTTTCTGCTTCCATGTAACTGGACCTGAGCAGGGAGACAGAAAGGGAGGCCTGGGGAGGGCAGGGCAGTGCGGAGACGGGGGAGGGACGGTGGTGGAAGGTTTAAGTGGTGAGGCCCACCCCCTTCCCCCGCCCAGACTCACTCCACCACGAGGCTCATAACACCCAGCAGCAGGGCAGCTGCCAAGACAGAGAGGAGCAGAATCTTGGCTTCCCGAAGATCGTGACTTCCTGCAGGGAACCCAGGAAGCAGTGAGTGATCCCGGGGACCTCACCAGTCGTTGCGGTAGGGGGGCGGGGGGTGGCTGAGAGCTCAGAGACCTGAGCAAGGGGAGGCCAAGCCGAGGGGTAGAACCTGGGAGGCAGCGCTTTCGGGGCCAGCAGCGCACCTTGAATTCCTGGCAGGTGGAACAGTTATACAGGATGGTGCTGCCCCCTGCAGGACACAGCGGGACCAGCGCTGGGGCGGGGGAAGCCCCTATTCCCGCCTTCCAGGAACCACTCTCCTCCCCCTCCCGCCCCCCCCCCGCCCCGCCCCGTCTCCGCCACCACTGCCAGGCTCTCCTCGGGTATCCCAGGTGCCCCTGTCCTCACTCCTCTGTCCTCTTGTACTTACGGCAGGCGGGCGCGCACAGAGCTGAAACCGAAGACAAGGAGGGTGGGGGAGGGGAGCCGCTCAGCCACGCCCCCTTTGCCGAGAGCCCCGGCACCCCCTCCCTGCCGGCATCAGTACCTTCCCTGGTGTACGCGGGGAGCTTGGTGGTTTGCAGCCAACGCCAGTACAAGGGGAGGGAGGAGAGAGACCCTTTGATCTCTGGGGAGACAGAGGGCAGCGATATTGCCCGGCGCCTGGCCAGGGCAGGCTCACCTCCACCCTTCTCCCAGCACCTCCCGGATCACGGATCACACCTTCCCGGCTCCAGCTGCCCGCCCTGCCCCTGCCTCCCCTCCCCCCCCCCCCCCCCCCCCGCCGCTGCCCCTCCAAAACCCTGGGTCGTGCCTTGCCCTTGACCTCACCCATGACCCTCAGGACTCTGTGAGTCTTCTCTATGACTTTGTTCATGGACGCCTCATCTGTGGAGACGGGCAGGGACCTGTGATTCTCTCCCCACGGGGAGAGGCCCGCGTGTCCAGAGAGGGCTGTGGACTCAGGGGGCGCTGAGGGGCCCAGCTGGGAAGCCACAGGCTGCCCCACTCAGGGTGTGGTGGCCGCTGTTCCCCGGCCTGTCTCTGGATGTCTGAGCTTACCTAAGGCAAAGGCCGGGAAGCTCCAGGAGGCCCCACAATCCTTCCACAGAACCTCCACTCGGCTGCAGAGTTGAGCCAGGCGGCCCGACAAGTCACGGGCTGAGAGGTGGCAGAGGACACAGGCCTGGGCAGTGGCCAGGAAAACCCCACCTAACGCCAGCATCCACATGAGGCCTGCTGGCGAGTGGCGGACGGGGGCCGGCCCCACTGAGGCTGCGAAGGCCTCCGAATGCTACGATCCTGGTTCCAACTCTTTGCCTGGAGATTCTAGCGTGTTCCAGAACAGTTGGGGATTCTAGAACATTCTGGAACGGTGCCACTGTGTGCCATCTCTAGCTGGGGCAAAGGTGGGGCCCAAGGAACTGACGGCCAGAAGGAGACTGGGGCAGAGAAAGCAGGGCTTCGGCTGCAAAGGGGACAGCACCCCCCAACCTGGCCCTCAGCAGCCTTGACAAGTTTGAGGTTCCACAAAGCAATTTTATTTTTCTTCTTGTAAATCATGACCAGCCATAAATAATGAGTGAGTGACTCCCCCAGTGAAGAAGTTGTGCATGAGTATCCCATTCCTCGGGGACCCAGAAATCCCATCCCTTCCCCTATCCTCCCCCCACTCTCCCCACCTCTTCTGTTCATCTCCCCTCTGCCCTGGGCAGCCTCGGGCTTTCCCAGCCGTCTCCTAGCAACGTGGCCATGGTTGCCTTAGCCACCGAGAGTTCTATACCGGGCTCCCAGGCCCGGCTGGGCCCACTGACTTCTCTTACCTTTCGTCAGGAAGATCCTAGTGACTCAAACCTCAACAGGCCCCTCCTGCCTACGTGGTGATGTGAACATACACGCACCCCCCCTTCTGATGAAACGACTAATTCTCAGTCTACTCACACCGTACCACAGACACACGGTGCCAGAAGAGTTGCTGGGCAACCCCAAACAGGCCTGGACACGCAGGGACCGCAGAAAGACCGGCAAACACATACAGTCTCCGCCAATGCAGACGGCAGAGACCCAGCGTCGCTCAGACACACTGTGAATGTGAACGAAGTAAGGCCAAGCCCCGAGAAGATGCTACCCTCTTCCCTGTGGCCAACTCCATCAATATGGGGCCCTTGAAAACACTTGGCTCTCTAGAGTATGGGGCTCCAGCCTCACAGTAAATGAGGATTCTCCTAGCTCCCTTATGCCAACCTAGGGTAGGGTGTAGCTTTTCTGTCTCCCTCACTAGGTGACCTGAGACACAGCAAAGAATCCCCCTTCCCATATTCCAGACTGTTCTGGCCCCTCTTTGGTCAGGCCAGGCCAGGCCCATCCAGTGGCAGGAGAAGCCACGGTCCAGGAGACCACATCGCAGCAATCCAAAGTCTTTCTCCCACACTTCAGTGTCCCTCCAGGGTCCTGCTAGGCCTAGCCTGGGCAGAGAGGTGTCCCTACTTTTCTAGAACGCTGAATACTGAGCTCCAACAAGGAGACGCCAGAGGCTGCCAGCCTCAGGCTGGAGCAAGCCTGGGAACCTTCCCCACCCCTCCCAGGATTAGCACCAGTCCAGACCCATCATGTGGCTTGTGAGCCCTCAGCAGGCTCAGACTTGGGAATTGCTGCCCACACCTGGGCTCCAGTCAGAAGCAGTGGGGCCCCTGACTCTCACAGCTCCAGAGGCAGAGCTAAGAAGAGGCTTCCGGGGGGCCTTCATTCCCTTTGCTGTCCATCCTCTCCCCCCACCCCAGTCAGATGGGAGGGCCGCGGGCTCAGTGCCGCACGAAGCGCAGAGATCGCGAATTGAGCAGGTCTTCGGGGTCAGGGAAGACGGAGTCTAGACGGAAGCCGTGCTCCAGAGCCACCCGCAGCACCTCCTCCAGGAAGCCTGGCGTGCCCACCACCTCCCGGAGCTCTCCAGTACCCCCAGTCCACAGAGGCTGCAGCCCCAGTCTCCTATACTCCACCTCGGGGAGTTCTGCGGGACAGGGAGCCCACTCCAGACGAAAGTGTGGGCCTCCCTCTGCCCTGTCCTCACTGGCCACCCCAAATCGGGCCCGCATGGCACCCAGGCACTCGGGGTCGGTGCAGAAGATGTTGGCTCGGAAGGTATCCACTTGCACAGAGCTCAGCTCATAGTGGTGTGGGCCCCGGCGAGCAGAGAAATGCACCAGGCGGGGGCTGGCATCTACATCTGCGTGGAGCAGGGCGGCCGTGGGTACAGGGGCCCCCCGAGAGGCCTCCAGTTCCCGCAGGGCATCCAGGAGGGGCTGGATCTGGTAAAAGTCCGCCTCTGCCCTGAGAAGTGCTGTCTCCCCATACCCGCGGGGCAGGTCCAGGCGGCCCAGCCGCAGGAAATTGAGGATGTGCCGGAAGGCCTTGCCATCTCTGTCAATGAAGTAGTGGCCGCCTCCCTGCGGGTTGAGGTTGGGGGCTATGGGGGTGCCGGCCCTAAACATGGCCCCCAGCATGGAGTCTGGGAAGCGAGTCAGGGTCTCCAAAGTGGTGGAATATAGTGTGCCCCCCACATTCAGGGTCACAGGGCCCCCAAAAGAGGGGGGCGAAGAGGGCACAGGAGGAGGCGAAATTTTGGGGAGTACAGGAGACACCGAAAGAGAAGAAAAGGCAGAACTCCCTGGGTGTGGGCAGAATTGGGTCATAAAGTTCAGACTGTGTCTGGGTTGGATGCACAGGCTGGAGCACAAGGCAGTAAGATCTGGGGCTCACCCCAGCTACCTGGGTAGTGGGGGACGGTTTCCGGGCACAGACACGGCCAAGAGCTTGAGAGAACGGCTGAAAAGCACAGAAGCCAGGCAGGGAGGGAAGGGAGATTTCGGTCCAGACGCATTCGATTCTGGGCGGAGGGTCAGCGACTCCTCTCTGAGGTCTTCAGACAGCGGGTTTCCGGAATCCAACCAGCAGATGACGGCGGCGAGCACAGGCCGACCCTTGGAAGGACCCCGCTCCCGAGTTCTCGGGTAGATCGCTGTCGCCGCGGGCGAGTCCACGCAGGGCCCCGAGGGCCAGTCGCAGGCCTGGCCTGGCTCCGGCGCGGGTCTCCGGAGACGGAGGCGGGGCTGACGCGAGCGGGCGGCGCAGGTGCCGCCCCGTCCACCGGGGAGCGGGGATGCGCGCTCAGCGCCAGCCGGGAGCGCCGGAGGACTCTGATGGAAGCAGCCGGGAGTCTCGGGGCCCGGGCGCCGCCGCCTCCCCGGGTGTCGCCGCAGCCGCCGCAGTTCCTCTCCGCCCCCAGGAAGTGGCCTAAGGGCAGCGGCCGGGGGGCCCTTTAAGGGACAGCCCCGCCCCCTGGCGCCCCGCCCCCCGCCCCCGCCCCCGCGGGGCTCGCGCGGCCGGGGTTGAGGTGGGAGCCGAGAGCCTGGAACCGGAGAGACGGGGCGGACGGGCCGGACGGGCGGACGCGGGCGGGGGTAGGGTCCGGAGGGTGACTCAGGCGCGTCAATGCGGATGTGGCCGCGGATGCCCCGCAGGCCCCCAGGTGTGCCCGACCTCACGTCTGCAGCTCGGCGCGTGGCCCGAGGCCCGGCCGTCCCGGGCTTGGGGGCGGTGCCCTCCCGGTCGCTTCCGTCGGGAATTCCCGAGGGGGCGGGTGCTGAGCCGCCGCATTCCGGGGATGCCTCCGGGCCGAGGTGACCGGAGCCAGCCTCCCCGTCCCGGCGCCAGCTGCCCCCTGCGGGAGGCCGGCGCCCCAGCCCACGCGGGCGGCCTCTTCCCGGCCGGACGCGTCTGGCCACGTCGCCCGAGCCCGAGAGCCCCGCCCCAGAGCCGCCAGGCGCTAGGGCCCCGGCCGACGCGTCCCCCTCGCTGTCCCGGAGCGGCCCCTCGCGTGACTCGAGCTCGCAAACCCCCACCGCTCCCGCCGCCCGGCCCGGCCCGGCCCGAGGGTGGCGCCCTGCAGAGGAACCTCGATGGGAAGCGCACAGCACAGAGGCTTTAATGGCCCAGGGGCCGGCGGGGGTGGGGGGAGAGGGGGCCCGGGGGGGGGGGCGGGACCGCGGAGGCCTGGGATCAAAGCGTGTGGAGGTCGTGACTGCGCCGGCTCAGCTTCTCCGGGTCGTCCGACGCCATGAGCGAGAAGTCGCGGAAGATGTCCAGATACGTCTCGTCTCCTGAGGGGGGAGGGAGGCAGGGCTGGGCGGGCGCCCGGCGGGCCGGGCCGGAGCGCGCTGGCTCGCCCGTTCTCCGCGGGGTTCCGAGGACGTGCGCCCTCACATGCGCCCAGTGCATGTTTGTGGAATAAGTAATGGAATTGATCAATGCAGCCGGGCGCCACCGGGCAGGTCCGCAGGGGCCAGAAGCCCAGAAGTACAGTGTGGGGCGGGGCGGGAGGAACTTTACCTGCCTGGCCCTGGGCCGCTTCGACCTCTCTCATCTTTGCCAAGCGTAGCCTGAAGGGGAAGGAATTAAGGCCCGAATGACTTTCTCTTGACTGCCCCCACCCCAACCCCCCATCCTCTGAGCTGGGGTGGTCAAATTCACCTGCTGCCCCGGGGTCCAGTGCTTAAAGACGCTCAAGAGCCACGAAGCCCCTCACTCGGGACGAACTCACCATCCGTGGACCCTACCCGCCCCCCTTCCTACTCCACGCCCCAGTCTGCACTCGGAACAGCCCTTCTCCGGCCAGGTCCCAGAGCAGGCCCGCTGCTCCCCAAGCTCCGCCCACACGCGGGTCCCGGCGTTGGCTCCGCCCCAGGCGGGTAGGGCAAGCGCTAGCCCCGCCCCCGGGCATCCTCACAGGGTGACGATGTCAGCGTTGGTCGTTTCCATGGCGATCGTCAGAGGGTCTTTGCCTTCAGAGTCCCGAGCTCCCAGATCGGCCCCCCGTTTCAGGAACAGGCAGGCCAGCCTGAAAAGGATAGCCAGGTTCAGCCGGCCACTCACCCCATCCGCGCCCTTCTTTCCCGCAGCCATCCTCCCTGCCCGCCCCTACCCTACCCCGTGTGGCCCAGAATGGTTGCATGGTGGAGCGGCCCCCGGCCGTGGTTGTCCGCTTGGTTCACGTTCGCCCCGTTCTGGAGGAGAAACTCACAGGCCAGAAGAGAATTCTGCACGGAGGGGTTGAGAACGGGAGAGAAAGTGGCATCTTTAGAAGCAGACCAGAGATGTTTTAGGATGGGGTCAGTCCAGGGGCTGGGATATGGCTGTGTCACGCTCCTCTCTAGCTCTTCAGCTGTATTCTCACGTTAGGCCTACAGCACAACCTCATGAGGTGTGTTATCCCTATTTTACAGATGAGCAAACTGAGGCACACAGAGAGGTTCACAACCGTGAGTGGTGAGAGCTTGGATTCAAACCCAGGCCGTCTGCTTCCAAATCGTACACACCCTTAGCAACAGTCTCTCTCGGGTATCATTCCTAACAGGGTGGGAGGAGGGGTAAGAGCTGGGCCCCAAGTCAGAGTAGGGATCAGAGGGAAGGAGCCTAAGAGTGGGGTGGGTAAGTCAGCAAGACTCACAGCAGCTGTGGCCTGGATCAGCGGAGTGGCATTCTCCTGACCACCATTGACCCAGTTGACATCGGCTCCGTGGGCGAGGGCATCGGCCATGGTGGGGAGGGATGGAGGGTGCCCAGCAGCTCGAAACAGCAGGGCCCCAGGGTGGAGGCTGCCCAGGTCATCGGAGGGGGGTTCTGGTGGAGGGAATTGGCTGTGAGTCTGGTACGAAATCCTCAGCACAGTCCCCAGATGCTCTAATGGGCTAGGTCATTCCTCAGTTGCGGGGAGGCCTTCGGGACTCCGGGGACTGCAGCGGGAGGTGGAGGTGTGTGTGTGTGTGCAGGGCCCCTAGGGCATGGGGCATGGTCAGCATCATTCACCTCTTCCTGTTCAACTACCTGGACTGCCTAGAACGTCACAAGTGAGCCGACACTCAGCCTCAGTGACCCGGTTCCCTGGGCTCCAGCCAAGCTCACACCCTCCCAGGCCTCTGGGGTGGCGAGCTCCTTCTCACTCCGGACCTTTCTCATGCTGTTGAGACCCTCCCTGCCTATCCCCAGCCCTACGCTCCCTCCCATTCTTCACTTAACCCCTGAAACTCTTGCCTTGTAAAAAATACCAGTGCCAGTGTGGTCTGCCCCCCCCCCGACACTGGCAAGGGGAAGGCTGGGGCCTCGTGCTCTGCGCCTCCCCACTGGGCCTGGCAGAGTGCTGGGCACGCAGCTGGGCTCCGTGAATGTCCGAGCAATGCTATACCTGGCCTGGCTCTGAGGCTCCCTGGCTGGGGCCTGACGGAAGGCTTGGGGGGTAGAGGAGGCTGCCCCCTGGGGGGGCCCCGGCCACCTCTTCGCCCTCGAGTCTCAGGAAGCTTGGTCAGGAACTTCTTCTCCACATATTTGGCATGAATCCAGGCCTCCTTCTCCTGCCTGGCAGAGTATGGCAGGGAAGAGGGGGACCGTCTTCCCTCCTCCGGTCCCAGACCCTCTTCCTTCCCCACAAGTAGGCAGCCTCCGCACCTCTACCCCAACCTCACCGGGAGCAGCTGGGCCCTGGCTTCTTCACGGCCATGGCCTCCACACGGGCCTCATAGATCTGGTTGATGACGACATTCCCCAGCTCACACATAAGCTTCGGGCGGCCCAGGCAGGGACAGACAGGTGGGAGGGAAGTGAGGGTCTGAGCCCTTGGGGCCCTGCAGCTCTGGACTCAACCCCTTCCCCCGCTTCTCATCGCGGCACCCCAAGTCACCTTCACCAGTTCCGGCTCCCACGAGTCAAGGGTCAGAGACCGGACTTTGGAGAAGTGAACCCCGAGGCTCCTGGCAGGCCAGAATGGGAGTCAGGCCCTCCGTGAGGCAGCAGATGCGTGAGCGTGGTGGCCATGGCCCGCGAGGCCTGGCTCTGCTCACCATTCCCTCGTCCCCTTCTCCTACAGTTCAGCTTTCAGGCCTCATCCTCTCCAGCCACCTCCCTTCTCTGGCCCTGCCGTTTCCCTCGGGGTGGAGGGCCTCCCCCCTTCTCTGCTCTTCGTGGGCTCCCCTGCCCTCAAGAGCCCAGACCCCACACCTCCAGTCAAGCCCAGACTCCTCTGGCCGGACCAGGACATGGTGCCCAGTGCCAGCCAGGGCAGGGTGGGAGGGAGGAGCCTGTGCGATGGGCTCGATGGGCTCGGCCGGCCCCTCCGCCACCCCAGCGGGAAGGAGCGGGGCCCTGGAGCGGGGCCCCTGCGCAAGTGGCGGGCAGCGGGGAGTGACCTGTGGATGCCAGAGCACTGGATGCAGAGGGTGACGCCCAGGTTGATGCTGGCCCACTCCGGGGCTGGCTCCCGGCAGTCACAGCACTGCGCATTGCCGTCCACGCCCTGCACCTGGGCTACCACGTGCCCAGCTCCGCCGGGCTCCCTGCCCCGGGCCATCCCGCCACAGCCCAGGGTAGCTGAGGAGCTCATGGCCGGGTATCCCGAGCCCTGGGGGCGACAGAGGAAGACAGAGAGTGGCCATGAGGCCTGGGGAAGGGTGCCTCCCCTCCCTGGGCCGCCTGGCCCTGAACCCTCCTCGAGCAGGCACCTGGCCGGGCCCCCGGGGGCTGTCATCGAGGCGAGCCTGGCTGAAGGCCGTGGCGATGCTGCTCTGTACGGCGCTGACCCACAGCTGGAGGAGGCGCTCGGAGTCAGCCTGCAGGAGGCAGGACCTGGGCGGGAGCAGGGAGCAGGGTTGGGGTGGGGGGTCTGAGGCCTGGGGAGCCACGGGGCAGGGTAGGCGGGCTGACATGCTGTTCAACTGGTACCAATTGTCCTGACTACGAAACGCCAGTTGGAGAGAGATTTGGCAACAACTGGTCCGATCTTTCTAATATCCCCCATTGCCCTCTCCCCTCCCTCCAGGACACCCCGTAATACTGCCCCCTCCCCCAATCCAGCCACAGAAGGGATAATGCCTGGTGCTACATGGGGGCGTCCAAGATGCCTTTGTGATGGGCCCTGCCTTCCCGTTGGTAAAGATTCAGACACATCGTCGGATGTCTGCACTCACTTGCTGGGGGACACGACCTCAAAGCAAAACCGCCTCTCTAAGTCCGGGCAGAGCTTCACTGTGCAGAGGCGAAGGTCATCCACCACCACGGTCACGGGGTCCTGGAAAGGGAAGGTGGCGAGGGGCAGCCATCCACCCGCTTGCAGCAAGGGCTGAGTGTCCCTGGGCCCCGGCATCTGGGACCCGGCCTGCCTACCTTGTACTTCTTCTGATACACCAGTTGGTTGCTCTGAATAGTGAACCAGCGTCTGGAGGAGGCAGAAACAGAGGTGTGGACATGGGTGGCATCGGGACGGGCTTGGGACAGGGACAGCGGAGAGGCTGTGCCCTCTGCCCCATAAGGATGGTGCTCAGAGAGCCGGGCTGACCCTCCCATCCTGTCCGGAGGGCACAGGGTTGTGTGGGGCCAGGACACGGAAGGCGGGGCTACTCACACCTTGGACAACCCAGATTGGATCCTTTGTGAAGACAACTTTCCAGCAGATGGCAGTAAAATGCTTTTTCCAAGAAAATTAGTCTCCTGCTATAATTTTTTTAAGTTTTGTTTTGTTTTGTTTTTTCCTAAAGTAATCGCTACACCCACGTGGGGCTCAAACCCACAACCCGTAGATCAAGAGTCCCAGGTTCCACCGACGGGGCCAGCCAGACGCCCCGAGTCTCTTGCCACAATTTTTTTGACAGATGGAAGTATCTTATGGAAGGGGCTCAGTTTTCCGATTTGTGCAAATATCCTCTATGGGAAGGAGCAGAGTCAGAGCAGATGACTCCCCTGCTCCACCCCTGCAATGGCTCCTAAGTCCCTACGGAAGCCTGGAAACCGACAAGGCCCTCTCGTGCGTGGGGCACAGCCCCGTTGGCTCCAACTTCATCTCCCCCTGCGTCCTCCTCCCTCCCTCTGTCCACACCCACGTGCCCCTCTCTGTCCCTCTGACCCTCCGGGCTTTGGTGCTGGCTCTTCCTCCTGCCTAGAACATTCTCCCCCCAGATGTCCTTCAAGTCTTCACTCAGAAGGCATCACCTTCTCATGAAGCCTGCCCCGATCACCTTATCTAGAACTGCAGCTCCTCCCCAGCTCTCTGCACCCCTGCTTTCTCTTGTTTCTCCTGCATCACTCTCCCCTTCCAACATAACAGAATTTACTGGGCATCTTTGCTGATGGGATGTAAGTTCTCTGGAGGCAGCGGATTTTGTCTATTTTTCTCACTGCTTAGCACACTGTCACCGCTCAAAACACATTGACCCGAGCGGGTTTGGGCGACTGGGGTCCCCTCCCCTCACCTGCTCCAGGTCTTAAATGCGTTGCTGGCCCGCTTGAAGAGATGGCCTTCCATGACCAGCCCACCAGGCCCCTCCTTCAGGCTTGGCTCTGGCTCTTCCCCACCGAGCTCCTGGGGGCACAAGAGGGTCAAAAGACAGCTGAAGCGGGCAGAGGCCAAGGCGCCAGGCCCCTCGGCATCCTGAGGCCCTCCCTCACCTTCTGCTTCAGCAGCACGTGTCTCTGCTCCATGTCCCTCCTCTCGCGCGCCGAATTCAGGACCAGCTGGTGCAACTGGGTATCGGAGGGGGCATTTCAAATGTCCCCCAGCCTCCCCCAACCAGGCCAGGCCAGACATCCCAGAGCCCCCTCCCCTCCCTCCACCACCAGCCTGTCCCCCCCACCGCCACCGGGGCCCCACCTGGGCGCCCAGCTCCCTGCGATACTGGGCCAGCCTGCCCAGCTCCTCGTGGCCCTGCTGGAAATGGGTAGCCTGGGCCTCCAACAGACGCAACACCTGGGCAACAAGTGGGCAGGGGGCAGAGCTGACAGGGGACCCTTCTGTCTTTCCCTCTTCCCTCCTGCCCCCCATCAGCAGGCTCCTCTCCACCCCGCCTTCACCACCACTGCAACTCACAAACTCCATGATGTCAAACTTCCTCTTGTCCTCAATCACGTTGATCTGAGGGCCCCCAAAAGACCTCAGGTCAGTCTTGAAAACACAGCGCCCCCTCCCACTGCACACAGGGGCCTCTCCAGCCTCCAGGAGCCAGAGGCCCTGGGATTGGTGGGGGGGAACAGGTCGGGGCGGGCACCTGCAGTGCATAATCCAGGGCTCGCCCCCGGTACCCGGCCAGCGCAGTCTTCAAGGCAGCTCCAGCCTCTTCGGCCTCCTGCGCCCGGCGCCTGGGGACCTCCGCGTTGTGGAGGAGAGCAGCCTCCAGGCCCTCGGCCCCCCTCCAGAAATCCCGGCGAGCTTCTCGGAAACCCCGGAGACCCCTGTGGTGGAGGGGTAATGCAGAACCAGATACCCCCACCTGCCCCCTGCAGAGAAGTCCCAGGAGGAGGCCCACGCATGGCCTTCCAGTTGGGACTCCAAGTGCATGCGGGGATGGGGGGCAGCAGTCGGGCCACCAGAAACCCCCAACACCTCACAGCTCCTCCGTTCCGGGGGGCCCCCATAGGGGACGGGAAGAGGGACAGAAGACTGGTTCCCCTCCCAACTCACTCCTTGATCAGGGTTTGGATTTGCTGTTGCAGCATGTGTTGGGTGGCATCTAGAAGCTCCTGGGGGGAGCAGAAATGGGCAGGTGAAGGTCAGGCCACAGACAGCCCTGCTCCCCATCACCAGTCCCGCCTGCTCCCCCTTACCGCGTGGCTGTCCAGCTTGTGGTTGAGGCTCTCGGTGAATTTGTTCAGACACTCCTGGGCACGGAGAGGCAGAGAGAGAGTACCAGGCGTGGGCCAGCCGGGCCCGCCGCCCCTGCACCCAGCCTGCCAGGCCAGGCCTGTCTCAGGCCACAGCCCCAGGCCTGGAGACCCCAGGCCGACCCTCCCCTTCCAGAGGATCCCTGCCTTCCAGAGCCCAGCCCACTCTACATACCGCCATCATGGGCTCTGGTGGACCCAGGCGGGCCAGGTCACAAATGCCAGCAACGAAGGTGCGGCCAGCGGCAAGGTAATGGCGCCCGCTTTCCAGGAGGCCGTTCCCCAGCTTGAGGAGCTAAGCAGCAACGGGGCAACGGGGAGTTATGCTGTGCACCACGTACGTGCCCGCACCCCCACACTGGTCCCCCGCTCTCCCTTCCGCAGGGCCGTTCCCCTCCTTCCCAGCCTCGCCTTCCCTTCTCTGCAGCCCAGCTGGGCGCGCCTGGTTTCTAACACACACCTGCTGCTTTCTCATCTCTGCGTCTTTGCTCCCACTGCTCTGTGCCCGGCAGAAAATCCCTCCCGACCTGTCTCCAAAGCCCGGGTCAGCTTCCCCTCCCAAACGCCCCAACTGCCTGGATCCAGCGCTCCCCGGACACCCCATCCTCGTGCAATCTGGCTCTCAGCACGAATGCACCACCCGGCTCGTGGTAGGTTAGACAGTGCTTCCCTGTCTGGAGTCGTCCCAAGCATCCCCCTCACAAAGATCACTTAGCCATCTGGCCACAGGGCCAGGGCAAAGATGGCACATTAGGGTGCTCTGGGGGCCCACTCCGTCTGGCCCGAGGAGGGTCCCTCTGGAAGAGCCAGGAACCGAAATGAGGTCTCCTGACCTCGGGCCCTAGTTTGGGAACTGCTGCCCCTGAGGCGACACCACTTGGCTCTGGCCTGGGTCAACACCGGGAAGTTGTATGGGGAAATCCTGGGGTAGCAGGGGCCCAGAAAGCTGGGGCCGTGTGTCGTCAGTGAACTTCTGTCGAACTGAAAGACACTTTCGAGAGCTGGTGAAGGCTGCGGGACACTAGAGCTGGACTAGAAGGTGGCCAACAGGGTCAGTAATGGTCAGGAAACCGGCCACGATCCAGCCTCATCAGATGTCCCCACGAGCTGTCTGTGATCAGGCACAAGGACCCAGACGCTCACAACTTCACTGGGTGCAGCTGGGGCCCTGAGTGTCTGTTTTTTTTCCCTACCCACCACCCTTTCCCCATATGTGAGTTTTCTTAAGACGGAACTAGGGATAGGGGCACCCGGGTGGCTTAGTCGTTAAGCGTCTGCCTTCGGCTCAGGTCATGATCCCGGGGTCCTGGGATCGAGTCCCGCATCGGGCTCCCTGCTCAGGAAGAAACCTGCTTCTCCCTCTCCCACTCCCCCTGCTTGTGTTCCCTCTCTCGCTGTCTCTTTCTCTGTCAAATAAATAAATAAAATCTTTAAAAAAAAAAAAGATGGAACTAGGGATAAACTGGTCCATCCATGCAACGGAATAGCACTCAGCAACGCAAGGGAACGGACTATCCACGTAGGAATTGCTCATACGGATACGTAACAACCTGAACAGATGTCAAGGGCATATTCTGAGAGAAGGAAAAGAAAGAGCCAATCTTGAGAGCTCACATACTGTACGGTTTCACTTATATAACATTCTAGAAATGACAAAAGTCTGGAGAAGAACAGATGAGTGCTTGCCACGGGTTAGAGAAGTCAGGGGAGGGTATCAGGATAAAACGTCGCACAGAAGAGTTACGTGGGGTGATAGAGGAGTTTTGTGCCTTTTTTTCTTTTTCTTTCTTTCTTTCTTTTTTTGAGAGAGTGCGTGCATGAGTGGTGGAGGGGCAGAGGGAGAAGGAGAGAGAGAATCCCAAGCAGACTCCACACTCAGCGTAGAGGCAGACGCAGGGCTCGATCTCACAACCCTGAGATCATGACCTGAGCCAAAATCAAGAGTTGGACACTTAGTTGATTGAGCCACCCAGGCACCCCAGGATTTTTGTGTTTTGAATGTGATGCTGGTTACAAGAAGCTACGCATGTGATTAAGTGCCATTGAATTATATACAAAGACTTTTTGAAAAAAAGAGTACAGTCCACCTTGAACATGGGTTTGAACTGCACTGGTCTGCTTCTTGGCGGACATTTTTTCGATAAATACAGTACAGTACTGTACTGTATATAAATGTATTTTTTTCCTTACGATTGTTTTCAAAATTTTATTATTTTTTTAAGTAAGCTCTACATCCAACATGTGGCTTTTTTTTTTTTTTTAAAGATTTTATTTATTTGAGAGAGAGAGAACACAAGTGGGGGTGGGGAGGAGGAGCAGAAGGAGAAGCAGACTCCCCTCTGAGCAGGGAGCCCACCATGGGCTCTGACATCATGACCTGACATCATGACCTGAGCTGAAGGCAGATGCTTCACTGACTGAGCCACCCAGGCGCCCCTCCCAACACGTGGCTTGAATTCACGACCGGGAGGCAAGAGTTGCGTGTTCTACTGACTGACCCAGCCCGGTGTCCCTCTTACGATTTTCTTTCTTGTACAAACAGTATATAATATATATACCACACGAAATATGTGTTCATCGGCTGTTTATGTTATTGGTCAATGGTGGGCTATCAGTAAAGTTTCGGGGGAGTCAGGAATTACATGTAAATTTTCAACAGTATGGAGGGTCAGTGCCGCTAACCCTCACATTTTTCAAAGTTCAACTGTATATGCAAAACAAATAAAATCCAAGTAAGTTCTGCACACGGTTCGTTGCATTGTGCCAACATCAATTTCCTGGTTTTGGTAATGTACTAGCATTATATAAGAGGCCACCGCTGGCGGAAGCTGGGTGATGGGTGTGTGGGATCTCCCTGCACCATCTTTGCAACTTCTCACAAGTCTGTAATTAACTCAAAATAAAAAGGCTTAGGGGTGCCTGGGTGGCTCAGTCACTTAAATGCCAATTCTTGATTTCGGCTTAGGTCATGATCTCAGGGTTGAGGGATCGAGTCCCATGTTGTGGGGGGCAGAGAGGAGAGGGACCATGCTCAGCGGGGAGCCTGCTTGAGATTCTCTCTCCCTCTCCCCTGCTTGTACGTGCTCTCTCTCTTTGTAAAATAAGTAAATCTTTAGAAAGAAATTTGGGGCGCCTGGGTGGCTCAGTCGTTAAGCGTCTGCCTTCGGCTCAGGTCATGGTCCCAGGGTCCTGGGATCGAGCCCCACATCGGGCTCTCTGCTCGGCGGGAAGCCTGCCAAATAAATAAAATCTTTAAAAAAAGGGGCGCCTGGGTGGCTCAGTTGGTTAAGCGACTGCCTTCGGCTCAGGTCATGATCCTGGAGTCCCGGGATCGAGTCCCGCATCGGGCTCCCTGCTCGGCAGGGAGCCTGCTTCTCCCTCTGACCCTCCTCCCTCTCATGCTCTTTCTCTATCATTCTCTCTCTCTCTCAATAATAAATAAATAAAAATCTTAAAAAAAAAATCTTTAAAAAAAATAAAAATAAATTTAAAAAATAAAAAAGTTCATATAAAAAATATGTATCTATTAATTGGTCATCTGCTAACTTTCAGACTTGGTATAGGCCCTGGGCATTGAGCAAAAACAGAATATAAAAGTTCTTCATGGCACTTAGGTTCTAGCAGGGGAAAAACAAACAACAAAAATGGGCAAGTGTGACAGACACACTCTCAGGTGACCCTGGACGGTCCCCTCCCTTGCATCACCCCTCCTCCCCAGCGTAAGACACGTGACTTGATCCTACCCAACAGAATACGGCCAAGGCCACAAGACGGTGCTCCCACGATCAGCGGGACATACCATGGGGCAGAGGGGACAGCCACATGGCTCCTGTAGCCGCGTTTCGATGTAAATTGATGCCACGTTGGCAGGACTTGCTAGAAAGACCCTCCTGCGGGCCTTGAAGAAGCAAGCCGCCATGAAGTAAGCTGCCCAGGGCCACACGGCAGGGGACCGTGGGCAGCCGTGAGCAGGTGGGGGGCTCACTGCTGCCACAGCAAGGAGCTGGAGAGTCTGCCAACGCCCCCACGAGCTTGGAGGGGAGCCCTGAGCCTCAGGTGGGACTGCAACCCCTGAGCCCGTGAGCAGAGGACCAGCGGGGCAGCGCCCGCCTCCTGAGCCTCTCGCACTGCTGACAGGCGTGTGCTGGGTTCAGTCACTATGTTTGCAGTAACTCCTTAGACAGCAGCAGAATGCGAATGTGGCAAATAAAGACATCCCACGTGAGAGTGGGGTGAACGCTATAGAGAAAAATCAAGCCGAGGGGGGCAGGGAGTGTGCACATTTTATGAAGAGTGGCCAGGGAGGGCCTTCCTGTCTCGGGTTTAAGTGTCTCACTGGTTTATCTCCCCAAGGCCGTCTGTGGGCTCCCTGGGGGCGGAACCGTCTTGCTGTCCCTGGAGGCCCAGGGCCCAGCGTAAGGCTGGGCTCATAGTTGACCCAGGAAGCCCACAGGGAGTCTGGTCTTCCAAGACTCTGTGCTCCTTGAGGGTACAGAGCCCCCACTTCCTTCTCTTAGCCCTCAGAGTATTCACCCCACACGGTTGGCATTCAACAACTCCTGGAACTCATTCGGGGTCTCCAATGTTCTCCCTGGCCCTGCCCCTCTCATCTTAATGCCATCCTGGGTCACCTCTCCATGTCACCTTTTCTAGCCGGGTCTCCAGCTCCGACACCTCGGCTTCCACCAGCTCGATGGAGGCTCTGGGAAAAGAGGGATGGGGTCACAGGAACAGAGCTTGGGTCCATCCAGTCCACCCACCCCAGGAGGGTCGGGGTTGGGGTTAGCGGGTAAGGGGACAGACAGCAAAAGCTGATGGGTGAAGAGGACCTGACCACCCACCCTCTTCTGCTCCCTCCCTCTGCGCAGGTTGGGAGCTAGTAGGGCCCAGGCCTGAGCAGGAAGGGTAAAAGGAGGGTGGATGTGGTCAGGGCAGGAAGTTGCTAACCGCCCCAGCAGGTGCTGGGGGAGGGGCAGGGGTCCCCAGGAGCGGGGAGAAGGGAGTGTCAGCTGGGGGGGGGGTGGTGAGAGGGGCTGGAGCGGCCCCCTCTGCCGGGAAAGGGGGTGGAGAGCATCAGAGCCTGGGGTTGCATCGCAGAGGTGCTGGCCCATAACCTTGATCTTGCCCCTTTGTGAACTTACTCCCCGGGAGGACATCTGGCCTGGAGAAGGTTGTATGTTGTGTGCGTGCTGTGTGCGTGTGTGTGTTGGAGCGGGGGGGTCGGACCTCACACCCTGTGCCCCCCAGACCTGTGCACACTTACCGGAAGCGGGGTGAGTCCTTGAGACACTCCTCGAAATCCAGCTTGATGGTCATCTCAGCTTGTCCGTCTCGGGGCCAGACGGGGGCGGGGGTGCGGATGGAGGTGCTCCCTGCCCCAGGAGGGGTTGAGGAGGAGGAGGAGGGGGTCCTCTCCCGGGGAAGAGCCTGGGGGGGGGCTCGATTCCTTCCCGAAGGGTAAGGGGTGTCCCAGGAGGAGCTCTCACCCCACACTTGCTGGCAGTGCTGGGAGGAGCAGAGGCGGGGCCAGGCCCAGAAGCCACAGCCCCACCCACTGAGACTCAGCTGTCCCCTTCCTCCTGGGAGCCCTAGTCCCTCTGCTTCTTTCTCCTTTGGGGGCAGGGGGAGTGGCAGATATAGGCTCAAATCCTGATTCTGTCTCTCAGAGATTATGGGACCCTGGGCAAGCTCACGGATTCCTCAGGTACTTCATGTGGAAGGTGGGCATGATGACGGCCCCCACCTCCAGGGCTGGAAGAATGAAAGATGCTACTGGTACATTTAGGGTTGGTCGAGCCACGCCAGTCGCTGTCACCTGCTGCAGCCGGGCCTTCTGGGCCTCGGAGGGCCCTTGCTGAGTCCAGTCCCCCAGGCTGCTTGCTCCAAGCTTTCTTCTCTGCTCTGCCCGCTGTGGTTTCCTGTGTGCAGAGGTCCCTCCCTCCTCCCCGTCCTCAGTGACTGAGCAGGCCCATCCTCCGCCAACGATTCAGAGCACCCAGACTCCTGCACTTCTCTTTATTGCCCACCTCGAGGGCGGTGAGGGCTGAGAGAAGCTGGTCCCCACCCCATCCCCAGCTGGCTACATTTTCCATTGTCTGCTTCCCTCTTCTTGAGTCCATCGAAGCCACAGGGTTTTGTCTGGAGGAAGAAAGGACTGGGTCACTGGCTTTCTCGTAACAGGTGGGAGATCTGGCCCATGTCCCCCTGAAACTCCCTAGAACCTACCCACTCAGGCCCTCTCCCTCCCTGGCCAGCGCAGGCAGCCCCTCGCCCCTCGCCCCTGCCCAGGCTCACGTCTGCATTGGTTTTGGTGTGGGGAGTGTGGGCTGCTTCCAGGTTCCTTCTCCAAGCTTTCTGGGCTTCACCAGTTGAGCCCCTTGGATACCCACCACGGATACCAGCCCGACTCTGCTCTGTCTCTGGAGGACAGGGCAGCACCTGGAGTGGGGTGGGTGGCAGAGAGGAATCAGGGAGGAGGCGTGGGGCCAGAGGGTGGTCCCAAGCTGGAGGGGGTCCCAGCCCCTTCTGAGCCTCCCCGGTTCCTCTCTGTACAATAAGGGCCTCGCACACCAGGATGCTTGGGGCCGCTCTTGGCATCTGTTGGTGATCTACCCTGGTATGCAAAGGAGGGGGGTTGGGGGGATGGGAGCTGGCCAAGAGCCACAGAGCCAGCCATTGCGGCCTGGTGCCCTCACCAGGCTGCGATGTTGTCCCTGCCAGGGACTCTTCGGGGGTCCGGGGATCCTGGACGGGGCTTTCTGTGTGGTCCAGCAGACGGACTTCAGTGCTTATGGGATTCTCAATCACCCAGTTAAAATTTGCAGAGGCTGGAAGGATCAGGGGATCAAGGTTGGGGCACCCATCATTCTGTTGGTTGTCAGCACCCCCTGCCCCAGGCTGCCCCAGCCCAGCTCTCACGGTCCTGCTGCTCAGGCTCATCTTCTGTGTCCTCCTCGAGCTCCGGGTGGGGAGAGCACCTGAGGTACCTTCCTTTGCTGTAATACTCCTTGCGTTGCAGATCAATCTCCTGGTCCGACACGATGGTGGCTGAAGGTGGGGACCGATTTCTGAAGACAGGGGAATCTGAAGAGTCACCCCAATCACTCTGAGTCTTACAGCCACCTAGGGCATCCAGGATCCCCAGGTGTCCATAATGGCCCCCCCAGCACAGGGGAGAAGCTCAGGCCCCCGGTTCTCATCTCCATTCTATGCCCTCCTCCATGTTAGGAAACCCCAATGACCTCTCCATCCCCCACGCCTCTCTTGGGCTTCCTGAGGACAGTTGTGTTGAGGACCCCACCCCAGCTGCCCTCTGTCCTCCCTGGGCTCACCTCCCATTGCCCCCCCTCCCCCCAAGCACCATGGCTAACCCTTGATTTCTGGGATGTGGTTCCTGGTCACCAGGCCAATCTCATCTTTGACTCCTCTGGCCAGTCCTCCCGTCCAGCCTCTCTCCACGGGCCTGGGCTCCGGGTCCAGCATCGCGCCCCGACTGCCATGGCCCGTACTGGTGCTGGCCTCGTTGTTGTGCTTGTTATTACTGAAGGGAAGAGTTCTCTGAGCTTTGAGGAACTTCCCTTCATCATAGTGTGACTTTCGGTGCTTGTCAAAATCACTGGAGTCTGTGGGCCATTGTAAGAGCTTGGCTTTCCCACCAGGCTGCTGCCGAGGGTTCACTCTGCCTCCCCTTTCCACTCAGCCCCCACCCCTCATCTCACGTGTCTTGGAAAAGCTGTCTGAAGACCCCGAGCTTCTGTTATCGCTGTACTGCAGGACCTTGGGGTAGAAATTGTCCATTGTTGCAAACCTGAAGGGGAGGGAGACTAGTTGGGGGCACCAAAGGGGAGAGGACAAGGGGGCCAGGTGGTAGATGGGGCCTAGCTGGCTGGCTGACTCCCCCACCTTGGCCTTGGTCAGTCCTGATGGGAACTGAAGTACCTCCCATTTTGGTGGCCAAGAAGCATAACAGGCTCTGACCCCAGGGTTGGAGGAAGGAAGAGGCCCCAGATCCCTACTGATCTCTGGCAGGCCTCTCACCTTTCCGCCAGTGCCTGGGGAGTTACCGAGCGAGAAGATGCCCCAGGCGGGTCCTCGTCACTGTCCTGCAGCCTGCATCGGAGGGAGGGAGCAGTGCTGAGAGCTGAGGGCAGCAGGCAGTATCCGGGCCCTGAGACCGCTCTGCCTCCCCCCGCACCCCCTTTGAATAGGGAGGGGTCTGGGCTGAGGGCTCAGCACCTGTGGTAGGGAGTGCTGGGCTCATCCACCTTCATAAATCCATAATCCTTGCCAGCGGGGTGGTAGGTGGCCAGGATATTCATTTCATCCCACCGCTGGGACTTCTTCCTGGAGGAGGGGGAAGGACACAGGAAAGGGGGAGGAAACCTCCCAGCGACCTCCTCGTGGCAGCCCTCCCTCATTCTTTCAGTCACTCAAAACCTTTTTCTGGTACCCTCTCGTCGTGTCAGGGGGAGAGGAGCCTGAGGATGGGGGTTGCACCTAACGATTATCACGCACTGTGGAACCAGCATTTACCTGGTACCTGCTGCTCTCCCCAAGGCCTGGGACCTCAGATTTCCCACGCAATTGCCCTCAGCCGCTCACACTTCACAGTTCTTAGGACTCCACCCCTTTCCCCTAGCTCCGCCCCCGTCAGTGTCCGGAACCCCTCCCTCCCCGCTCCGCGCCGGGTCCCCGCTGAGCCGGACTCCTTACTTCTCTGCCCTGGGGGATTTCTGCATCAAGATGGAGGTGCTGGTTTTTAGGATGCTGCGGGGCCGGTCCTCACAAGGTTTGTGGGAGTGCAAGAGAGTTGACTCGGAGCGCGGTGGACTGCATTCCGAGTTGAACACCCCAGAACACCCGGACCGGGGCCGGCAGGTCCTGCATACACTGGTTCCAGGGAAGGGGGCATTTAATCCGTCAGGGTATGTGCCGGACCCAGCGCTGAGGTCCGCAACCCTCGCAGGGTGCTGGTAGGGCCCGGAACCGAGGACTGCTGCCCCCCCGGAGGGTCGGCTAGAACCAGGACAGCACGTTACGACTCCCCCGGAGTGCAGGGAGGTCCCAGAACCGTGAAACAGGACGACACCGGGGGGCGGCCCGGCGTGTGCCTCGACTCCTCCGATTCCTCCTGGCACACCCTCGGCTGCCCCTCCCGGGGACTCCCCACTGAGGCCGCCAGCAGCCCCCGGAGCCTCCTGCTTTTCCATGGCCCCACCTGGGGGCCACGCTCAGCTGCCCCGCCCCGCCTCCTGGCGGCACATAGCCCCGCCCCGAAGCCCCGCCCCCACCGCGGCGGGCCGGGGGCGCTCGGGCGGAGGCCCGGGTCCCCTTCCGCTCCGCTCCCTAGAGCCGCGGCCCCGGAATCAAGCTTTATATAGGGACCTCGGGCTAGGGGCCCCTCCGGTCGCCCCTCCCTTTCTGTCCCACCCAAAGGCCAGCTCTCTTTGTCTCCGGGATTTGTTCCCGCCCTTCTTCCCCATCACCGCCCTCATCCGAATCATCCAATCACAACCAGGGGCCCTGGTCACGGGGCGAGAAGCCCCGTTTGTGACGTCACAGCCCTCCCAGCTCGGCGCGAGCTCGGAGAGTTGGGCTGGGAGTTTGTTCACAGCGCGGGGGTTTGGGGGGGACACCGTCAGCGCCGTGACTGGAAACCACCTGCCGGGGTTTCACTGGGCCTCTATCCGTGGCTTTAAGATTTAAGGGTTTGTCTGGATTGGAGTTCAAGGTGGGCTTATTTAGAAGTATCGCGAGCCCTTTTATCCCATCCCCCACCCCCCAAAATCACACCTCACGAGAGGTGTGATACAAAGCGGAGGGGTTGCGACAGTGTCGCGAAACACAGCCGATCTCGGTGGTGCGCGGGGCAGAGGTTTTCATTTATAGAGCTGCCGGCTCCCGCCTCTGAATCCTACGGACGCCGCTCACCCCGCTCCAAAGCGTGCGAGCTCGAAGGGAAGACCCCCCCCTTGCCGTAAAGCGAACACTTCAAGGTGTCGCCCGCCTCGGCGAGGGCGGGGTCGTCGGCGCGGCTGTCGCAAAGCTGGAAGTGGGGGCCGCACCCCCTGCGTCGTAAAGATGCCTGCGGCCGTCGTTTCTTCCACTGTCGCAAAAGCTCCCTGCCCGAGTCGGCACGGCCGTCGGAGCCACTCCGTCACCCCGCCGTGCCGTAAAGCAAGCCTGCCCGACCCCGTCGTCCTTCCGTTCCCACCGTGGTGGTCGTTAGCTCCCCAGCCCGGGATGCTTCGTCGCCCGGCAGTGCCGTAAAGCATACCCGGCCCCAGCCCCGAGTCCTACTCCCTCCGGGTGGCTGTGCACCGCGGTTGCCACGGTGCCGCCAAGCGCGGCTGTCGCGCGGTCCCGGTGTCAGCGGCGATGGCGGCGGGGTCGGGTGGGAGTGGGGGCTCTGGGGGAGGCCCCGGGCCGGGGCCGGGTGGGGGTGGGGGCCCCGGCGGGAGCGGCGCAGGGCCGGGGTCCGGCGGGGGTCTGGGCAGCGGCGGGGAGCTGCACCCGCGCACTGGGCGCCTGGTGAGCCTGTCGGCCTGTGGGCGGACGGCGCGGCGGCAGCAGCCGGGCCAAGAGTTTAACCACGGGCTGGTGTTGAGCCGGGAACCCTTGCGCGATGGACGCGTCTTCACCGTCCGCATCGACCGCAAGGTGCGGAGCGGGGCCCGCGGAACCGAGATGTGGAGGGCGGTGGGAGGGGGCGAGCGGGAGACACGGGGTAGGACATCCAGACTAGCCCACGTCGCCGGCTACCGACAGACCTTCGGGGCACCGGGCGACGGGCAGGAGGGGCGCATGGAGCAGAAACGTTCGCTCGTCATGACGGGGAGAGGGATGAGGAGAGCTGGAGTTTCCTGCACCCCCAGGAGCTGGGCAGGGGCACGGGGCTGCATCCCCAGGAATGGTTAGGGACCAGATCTCCCGAATCATTTCTGGGAGGATGGAGGGATGTCAGGGATGTGACGGGAGGAGAGGGGAGAACCGGGGAGAGAACCAACTACTGGAGGATGAACTCGGGCGGAAAGGTGGGCGAGGAGAGACACTCGCGGGGAGGGAGGTGTGCGTGCTGGGGTGTGATTTGGTGAAGAGGCTAGGTGCACGGAGGTGGGATGCGGGAAGAGACGGAATGTGAGCCAGAGCCTGGGAGAGAATCAGGCCACGGGGAGGAGGAGGGTGGTATAGGAGAGCTGTGAACCCCGGGTGGTGCAGGAGTCGCAGAGACCCCAGCCTCTCTGGAGTAGCGTTTCACATCTCAGGCGAGAAAAGTCGGAGACGTGGGAAGAAGGGGACACGGTGGTCTGTGAAACGTGGGTTCCTAGTGGTGGGAGACCCATGGTGGCCCATCCTGAGCCTTTGTCCACCACCCTTATCACAGGTCAACTCCTGGAGTGGCTCCATTGAGATTGGGGTGACGGCACTGGACCCCAGTGTGCTGGACTTCCCAAGCAGCGCCACGGGGCTGAAGGGGGGCTCATGGGTAGTGTCAGGCTGCTCGGTGTTGAGGGACGGACGTTCTGTGCTGGAGGAGTATGGTCAGGACCTGGACCAGCTTGGTGAAGGGGACCGTGTGGGCGTGGAGCGCACAGTTGCCGGGGAGCTGCGGCTCTGGGTGAATGGGCGGGATTGCGGGGTGGCTGCCACGGGCCTCCCCGCTCGTGTCTGGGCCGTCGTGGACCTTTACGGCAAGTGCACCCAGATCACCGTGCTACCCCCTGAGCCAGGTTTCAACCCCCCTACTTCCATCCCCACACCTCCCCTTGAGCCCTCCGCGCCCCCCGAAGATGCCGCCTTGACTGAACAGGGGACCTCTGGGGATGAAGGTGAGAACACAGTTAGGGCAGTGGTGGAGGAGTGGGGCGGAGGGAGTGGCTGAAGGCCTGGGTGAGACCAAAGGACAAACAGGGCTGGGTGTGAACAGGGTCACTCAGACCCCCCCACCCCCCCGAGTCTGTTGAAGGGGAAAGAAGGGGCTAGAGGGGGGGGGGGTCTCCTGTCTGTGGGCCCTGCAGCAGGGGCTGAACCCTTATTCCCCTTCCATCCCGCCCGGTCCCCAGCCTTCATGGTGTCCCCAGCGCAGGCCCGGCCGGAGACGTTTCCTAACAGCCTTGAGTCGCATAATGGTGAGGGCTTCCGGGAGGCTTTGGGGAGTGGGAAGTGAGGTGGACGAGGCGAGGGGAGGGGCCTCAGGAGAGGGCTAGGGGGAGAGTGGCAAGCGCGAGGGTGTAGAGCCTCATTCCAGCCTCCCTCCCCCGTCCCGCTGCCGTAGACTTTGCCAGCATGGAGCTCTCCGACGTGGTGGGCAACGCCATCCTGTCTGCCTACAACGGGGGGCTCCTGAATGTGAACCTGAGCTCCCCGCCGGCAGGGGAAGGACTGGGGTCTGGCGGTGCCGCCCCCTCGCCCGTCCTCACTTCCAACGATGCCCTGCTCTTTCACGAGAAGTGCGGGACGCTCATCAAACTCAGCAACAACAACAAGACCGCCGAGCGCCGCCGGCCCCTGGATGAATTCAACAACGGGGTTGTCATGACCAACCGCCCGCTCCGGGACAATGAGATGTTTGAGGTGTGCAAGCTCCCAGGCGCTGGCTGGCCCCTCACCCTCAGGAACCAAAGACGGGGCTCCATCCTTGACGGTGGAAGGGTGGGGCCCAGGGAACGGCCGGGGGTCCTTTCTCGGCCTTTACACATCCCGCCTCCCCCTTCTGCTGTCGCTCCCCCCAAGATCCGCATCGACAAGCTTGTGGACAAGTGGTCGGGCTCCATTGAGATTGGTGTCACCACGCACAACCCCAACAACCTGGAGTACCCAGCCACCATGACCAACCTGCAGTCAGGTACCAGCCCCTGGCCGGGCGGAGGCACCTTCCTAAGGCGAGGGAGGCCCGGGCCCTAGTCAGGTGTCTACCTACCCCCAGGCACCATCATGATGAGCGGCTGCGGGATCCTGACCAACGGCAAGGGCACTCGCCGGGAGTACTGTGAATTCAGTCTGGACGAGCTGCAGGTGAGGGGGCCGGGGTGCAAGAGTTGGGGCCGCTGTCCGGGGCAGCCCCATCACCCCGCATCCCTGCCCGGGCACCACGCTCTCCGCTGCGACCTAGAGCAAGGCCTCTGCTCTCTCGCCTGAAGGTTCCTTCTGAGAAGGCAGGGTTGTCCGATAGTTAGGCTCTCAGATTTTGGAGTCAGAGGGTCACTTTCTTTTACTGTGTGGCCGTGTGGGGTCGTGACCAGAGACAAGCAGCTTGCTCGTTGTTTCTGGTAGGTGGTATTTTTTTTTTTTTCCTTTTTTAATTTTTTTCTAACGTCTGAACTGAGCCTGTTAGTATTTTATAAACTGCTTGGAGAGGTGGGTAAGGAGATGTTTGTAAGGGGGCTTCACGCCGTGACTGATTTGCCGGGAGCGTTCGGGGGCTCGAGACTCCGGCGCCTTTGGGGCTGTTCCCCAGCAGCCTGGGCTGGTGGGAAGGCTTTAGAACCCCTCTGTTCTCAGGGGCCCCAGGACAAGCCTGGAGCCTGATGGGGGGATGGATTCCGGATCTTTGTTTTTCTGCTTTGGCTAGGAAGGCGACCACATTGGTCTCACGAGGAAGTCCAACTCTGCCCTCCACTTCTTCATTAACGGCATCGACCAGGGTAAGGGGACGCCCAGAGCGGGCTGCTGGGTCAGGGCTTTCGGGAGTGGGGGGTCTGTACCTCCTTGTCCTGCCTGTCTCTGATGCTGGTCTCCCCACATTTCCCCCCCTCCCCCCCAGGCGTGGCCACCCCACTGACACCCCCAGTGGTGTACGGTGTGGTGGACTTGTACGGGATGGCGGTGAAGGTGACCATCGTGCACAATAACAACCACAGTGACCGTCTGCGCCGGAACAACGCCATCCTGCGGGCGCTGTCTCCGGAGGGGGCCCTCCGGCGTGCTAGCCCTGCAGCTCAGGCAGAGCCCGAGCGCCTGCTTTTCCACCCCAACTGCGGGCAGAAGGCAGCTATCACCCACGAGGGACGCACTGCCCTGAGACCCCAGTATGGCCCACGGGGTGGGGAGAAGCCTGCAGAAGGGGCTTGATGGGATGGGGGGGGTGGAGAGCAGGAGGCAGAGGGATTCTGATCTGGGGAGCTCTGGGCAGGAAAGGGGGGAGCCTCGCGGAGAGTGAAGGCAGCGGGTGTCGGGCAGGCATTGCCGGGCGAAGCTTGGCGTGCGCGGAGCGCGTGTTCGCGCCTGAGTCCCCGTTCCCTGTCCTCAGTGCCACTGATGACTTCAACCATGGCGTGGTGCTGAGCAGCAGGGCCCTGCGGGACGGAGAGGTGTTTCAGGTGCGCATCGACAAGATGGTGGACAAGTGGGCCGGCTCCATCGAGATCGGCGTCACCACCCACGACCCTGCCTACCTGCAGCTGCCGTCCACCATGACCAACTTGCGCTCCGGTGAGCTCCCCGGGAGGGCGGGGCCCAGAGAGGGTCTGCGCGAGGAGGCTGCCCCCGGAGCCCTGACGCTCGGCCCCAGCTCTGTCTTTGCCGGTCCCGCTTGTAAGGACACATTCAGGCGCCGAGCGCTGCTGCGTGGACAGGGCTCGTGGGGGGTGGGGACCTGCAGAGATTTCTGCCGGGTCCTGGGAAGAGAGCTGACCGTCAGACAGGGCAGGCTGGGCCGGCGGCTCTGGGGAGGGACGTGGAGACTGCCGCATAGCGGAGCGGAGCCCTGGCTCCCGCTCACGTCCTGTTGCTCCCTGTCCCCGTAGGGACCTGGATGATGACTGGGAACGGGGTGATGCACAACGGGACGACCATCTTGGACGAATACGGGCACAACCTGGACCGCCTCAAGGTGGGAGAGCGGGGGAACTCCCGGGGCTGGGTGAGCGGGGGGTGGGCAAGGCGGGGCTGCCGCGGGACCAGCCCTCGCGGGAACTCCACCTGACTCCTCACTCCAGCCCCCCTTCTTCCAAGGCGGGGGACACGGTGGGCGTGGTGCGGCGGGAGGACGGGACTCTGCACTTCTTTGTCAACGGGATGACTCAGGGCCCCGCGGCCTGGAACGTGCCCCCGGGCGTCTACGCCGTTGTGGATCTGTACGGCCAGGCAGCCCAGGCCACCATCGTGGACGACGTGGGTGAGGGCCGGGCCGGGGTTGGGGCGGCCCTGGGGGCGGGCGGAAGGGGGGCCTCGGAGAGCACCGGCAGCCTCACGGGTGACGTCCCCTCCCCCAGAGGTGCCCGCAGTCCCCGAGCCGCTCCCTGAAGGGAACAGCCAGGTGTCCCCCAGCTCCCCGTCGTCGGGGGCCGGGGGCTCCGACCTGCGCTTCCACCAGCTGCATGGCAGCAACGCTGTCATCAGCAATGGGGGCCGCACGGCGCTTCGTCACAACTGCCGCAGCGAGTTCAACGACGCCATCGTCATCTCCAACCGGTCAGTGTGGGCGCGGCCCCCCGCGGCCTCGGTGCCCCGCGCGGGGCCGCCCTGATGGCCGCTGTCGCCGGCAGGGCCCTGCGGGACGGAGAGCTGTTCGAGATCGTCATTCAGAAGATGGTGGACCGCTGGTCCGGCTCCATCGAGGCCGGTGAGGGGCGCGGGCGAGCGTGCGCGCGTGCGTGGGGGTGCGGGCCGCCTCTTGCTGGGGCCTTGGCGCTCACCTACCCCTGCCTCCTAGGGGTGACCGCTATTCGGCCGGAGGACCTCGAGTTCCCCAACACCATGACGGACATCGACTACGACACGTGGATGCTGAGGTGCGGCTGCCCGCTTGATGGCCGGCCCGGGAGGGCCGCGTGGAGCTGGCCAGGATGAGGGAAGCCGGCCTTGGGGCCTGCCGTGGCCCTGGCAGGCCCAAGGGATCTGGCTGCCCCTTCCTCCGATTCTGGGAGGCCCTCCCACGTCCCCACGCGCCCTCCAGCGGCCCAGCCTCCAGCCGCCTCTTCTCTGCGGGCAGCTCCTGCTTTTCCCTGGGGGGGTCCCAGAGGCCTAGCAGACAGAGCAAGACGGAAGGTTCTGACGAGCAGGGACCGCGCAGAGGCCCGCGTGGGGAGGAGCTGGGAGGCTTACCGGCCCCGCCTGTCGTCCCCCCAGTGGCACGGCCATCATGCAGGACGGGAACACCACGCGCAACAACTATGGCTGCGACCTGGACGCGCTGGGCACGGGCGCGCGCATCGGCATGATGCGCACCGCCAAGGGCGACCTGCACTACTTCATCAACGGCCAGGACCAAGGCGCCGCCTGCTCAGGCTTGCCTCCGGGTAAAGGTGACTGGTCCGTGGCTTTCGGCCTGCCAGCCTCACGCCGGCCCCGCCCGGGCCATCCGGCCTCTGACCCCTCCTTCTCCACCAGAGGTGTATGCGGTCGTGGATCTCTACGGCCAGTGTGTCCAGGTGTCCATCACCAATGCCACCGGCCCCATGGACAACAGCCTGGCGACCAGCAACACCGCCACCGAGAAGTCCTTCCCCCTGCACTCCCCAGGTCCAGCTGGCCGTTAGTGCGCTGTGGGCCAAGGGCGGGGGGCAGGGGAGATGTTCAAGGCCCGGGCAGCTGCAGACCGAGGGCAGGAACAAGCCAGGGGCCCGGGTAGGACGCCCCCCAGGAAGGGGGGCGCGGTCCGGGCTGGAGCGGGGGCTGGGCGCCCCCCTGCCACCTGGAGGGTGGGGGTGGGGGGCCGGGCTGTGGGAAGCCGGGCGAGAGGGGCCTTGAGGGCGGCTTCCTGTTCGACCCGAAAGCTCGGCGCCCTGCGCTTTCTGAAGCCCGCGGCCCCAACGCCGCGCCTTCCGTGGCACCGTGTCCCCGCAGTGGCCGGCGTGGCTCACCGATTCCACAGCACCTGTGGCAAGAACGTGGCCCTGGAGGAGGACGGCACGAGGGCAGTGCGCGCGGCCGGCTATGCGCACGGCCTCGTCTTCAGCACCAAGGAGCTCAGGGCGGAGGAGGTGTTCGAGGTGGGTGCCGGGCTGTCGGCCGCGGGGCCAGGCTGTTGCCCCAGCTCGCGCCCCGCGCCCGTGGCAGCCGCTGTGCTCTCTTGCCCTCAGGTGAAGGTGCAGGAGCTGGACGAGAGGTGGGCGGGCTCCCTCCGGCTGGGGCTGACCACGCTCGCGCCCGGGGAGACGGGGCCCGGCGCAGGCGGGGGCCCCGGGCTGCCTCCCTCCCTCCCAGAGCTCCGGACAAAGACCACCTGGATGGTGTCCAGCTGTGAAGTGAGACGCGACGGGCAGCTCCAGAGGATGAACTATGGCCGGGACCTGGAGAGGCTGGGGGTGAAGCCGCGGGCTCCCGGGCCGGGGCTGGGGGGGAGCGGGGGTGCGGGAGATGTGGCCTGAGGCTCTGTGCTCGGGTCCCCTCGGTCCTAGGTGGGGAGCCGCGTGGGCATCCGCCGGGGCGCGGACGACACAATGCACATCCTGGTGGATGGAGAGGACATGGGGCCCGCGGCCACTGGCATCGCCAAGGTAGGTCTGAGGCGGTTCTTGGGTTTGGAGAGCGGGCTCGAGGCCTTCCACGGATCTCTGACTCCCGCGCTGTGTGCGCCCCGCAGAACGTGTGGGCCGTGCTGGATCTCTACGGGCCGGTGCGGAGCGTGTCTGTGGTCAGCTCCACGAGGCTGGAGGAGCCGGAGGGCACCCAGCCGCCTTCTCCCAGCTCAGACACTGGGAGCGAGGGCGAGGAAGACGACGAGGGGGAGGAGCGTGGCCTGAGGGTGAGGGGCCGCGGCCGGGCACACGGGGCCTGTGGACGGGCGGGTGGTGGGCCAGTGGACACCAGGGTGTTCTGGGCTTCTCAGATGCCGCCCTGGGTGGGCAGAGGCGTAGACGCAAGCCCTGTGTAAACGCCAGGGGTGGGGGGTGGCTCAGGCCTCGCGTGGGCAACCCCGGCAGCTCCATCTCTCCTCCACACCATGGCCAGAATCAAGTGGCCATTATGCCCACGGCCCTCGAGTTCCTGGAGAACCACGGGAAGAACATTCTCCTGTCCAACGGAAACCGTACGGCTACGCGGGTGGCCAGCTACAATCAGGGCATCGTCGTCATCAACCAACCCCTGGTGCCCCAGCTGCTGGTCCAGGTGGGCCTCACCTCCTCATCCACAGCTCCTTTTACTCAGGGTCATCCAGGGCCAACCTTCCTGGAGAAACCCCAGACCGAGTGGAGGCAAGCCCCTGGGATGAGCTTCCCGGGCTTCGGTTCGTACCCCGCGGTGGGATTTGTAGATCGATCGTCAGGAAGGCGCCCCGCCTTGGCGACTGGTGAGGGGAGCAGTAGCGAGGAGCTGGGGGACCTGAGAAAGACGCGTGGTCCTACATGGTGCCGAGAGGGCCTGCCGAGGAGGAGGCCTTTTTGCTACACACGGAAAGATTTAGTTAGCCAGGAGAAAGCGGCCCCTGGGGGCAGGAACCCTTAGCCAGGCAACAACAGGACCTAGACTGACGCAGGGAAGGAAACACGTGAATTCGCAGTTTGTGGTCCCTCCAGCCTCAGAAAGGGCAGCATCCTTCCCTGGCCGGGGGCGGGGCTGGAGTGGGGGGCACTGCTGGGTAGTCTCTTCCCAGGGGGCCGTGACTGGGGAGTAGTGGTCACCCTTCCCCCCAGGTGCGGATCGATTTCCTGAACCGACAGTGGACGTCTTCCCTGGTCCTGGGAGTCCTCACCTGCCCCCCCGAGAGGCTCAACTTCCCTGCTTCCGCCTGCGCCCTCAAGCGGGCGGCCTGGCTGCTACGGGGCCGAGGCATCTTCCACAACGGCCTCAAGGTGGGTGGGGGCAGACGGAAGGGACAGGGCCACGACTCAAGTCGGGAGGGGCTGGCCCAAAGGGAGAAGAGGGGCACCCAGCCCTGGTGGTGGGTCACAGGCATCAAGGGGCCCTGTGTGGGTAGACCCTCCAGCCGGTGAGCAAGCGCGCGTCATCGTCGGACTCTCAGGCTTATCACGGCCTCCTGCGTCCTTGCCGCTGAGAATGTGGCCGTGGGGGGACGGGGGCGAGCGTGGAGGCGAAGCCCGGCACGGACACTGGCAGCAGAGTGAAGGGCGGGCGTGGCCGCTGCCGGTGGGAGTCTGATCTCTGGGAAGACAGTAGGTCTCTCCTCCCAGATCTGTGAGAAGTTTGGGCCAAATCTGGACACATGTCCTGAAGGCACCATCCTGGGCCTGCGGCTAGACAGCTCCGGCGGGCTGCATCTGCACGTCAACGGGATGGACCAGGGCGTGGCCGTGCCGGACGTCCCGCAGCCCTGCCACGCACTCGTGGACCTTTACGGGCAGTGTGAGCAGGTGAGCCGACGGGAGGCAGGGAGGAGCGGGTCCGCAGGCCCTGGCGGCCGGGTCAGCCTCATCACGCCCTGCCCTGCAGGTGACGATCGTGAGTCCTGAACCAGGGGCTACCGGTGGGAAGAGTGCTGGAACCCAGGGGGACATGGAGAAAGCGGACATGGTGGATGGTGAGCCAGCCCCCCGCCCCCAGGGGCCCGGCCCCGCAGCCCCAGCTCCCGTGACCCTGCCCCCCTTCCGCCGTCTCAGGCATCAAGGAGAGCGTGTGCTGGGGCCCGCTGCCTGCCGCCAGCCCTCTCAAGAGCTGCGAGTACCACGCCCTCTGCTCCCGATTCCAAGAACTGCTCTTGCTTCCCGGTGAGTCCCCAGCGCTCCAGAGCCCGCTGCACTCCCTGGACCGGGGCGGGGCTGTGCCCAGAGCCCCGGGAGCAGCCGGAAGGGGCCGCGTGGTGGAGAGCCACCGCGCCCAGACTGCCCCCCGCTTTCCCGCAGAGGATTATTTCATGCCCCCGCCCAAGCGGAGCATGTGCTACTGTGAGTCTTGCCGGAAGCTTCGAGGGGACGAGGCCCACAGGCGCCGTGGGGAGCCCCCCCGGGAATACGCTCTGCCCTTCGGCTGGTGCAGGTTCAACCTCAGGTACACAGGGGGCAGGGTGGCACTTCTCCCTTAGCGCGCTTGCGCCCTTGATGGGGGAGGCTCCCCAGAGGGCGCGTGGAAGAAGTGACAGGACTTGTAGGCCAGGGGATGGTGTCGGGGAGCCAGCGACCTGGTCCGTCCTAGGGTGAATCCCCGCCTGGAAGCTGGGACGCTGACCAAGAAGTGGCACATGGCGTATCATGGGAGCAACGTGGCGGCTGTCCGGAGGGTGCTGGACCGAGGGGAGCTGGGAGCAGGTACCTCGGCGCAGACAGAGGCAGGGCCGCGGGGTCCAGGCCCCGGAGGGCGGCCCTGACCCGGCTCTCCCACAGGCACCGCCTCCATCCTCAGCTGCCGGCCCTTGAAAGGCGAGCCCGGGGTGGGGTTTGAGGAGCCTGGCGAGAACTGCGCACCCCCGCGGGAGGGGCAGCCCCCTCCGGCGCTGCTTTCCCCCTCCCTCCTGTATGCTGGGGCCGAGACCCTGGCATCCAAAGTGCAGTGAGTACGCGGGGGGTGGGGGGCGGGGGGCGGGCGGGGGTCTCCGTGGCTTGCCCTCCGCGTTCCCACCGTGACACTCTAGAACGTTTAGCTTTGAAGGTGACTAGTACTGTGGAAATAAAAAGTAGAGCGGGGCGCAGTGGGTCACACGTGCGGCTGGAGCGTGAGGTTGGAGGGTGATCAGGATGGACATCGTGAAGGTTTGAGCAGAGGCCTGGAGAGGGGAGGGCGCGCACGGGCGTCCCGGCAGATGGCAAGCCGGGAGGGCCGCCAGAGCCCGGCCACCCCTGTAAGGCCGGGGTGACCCCGAAGGCCGGCGCCGTCGTACAGGTAGCAGGGGGAGCAGGGAGCCCGAGGTCCTCATGGCCGGCCTTCTGCTTCTTGCCTGACAGATTCCGGGACCCCAAGTCCCAGCGGACGCACCAGGCCCAGGTGGCGTTCCAGGTGTGCGTGCGCCCCGGCTCCTACACCCCCGGGCCCCCTTCGGCCGCCCTCCGAGAACCTCCCGACCCCCACTTCAGCCCCGCCGAACTCGAGTGGGTAACCAAGGAGAAGGGGGCCACGCTCCTCTATGCCCTGCTGGTGCGGGTGGAGTGAGGGCCGGCCTCTCGACGACAAGCACAGGGGGGCCCCGGCTCAGCCCCCACCCCCCGCCCGCCCGCCCGCCCCCGGCGGCTCGGCAACCCCAGCCCCAGCGGATGCGCCCGGAGCCCGGGGCCCGCCCGCCCGCCCGCCCGCCGCGCCGCGCCGCGGGAAGGGGAGCGCGTCTCCGCGGGCACGGCGCACGCCCCCGGCGTGGCGGCCGCAGCCGGACTTCCCGCCGCCTCGGGGCCCGGCAGCCCCCTTCATGCACTGACTTGGGGAACACGACCCCCTGGACTCCCTCCCCCGTATCACTTAATTTATTTCCGTTTTCGTTCCTGTTACTGTGAATCCCGAGCAGCCTCCCCGGACCCGCCGCTTCCCGGGCCGCCGGGCGGAGAGGGGAGGGCGGGCGCGGGGAAGGTGGGCGGCTGTACAGTTGTCACGGACGCGGGTTTCCAAGGAGCCAATAAACGCCGTCCCGGAGCGCACGCCTCGGCCTCTCTCTCGCGCCGCCCCCGACGAGCCCCGGGCCCGCCCAGCTTGGGGGCGCCGGGCGAGCCGACGGGGTTTGGCCGCCCCCGGCACCCGTCGCGGCCGCTTCCGCCCTTCCCTGCGCGCGACCCGCGAGGCCGCCCCGGCTCCGGAAGTAGTCGGCCCGGCGGCCGGAAGTGACGCGCGGCCGCGGCGCGGAGGAGCCGCGGAGAAAGCGCAGCGAAGGCGGGTAGGGACGGGGCAGGGGCAGGGGCGGGGGCCGGGCAGCGCCGAGGCCGGAGACCCCTGCCCGGCCGCGCACGCGGGGCCCCGGGGTCCGGCCGGGGGGTGGGGGGGTGGCGGGCGCCGGGCACGTGGCCGGGGTGGTGGCGGCGGTGGCGGCGGCGGGCGGGCTTCCGCCTCGGCCCGCCCGGCGCGACCCCCCTGAGCGCCCGCCTCCCGGTAGGCCCGGTCCGAGGTCTGGCAGTCCGTGGCAGAGCCGGGCGCCCACGGCCCGAGCGCCCCCGGCAGCACCATGCCCGCGCTCCTGGAGCGCCCCAAGCTTTCCAACGCCATGGCCCGCGCGTTGCACCGGCACATCATGATGGAGCGGGAGCGCAAGCGGCAGGGTGAGCTGGGTCCGAGCGAGAGGACAGCCCGGGCGGCAGCGCTCCGCCGGGGCCGGCCCCCACCACGGGCGGAGCAGCGCGCCGGGGCCGCGCGGGGGAGGGATGGGACGGACGGGGCGGCCCCGCGGGTGGTGGGAGCCGGACGCCGGGTCTGAGCCCCAGAACCCTTGGGTCGGGAAGGAACTTGGAGAGCACCTAATCAAGCCTCCCTCCCTGTCCCCTCCGGAAGGAAAGAGCCGTTCCCGAGGATTACCGAGGGGCAGAGGGAGCGTTGTGATAACCGCGTTTTGCAGGTCCTCGATCCCTGCCGCAGTGAGTATTCTAACCACCTTGCCGTCTTCCCATTCTGCCTCTTTCTCCAGAGGAGGAAGAGGTGGACAAGATGATGGAACAGAAGATGAAAGAAGAGCAAGAGAGGAGGAAGAAGAAGGAGATGGAGGAGAGAATGTCCCTGGAGGAGACCAAGGAACAAGTAAGCGGCCCCTTGATCTGTCCCAGTTCTTTCCTCCCTTGGCTCTCCTGCCTTCAGCTCCAGTCCCCGCCCTCCGCAGATCCTGAAGTTGCAGGAGAAGCTGTTGGCCCTACAGGAAGAGAAGCACCAGCTCTTCCTGCAGCTCAAGAAAGTTCTACATGAAGAAGAGAAACGGAGGCGAAAGGAGCAGAGGTGGGATTGGAGAGCTAAAAGTTGGGGCAGAGCGTAACTGGGATCTGGTAACAAACCAGATCGGTGTCTAATGGCAGAAGAGGGGCACTTGTCCTCGTCCTCGATTTTGACCTGCCCGCCTCCCCCCGCAGTGACCTGACCACTCTGACGTCAGCCGCGTACCCGCAGAGCCTGACGGTTCACACAGGAACTCACCTCCTCAGCATGCAGGGTGAGGAAGGCCCCGCGGGGGGGAACGCGCCCTCCTGGGGCTCACAGCCACCCACTTCAGCCTCACGAAGCCCCTCTCCCTGTCTAGGGAGCCCCGGAGGACACAGTCGCCCAGGAACTCTCATGGCGGCCGACAGGGCCAAACAGATGTTCGGACCCCAAGTGCTTACAGTAAGGAGTAGGATCGAGTGTGGGGCGCACTGGTTTTCTCGGCTACTTCCACGCGGACCCAGGCGCCTTCGTGAACCGAGCGTCCAAGTCGTGAGCGTCGCGTGACGCTTGACCGTATTGGGCAAAGCGGGGCATAGGCGAGGCGCTTGGGGTTCTCTGCCTTGCAGTGGACGGCACCAGTGAGCGCTCTCCTCCCTCCAGACGCGGCACTATGTGGGCTCGGCAGCTGCTTTCGCAGGGACCCCAGAGCACGGTCAATTCCAAGGCAGCCCTGGCGGGGCCTATGGGACCGCTCAGCCCCCACCCCACTACGGACCCACGCAGCCGGCCTACAGCCCCGGTCAGCAGCTCAGAGGTGAGCGGTGGGAAGAGAGGGAGGCGGCCGGTCACCAAGCGGCCGGAGGGAGGCCCGACCGCCTGCGCCCCTGCCTCCTCAGCACCTTCGGCGTTCCCGGCGGTGCAGTACCTGTCTCAGCCGCAGCCCCAGCCCTACGCGGTGCACGGCCACTTCCAGCCCACCCAGACAGGTGAGGCCGCCCGCCGCGGCCCTGGCCCCTGCGTCCTCCCTGCCTCCCCTTCCCGGGCTCTGCTCATCCCGCACACCCCTCCTTCCCTCCCTAGGCTTCCTCCAGCCTGGCGGTGCCCTGTCCTTACAGAAGCAGATGGAACACGCCAACCCGCAGACCGGTTTCTCCGACTCAGTGAGTATGGAGTCTTGGCAGGTCAAGGGCAGCGCTCTGCCAAGGGGCGCCCCGGGCTGCCTCAGGTCCTGACTCTCTTCTCCGCAGTCCTCCCTGCGCCCCATGCATCCCCAAGCTCTGCATCCAGCCCCCGGACTCCTTGCCTCTCCCCAGCTCCCTGTGCAGATGCAACCGGCAGGGAAGGTAAGGATGGGAATCCCACCCGCCCTCAGCCCTGTGCTTCCAGGGAAAGCAGGACCGGGTAGGAGAGGCGGCCCCCACCCCTCCTTTCCCCCTCCCTGGGGGGTGGCTTGGAATGCGGAGGGTGCGTTGAGGGGGAGGGCCACACCGACAGAGCCCCCCCTTCCACCACCACCAGTCGGGCTTTGCAGCTCCCAGCCAGCCTGGCCCTCGGCTCCCCTTCATCCAGCACAGCCAGAATCCGCGGTTCTACCACAAGTGATCGTCAGATTTTATCTTCAAGCTCACACCCAAACCCCGCCACGGGTGAGGGCCCCTGGTGTGTCCCAGTCCAATAAAATCTACCTGCCACCGCCCCCAGCTGCTGTGTCACCTCTCTCCGGGCCCAGGCCAGGGCTGCATGGAGGGTGAGGAGTGGTGGGCAGGTCACAGGAGGACGGTGGGTGGGTAACGAACTCAGCAGCAGAGTTCAGTGCCATGGTTTCCAGCTTTACGTTCTAGTCAGCAAACACCCATTTAATTCAAAGAAGCAACTGAGTTGGGGCCTTCATATTAAACTTCTGGTTTTATTCAGGTTTGATTTTAACAAATGTGTCGGGGAGAGAGCCCACAGGGAAGGGTGAAGCCCATGGGGGCAGGGCCCTCCCAGGTGCCTAAGGAGGGGGCAGGTCCCCTCCCCTCTCCTCCTCTTCCCTCCCCAGGTAAAGGTATTTGGGGAGAGACATAGGCAGGGGAGGGGGCTGGTCCCCCGTCTGTGGGGTGGTACTTGGGGTAAAGGGCCATGGGAAACAAGGGACCAGAGCAGGGATGAGTGGGGGTAGGGCACAAGGACCATTTACCAGAATCCACAGCTTTCTGATTCCAGATTGAATTTAAAAAAAAAACAAAAACAAAAACAAAAAAACCCAAAACCAACCCACTAAACCACAAGCAGCACCCGCCCCCTCTCCCCTACCAGGGCTGTAGTGCAGGGGGAGAGAACAGGAGGGCAGCTTCGCCAAGGCCGGGGGGTCACTCGCTCCTGGCCGAGGGAGCAGGAGGAAGGGCAGGGGCTCCCCGACAGATTGAGGGTGTGTGGGGGAAACCAAAATAAAACGTCAAATAAATCGTGGAGGAGGAGGAGTCCAGCCAAGGGCCCACCGGAGCTGGGCCAGGCTGGGGGAGGGGGGCCTCTGCAGTCTCGAGGATCACCGCTGCCACCCTGGGGAGGGGGGGGGGGGGAGAGAGCAGGTCAGGCAGGACGACACCGTCCCCAGGAAGGAAGCCCAGACGGTCAGGGCTCGAGCAGGTTTTCGGTGGGGATGACAAAACGTGGGCCGGGCCAGGGGAGTGGGTCACCTTCACCTGGGAGCCAGTTATTTTGCCATGGCCTTGATTGCAACAGCTGCCTCCTCTGTCATGGCAGACAGCACCGTGATCTGCGGGCGCAAAGGGGGGAGTCAGAGGGGAGCTCCGGGGCAGAGGGTGCAGCTGGGCCCGAGGCGGGGGGCAGCGTACCAGGATCTCTTCTCCACAGTCATACTTCTGCTCAATCTCCTTGCCGAGGTCTCCCTCGGGCAGACGAAGGTCCTCTCGCACCTCCCCGCTATCCTGGAGCAGTGATAGATACCCATCCTGGATGCCGATCAGCTGGGGGCAGAGAGGAAAGGAAGCGCCCGGTTGGCCCACGAAGCTGGAGGATAAAGGGCCTGAGGACAAACGGGGGCGGCCAACTCCGCGTTGTCCTGCTCCCCCTCTCCCAGCACAAGCTCCTCTGGTCAATCTGTACCCGCCCCCAACAAACCACCAACCCACCTACGTACCTGGAAATCATTCCTTTTGATGTTGGGAACATCCATATTATGAGTTGACGGGCAGATATCTTCGTATTTCTTGCCAGTGAAGATGTCAATACCAACCAGGTGAACCTGTATGTATGCATCACATGAAAGAGAAACCCAACCAAACGGTAGGGTGGAGAGAAAGGCATGTGCTACCCCCTGTCGGGGGAATTCAGACGACGCTGTTAGGGCAAAATCAGGGAAACCATGGGGCAGGCTTGGGGCAGCCAGTTACCCTGAGCTACGAGAACACTGACCCAGGAACCGGGGGTGGGGGAAGGGAGGGGAGTCTAGGTAAAACCTTCGGAAGAGCGTCTGGACATCCGCATAAAAGGCGCAGAACTTGGGAAAACAAGAAGGAACGAGAAAGGAAGAGGGCGGAAAGGAGGACGACTTCAGGGAGAACTATGCCATAGGAAATAAAAAAACCAGGAGAGACCCCAGGATGAATGCTAAGCCAACAGAAGACAAACCACCTAGGGACCAAAACCCTAAGAAATCCAACAAGGATGGACCAGGTCAAGTTTTAGTTTTCGAGGGGAGAAAAACCTTAACTGACATGGAAAGCACTAGCAAGAATGTTAGGACCCAAGGAAGCAAGAGGCCGCCTCAGGGAACTCAGAGGGGGGTGGGCAGGCAGAGACTCGGTGACACCGCATCAGAGACCAAAGGGAAAGCTGGTGCGGAGTGTGGGGCAGCAAGGTGGCTCGGAGGCTCAGAGCTATGCTGGCGCCCTCCAGGAAAGGCTGCCTCCGGTATTAGGCCCGGAGAAGCCTCAGGAACAAAGACTCAAGGGAAAAGAGACAAAAACGGAAGGCCACGAAGGAAGGAGCAGCTGAAAAGAGCACCTGGAAAAGTGAGAGCCTCACACAAGGGTGGGGAAAGGGAAGGGTCACCAAGGAAGAGCCCAAGGCCTCCCAAAGGCACAGGTGAAAGGGGGCCAGGGCTGAACCAAGGAGACGGACGGGAAGCCAGCGCTAAAGGAACGGACAGGGCTGGGACTGAGGACGACCTGTGGGGAGTGGGGGGAAGGCACGATGTGGAGAGGTCAAGTTCTAACCTTGGCATGGCCGTGCTTGCCGGTCTTGGAGGTAGACATCTCCACGATCTTACATGGCCGGCCTTTGAGCACCACAAAGCCGTTCTTACGTAATGCTGAGCACTGCATTGGGAAGGTGGCTGAGGCCCCTGCATCTCCTGTCTCGAAGTCCAAGTCATCTGCCATTTTAAGAGGCTTCGATTCCAACTAGTCAAAAAGAAAACCGGAGCCAGTCAGGATGGAGGTCAACAGAGGTCTCAATCTACCTCACTCCTCCCTGAAAACACGGCTTCGTTCTTCCCACAGCCCTTTTCTTCCATCATCCACCTAAAAGAGAAGCGACGTGCCCAGGTTAAATACCGATTGGGACCACAAATACTTAAGAACTGGCGCGTGTCTGGGAGTGGAGGGAGACAGAAGCTGGACCCCCCAGCCCAAATGAAAGCGAAAGGGGTGGCTTGGGAAAGGAAGGCTCCAGGCCGTTAGGATGCCCAACCTGGTAAAGGGACAAAGGCCTGACTCCTGGGAGGGGGAAGACTCAGGTGTTACTTGCCACTGAAACCAACCACCCCTCTTCCCCACTCACAACCAGGGCTATAATTAGGTGAGCAGCCATGAGCCAGCAAAAGGGCGGGGCTACCGTGGGGTGGGGGAGAGGGGAGGGTGGAGACCGGAGGACAGGGCCCCACCCGTCTCTGTTACACCCCCCACCCTATCCACACACGAGCCAGTCATTGGTACAGGAAACCACAAGGCCTCTTTGGGGGATTCCCGCCTCTCCAACGTGCATTTGCAGACACAGCCAAGGGAGAGAAAGTAAAGTTGTTGCTAACTTTCCCCCCTGCCGAACACCTCCATCTCGCTTCCCAAAGGGGACCCAGGAACCCGGCCTCTCCGCGAGGGCCCTCCCCCTTTTCCCAGGATGCACCAGTCCTGTCGGCTTTTCAGGCCGGGCCTGTAGGCTCAGCGGAAAGTGGAGGGCTGGGGAGTGGTGAATGACAATAAAATGAAAGCAGAAGGCTGGTGGGAGTGAGTAGAGTAAGTTCTGCGGGGCTGGCGGCGTCAGCGCTCCCGAGCCCGACACCGCGGGCGGGAAGTGACAAGGTGAAGAGCACCGGTCCCGGCGGGGAGCTCTCCGCCCGGGACGTGAAGGCGCCGTCGGCACGACCCACAGGGGTCGGGCCGCCGTCCAATCGCCCGGGATGTCCCCGTTCCTCCGGCCACCCAGCCAGGGAGAGCGCTACTCACACCTGGCGGGCCGCCTCACTTCGCATCAGGGTCGGGGGGAGAGCGCCAGGGGCCCATGCGGCGGGGGAGCGCGAGCATATGCCCGCAGCGGGCTCTCCGGGCTGATCAGGACCCGGGCCTCGCGCCTCTCCCCCTCCCCAAAATTCCAGGCTCCCCTGGGCGCCCGCGAGGACCACCTCTCCCCGCGCTGGGGGGTTGCCGGCTCCCGCCCACCATGTGGCCTCCCGGGGCTTCCGGTGGCCGGGATCTGGGGGGGAGGGGTCCCCGCGCTGCCATGCGGCCCCCGTCCACGTTCGGCCATGAGGCCTCCGACCCCGAGGGCAGCCTCCGGTAGGGGACACTTCCGGTGCCGCCGGCACCCCCTCCCCAAAGGCCGCGCCAGGCCGGAGCCACGCCGCCTCCCCTCCCCCCCGGCCGGCCGCCACCCCCCCCACATGCCCTCTCACCGAATAGCCCCCTCCCCCACCTCACGTGGCCTCGCGGCGCCCGGTTCTCAACGGCCCAGCTCCCCTTGCCCCGGCGGGCCGATCTGGCCCCCGGCCCTCGCCCCGGCGTGGCCGCCCGGCGGCCTCTCCCGCGTGGCGGCCTCGCGACTCGCCGTCCCCCGCCCTGCGTCGCTCCAACGTCACCCGGCCGGCCCCAACCGTCACCCCGCGCGCTAGCCGGGGCGCGCGCCCGCGCCTCTCCGCACCTCGCGCGGCTCGCGGACCGAACCCTGTGCGGCGGCGGCGGCCGCCGCTCCCCTCTGCCCCCTCCCCGACCCTCGCGCAGTTCCAGCTCCACTCCCGGGCCCACGCCAGGGTTCCGCGCACGCGCGCCCTGCCGCTCTCACCTCGCGCGAACGCACTGACTCGACCCCGTCCGCTCGCCGCGAGCCCAACCGCTGCCCCCGAGCCCGCTACCGCCGCCGCCGCCGCCGCCTCTACCGCCGCCGCCGCTGCTGCACACGGGTCTTAGTACGCAGGCGCCGACTCCCCACTGACCAACCAAGCAGCCCTGTGACAGCCGCGCAAGCGTGCTATCTATCCCCCTCCGCCCTCCACCCCCGCACTGCGCAAGCGCACAGATCCTCCCCGAGCTCCACCCTCCCTCCCACCTACCCATCCAATGACGCGTATGCGTGACCCCGCCCCTCACAAACCCCGAGCTCTTCCCACCCGTAGGCAGTGCGCAGGCGCACCCGGTGTTTTAAGCCCTTCAACCTCCTCTTCCCTTCCCGTGATAGACCACTAGCCCTACCGGACAGGACTTGCGCCTGCGCAAAGAAGAGCCCTGCACTCCACACCCTCTGAAGGAAACGCCTCGGCCGCAAAGCGCATGCGTGGTGGGAATCCTGACCGCCCCTTCCACCTCAGACGTCGCCTGTACGCCGGGCGTTGAAAAGACCACGCCACTGTATCGCTGGTCTCGGCTAGGACGCATGCGTCTGGGGAACGCCCCACCTCGGCTCTAACTGGACCTAAACGACTCACACGTTTCAGAAAACTTGCGCTGCGGGGTGGGCCCCTCGTCTCACGGCCCATCCCCCGCTTTCCACACATGCGCGGGACGGCTCTTTCCGCGCACACTTCCTAGCGCGCTGGTGTGGTCGGGTTACCGCCCATCTCAGCTTCACCGCTCTGCGCGGCCGGCCGCGGCTCGGCCATAGAGTTCCCGCCGCGAGCTAGAGCGGCCGCGTGGCGGCCACCATCTTGTGGAAGCCCTGGGCCGCCCGGAGCTCCAGCGAGGCTTGCACGGCCTTTCTCCCGTCCTCTGCCGCCGGCTGCTCCTGCCGGGGCCAGAACAGGTGTCCGCGAGCGCCCTCGGGAAGAACTCCGTAGACACGAGTGGCGCGTTAAGCGCCCCCGGCGTTCCCTAAGCCATGGCCGAGGACCGTGAAGCGGGAGACCAGCACCTTCCCCGGCGGCCGCCTCCCCCGACACCCCGTGGTCTCCCCCCTCCAGTTTCCGGGTTTCCAAACCTGAGCCTGGCCGCCGGAATCCCAGGACGCGGCCGACGTGCACGCCCCGCAGACTCGCTGATGGCATGGTCGGCCATCACTCCCGACTCCCTCCACTCTACTGTCCGAAAGCTCTGCCCTGTCCTGAAAAAAGCAAAAACGAGCCCGAAGACAGCCCCCAACTGCCTGGGCGCATTGTTTAAAGCCCGAAGCTGCCCTTCTCACAGATGTATTGTCCCCACGACCCAACAACTCCACTCCTAGGTATATGCCCCAAGTCGTAAAGACAGGTACTCGAACCTTCGCGGGAGCGTGTGTACAGGGGCGCTAGTCACGGTAGCCAAAGGGTGGAAACAACCCAAACGCCCACCAACAGATGAGTGGATCAAGTGCGGTCCATACCTGTCACGGAATATTATTCAATCACAGAAGAGGGTGAAGTACTAAGACGTGCTTCAGCTGGATGAACTTCAGAAATACCAGGCTAAGGGAAAGAAGCCAGTCACTAAAGGTCACCTATGCTATGACCTGAATGAGATGAAATACCCTACGATTTGAATGATATGAAATGTCCAGAATAGGTAAAC